AATTGATTAAAACCGTTTTTGTTCTAGGTGTGGCTGGTGACATTTGTGGGGTACAAATGGGTCTTGGCACCGAAGTGAGGGTACGTGATCCCTCACTTCTGTGGCTGTGTGACTTCGAGTGACCGCACCTCTACCAGGCAGATGGGGCTTGCCTTGGAAGGGCCCCTGTGAGCGGCAGCCACCCATCCTGGCAGGGCTGAGTCCAGAGCCTGGCACTGGTGGCTGTCATTTGCAATAGTCAGCTCTCACTCTCCGGGCTGTTTTCTCATCTGTAAAATAGGGAGGCTGGGGTCTTAATGGCTCTTCAAACTTTTTTAAAAGATTTTATTTACCAGTATTTTCAGAGAGAGGGGAAGGGAGGGGGAAAGAGAGGGAGAGAAACATGAACTGGTTGCCTCTTGCACACCCCCAGTTGGGGGCCTGGCCTGAAACCCAGGCATGTGCCCTGACCAAGAATCAAACCAGAGGCCTTTCGATTTGCAGGACGACGCCCAACCCACTAAGCCATACCAGTCAGGGCCAAACTTTTACATTAGACCCCAAACAAAAAATGTAGACATTTTACATAGTAACCCAAGATACCTGTGCTTATTTGTATGTATATAATGAACATAAGTTTTACACAATAATACCCCAGTTACAGGCAATGAGCTCCATTTAGCATTCTGTTTTATTAAGGAGAAAAAAATGTGGTTTTAACCCACTAAATGGATTTCACAGCGTGCAGGGTGGTTATGTTGTTTTTTAACGTGTCCTGGTTAGAGGATTTCTTAGACCAGGGGTTCCCAGACTTTCTCAGCTCACAACACTCACCCCCCTGCCGCCGCCACCATTAGTGTCTCAGTACTTATATTCGTGGAGCCCCTAACCCAGAAGAAATACCTCACAATTTGATTTATTAAGTAGTTAAACTCAAATCAATAAGAATAATTATCTTACCATGTCAGTCATCATTTTAAAAATAACATAAATGAGAGTAAACAATACCATTGTTTCTTAAGTTACTATAATAATAGGATCTGTGTGCTTGTTGGGCACTGAAAAACATGTCAAACTTTCTAGTCCGATTGGAAACTAGCATCCTCATTTCCTGTTGCACATTGACTTCTATTTGCTTTTCATCGTAGCAACCACTAAAAACCCAGCTTTTCAAAGATGACAGTCAAAGGAACATAGCAGTCAGCAGGTGTTGAATATCTCAAATTTAAAATATCCTACTGTGCCCCCTGTGATTTTGATGTGGCACCCTAAGGTACCTTGATGCACACTTTGGGAACTGTGGTTCAGTACTGGGGGAACACTAGTTTCACTACTGAAATTTTGTTACTCTCTTTGCACATTTGAAAAGAACCAGGCTGGGGCCAGCAGGGTATGCTCAGCTTAGTACAGGAGACTGACAGGAAAGAGGACCTGCCAGAGGCACAATATGTGGTGCTGGGAAGCAGGTGCTGTGGGTTGGTATCATTCCTCTGTGTTCCCAAACCGACGTCTGCAGAAGCTTTTTCAAAACATTTGCGGACCAGGCAAGGGAAAGATAATGTTCCAGGCCAAGAGTGTAATGCAAAGTCCCAGAATCCCTCATGGAACCTGAGGGATTCAGTGCAGCTGCATTGCAGAGGGAGGGGTAGCCCATGGACTGAAGGGGCAGTCAGATTGTGGAGGGTGCCCTGTGCTTGGTGAGACACTGTAGGCTTCATCCTGTAAGCAAGGAGGGGCCACTGGAAGATTTCACTGGGGGGCTCCCCTTCATTTGGAGTTGGCACTCCTTTTCATTTTTTTAATAAGACTATTTTTTAGAGCAGTTTTGGGCATACAGAAAATTGAACAGATAGTACAGAGTCCCAGATACCTCCTTTCTCCCTGGCTCAGTTTCTCCTGTTATTAACATCTTGCAGTTTATGGTATATTTGTTAAAATTAATGAGCCAATATTGGTACATTATTGTTAACTAAAGTCTATAGTTTACAATAGGGTTCAGACTTTGTATTGTACAGTTCTGTGCAGGTTGGCAAGTGCATGATGTCAGGTATCCACCATTACACTGTCATACAGAACCTTTCACTGTGCTCCACCTATTCAGCCCTCATCAGCAATCCCTTCCTTTAAAAAAAAAAAAAAGTACTTAGGAATAAATTTAACAAAATATGTACAAGATCTATATAAAGAAAACTATAAAACTCTGATGAAAGAAATCAAGAAAAATCAACACCAAGTGAATAGATATTCCATGAACACAAATAGGAAGGCTCAATATTATTAAGATGTCATTTCTTCCCAACTTGGTCTATAGCTTCAGTGAAATCCCAATCTAAATCCCAGCAAGCTACTTTGTGAGTATTGACAAACTGACTTTTAAGTTTATATGGAGAGACAGAAGATCCAGAACAGCCAACATGAAGAACAAAGTTGGAGGATTACTGTTACCCAACCTCAAGACTTATAAGCCTCAATAATCAAGATAGTGTGGTCCTGGCAAGGAATAAACAAGTAAACCACTGGAATGAATGGAGATCCCAGAAGTAGATCCACACAAATATAGTCAACTGATTTTTTTTTAAAGATTTTATTTACTTTTAGAGAAGGAAGGGGGAAGGAAGGAGAAAAACATCAATGTGTGAGAGATACATCAATCGGTTGCTTCTCACATGCCCCAAACTGGGGACCTGGCCCGCAACCCAGGCATGTGCCCTAACTGGGAATCAAACCAGTGACCTTTTGGTTTGCAGGTTGGCCAGCAACTGAGCCACACCAGCCAGGGTTCAACTGGTCTTTAACAAAGGAGAAAGTCAATTTAATGTAGAAAGGATAGTCTTTTCAACAAGTAGTGCTGGAACAACTGGATATCTACATGCCAAAAAAAAGGTCTAAACACTGACTACGCCATTCACAAAAATGTACTCAAAATGGATCATAAACCTGAAATAGAGCAGAGAAAATCTAGGTGACCTTTGGTCTGGCACCGAGTTTCTAGATACAACATAAAAGGCACAATCATGAAAGAAAAAAAAATTGTTGAATTGGACTTGTAAAAACTGCTCCAGGAATTCACTCTTAAGAGAATGAAAAAGACAAGGACAGAAAATACTTACAAAATGCATCAGATAAAGGACTTGTATCCAAAACATACAAAGAACTCTTAATGATAAGAAAACAACCCAATATAAAAAATGGGTAAGAGATCTGAATGGACACCTCACCAAAGAGGATATACAGGTGATTAATATATGAAAAGATATTCAGCATTATGTCATTAGGAAGTTACAAATAAGTCAATGAAATACCACGACATACCTTTAGGATGGCTAGAATCCAAAAAAACTGACACCACCAAATGCTAGCAAGGATGTGGAGCAACAGGAACTCTCATTCATTGCTGGTGTGAAAGGAAAATGGTATAGCCACTTTGGAAGACAGCTTGGTAGGTTCTTACAGAGAAATAGAGTCTTACATAGGATCCAGAAATCACTCTCCTTAGTATTGACCCAAATGAGTTGAAAACAGGTCCATACAAAAACCTACGTGAATGCTTACAGCAGTTTCATTCGTAATTGCCAAAAGCTGGAAGCACCCAAAAGTGCTTCAAAACGTAAATGGATGGATAAACTGTGGTACAGCCATACAATGGAATATTGTTCATTGATAAAAAGAAATGAGCTCGCAAGCCACAGAGACACAGAGAAACCTTAAATGCATATTGCTCAGTGAAAGGAGGCCAGTCTGAAAGCCACATTGTAGGATTCCAGCTATATGACATTCTGGAAAAGGCAAAACTAGAGACAGTAAAAAGATCCGTGATGCTCCATTTTTAATGTGCTTCCACACGTGTGACTCATCCAGAGCTCTCACCAGTCCTGCTGATAGCCTGGGGCTCAGATAAGCCCACAGAGTGAGTGCACAGCAAAACAAAAACACATTAGAATTGGGACTCCTGTGTGTGGTGGGCAGGTGTAGCCCCAGAGGTCTGCTGCCAGCTTTTGTGCTTAGAAGCATGCTGAACTGTGGTTGCAGAACTTAGAGGGCAGGAAGAGATCATCTAGCTCAGAGGATCTTGGCTCTGACTACACATCAGAATCACCCAGGATGCTTCAAAAACTACCAATGCCCCACCCAAAATTCTGTTTTAATTAGTCTGAGGTGGGGTTCAGGCATCCATCCCTTGCCATAAGCACCTGAGATTGAGTCCCATTACCACCAGAGCTGAGAGTTACTGATCTAGCCCAATGCCCACATTGTACAAATTGGGACAATAAGTTCCAAAGAGGGGCAGGAAAAAGGGATGGGCTGCCTAAGGACCCCAGTGATTAGAAGCAAACCCAGGTCCGGATCCCTAATCGCTGATTCCTGGTCCAGTTCTTTAAAAATCACTTTCTTATTTAATGTCATGATACTTTTTGAGCTCCTCCTATGTGCCTGGCTGGCAATAGCTTAATGAAAATGCACACAACAAACTAGTCCCTGCCCTCCGGGAACCTCCACAGTATCCGGAAGATGTGGAATAGCAAATATAGGGGTTGTGCAAGATCCCTGCACGTTGCATTTCACTGGAAACCGAGTCCTTTGCCCATACGTGTGCCGTCAAGCGCACTGCTGGGCACCAGGCTCGCTGTCTGGCAAGGGAGGCAGGCTGGAGGGGGCGTTCCGATGGACACGGAGGCAGGCAGGGGGTGCTCTGTTGTTTGGCCTTGTTCTGCTTCCTGCTCCCAAGCCATTTCTTATTTACATACAGAAAATAGGTCCTGGCCTGAGAGAGGAGAGTATAAGGGGACTAAATGGTAATGGAAGAAAATACAATAAAGATTAAATCTTTACAAAGAAAATAGGCCAGCCGGATGGCTCAGTTGGTTAGAGCATCATCCCATACACCAAAAAGTCATGGGTTTGATTCCTGGTCAGGGCACATGCCTGGGTTGCAGGTTCAATACCCAGTCGAGGCACGTATGTGAGGCAGCTGATTGATGTTTCTCTTTTCCTTCCCCTCTCTCTGAGATCAATGAACAGACATGTTCTCGGGTGAGGACTAAAAGAAAATAGGTTCCAGTCTTAATGAGGCTGTAGTTAACACCTATGTTACGGTGATTTACAAAATCTCAGGCTGGCATCCTCCACTCATTAATGGCCCTATTAAGAGGTTACCAGCAAAGACAGCCCAGGTTGGAGGTTCAGAACTCCACTCTGTCTAATATATGTTTAGACCTCAAGAAAGTTCCTGAACCTCTTTGAGCCCGTTTTCTTTATCGGTAAAATGGGTGTTACGGTACTGCTGTAGTTATTTCCCCACATTGTAAGGGGGCTCCAAATCATGGTGAGATTATGCACAACTGAAGTGCTTTTTACATGGTTAGGAGTCCTACAGTGATGACGTGTGGTTTTAACTGACCACTGACCAACGTCAATGATAACGTGTAGCTAACATTGGGTGTTTATTTTGGGCCAAAAACTGTTCAGATGTAGTCTAGCAAACCTTACAAGAACCCTATAAGATGTGAATCACCATTCCCATTTTAGAGGTGAGGAAACTGATGCCTTGACAGGTTCAGGGACTTTCCTAAGGTATGACAACCACTGACAGAGGCTCAAACACGGCTTGCTGGCGCACTTGTGAGTTCCCTTGTTTAACCATGGTGCGCTACTGCCCACCTGCGAGTTGGAGACTTAGATTCTAGCCCTAGCTATGCTTTCTATAATCTTGGGTAAGTTTGTCTACTTATAAAATGAAATGGAAAAGAAAGTCGTAAACTCTGATGTCTAAAGGGTCAGAAGGTATGTTCTCAAGTGGCCGTCACCCCACCACGGAAAGGTTTGGAGACATCCTTAGAGACAGTCTAGGGTTTCATGGGGAGAATCCCAGTCTCCAGGAAACAGAGAAGGTAATGAATGGAACAGAAGCAGAAAGGCCGCAGAAGAGAGGACGCTGCCCTCCCATACACTGCATGTCGCCCAGCAGCTCCTCCAACCTGCAGCCACAGCTGCCCCTGGCTCATTCTTGCTTCCCCCGGTTATTGATTGAGGTTATTCTGCCCTGAGCCTTAAAGGAGGCCACCTATGGTCAACAAATAGCTCCAGTGACATTCTCTGAGCACTTCCTATCTGCCGGTTGCTGTGCTGAATACATGAACCAATAGATTCCGCCAGTCCCCTTCTCAAGGAGTTCACAGTCTCTTGGGGGACACAGACATGTAAACAGCTAATGCTAATGCAAGCACACATGAATATTCAATAGGTGGAAACAGCCTCCGTGCTCTGGGAGCAAAGAGGGAGCATTTGCCAGAAACCTTGAAAGTGGTGTAGGAGAACAGGGGAAGGGCGTTCTGCTGAAGGAAGAGTGAGCAAAGGCGTGAGGTGTGCAGTGCGGGTTTCCGTTCTCTGACAGGCAGACATCCCAGTGAGGTTAACTCCAAGCAGGTCCCAAGGGAGACAGAGATGAGGCTAGAAAAGAAGGCTGAAGTTTGGGGCCAGACCAGGGGGGCCTTGAATGCCAGAGTGAGGAGTGAAATGACCTGAGGGAGGTAGTATGTGAGCCCTGGGGACTTGTACATGGGGCCAATTGAGGGGACTTCCATCAAGAGAGGACGTGCCCTGAGTTCACCCTGCAGACAAGCAACATCTTACCCTCCAAGCTTTCCCAGCTTGACAGTTCCAGCTCTGCCTTCCTTCCCTCCCCCAGCCTGCCCTATAAGTGGATCCAGATGGTCATTCCTATTTTAGGTCGGGGTGTGTGTTGGGGGGAGGGGTAGCTATGAGCCCTATCAATCCTTTCCTGAGCTCTCTGTTAGAGGAGCTTCTTCCAGGACCCTGCTGTGATCCTGAGCCTGGAAGGAAGTGTTAGTCTTTGATGGAGATTTCCCATCTGTCTGTGGGTGATCGGGGTGGCAGCAGCAGAGGAGGCAAGGGCATAAGCCAAGGAGGATTTTACAGTGGGTGAGAGAAACAAAGTGATGTGTACATGTGAGAGGGGGCCCTGTGGATGGGCTGTGGTGAGGAACAAGCCTGGGGTCGGGGCACCAGAGGAGTCAGAGAAGGAGCTGGCTTCTCCCCCTAGGTACCTGGCCTTCCTCATGTGCCTGCCTCTGCAGCTGCCTAAGCCAAGGGTAGAATGGTGGAGGCTCTGGGGAAGGGACCTAGGGCTTTCTGGTCAGACCCTACTTCTGAGCATTGTGCCTATCAACCTCCACGAGCCACTTGAAAAAGCTTGGAGCACCCAGGGGTAGCAGGTGATAAGCTAGGTTCCTGCCCTTAAGACTGTCTGTAGTCAGCATGTGACACCAAGCTTATAAGTATTTGCCATTAACTCAAGTTATAAAATATTTATTAAGTAAATGCTATGTGCTACACCCTACTAGGCACTGGGTTTACAGAAGTGAACAGGGAGTTTCTGCCCTAAAGGAGTTTCCAGCTTAGTGGGGGAGTCCAATAGTAAGCAGCTACGAAAGTGCTGTGAGGGAAAAGAACAGGTTGTCCCAAGGGAGATTGCCAGGGGTTTTCTAATTTAGATTGGGTGAGCGCGGAAGGGTTCTCTGAGAAAGTGACATTTACTATGTGATGAATGGAAGCTAGCCAGTTTAAGTGTTGGGGGTCAGAGGGAATTTCAATCAGCGGAGAACAGTGTGTGCCAAGTTTCTGGATATGAAACAAGGTGGCACATGAGAGGAACTGAAAAAAAGACAAGGGTAGCTATAGTATAGTGAACAAAGAAGGGCATGGTCTAGACGCAGGGCCTTGTAAACCATGATAAGAGATTTGTGTTTATCTGAAATGCAGTGGGAAGCCACTGAAGATTGTCAGATTAAATGCAGTACTTGTTAGCACTACCAAAACTGTGGGTGGCCCTAAGAAAGACTTAGGTTGTTTATTCATCTATACGTACAATAACTGCTTAAAAGGCACCCATAAGCCCTGTGCTAGAATTATGTGTCGACAGTGATAGTAAAGTAAAGTCTAAGGCATAGACCTTCCTCAGAGCCTGTGATTCAGAAGAGATTAGATGGCTATAGTGATTGAATTGAATGTAATTTATTCATTCAACAAACACTGCACATCTAATCTCTTCCAAACCCTGTGCTAATAGCTGGTTGCTGCCCTTCAAGGATCACACACTACGCATGAGTCACAGGAGAGGCACAAACATGCCCAAAGAATTTTCAGTGGGTTAGAATCATTTTCAGTTGTGCTATCTACGAGGCCTTTATAAAACATCTGTTCAATCATTCAATAAACACCTAGTGGGCATGCAATCTGCGTTATGTACTACGCTAGCTACTGAAATCAAGGACCTTGAAGTTCCATGACAGGGACAGACATACCCCTCAAAATGCATTAAAATACTAGGTGTTAAGAGAGCAGCTTTTCTGTAGATCGGCGTTGAGGGAAGGTAATTCAATGATAGACCTTCCCAAAAAAGGTCTAACTCCCACCTTCCTGAGTGGACTTGTCCGTATTTCCCTCTGACCTGGTTTTGAGTTGCGGTTTTCTTGTTCCCCTATTTCCGTTTGTCACCCCAGCATATTCTATTTCGTCTATCTCGGCATCCTTTAAAAAGTCCAAAAAATCCAAGACTTGATCCTGGCTTTAAATGATTGCGTGTGATCTCAGTCAATTACGTAATTTCCCCGAGCCTCAGTTTTCCCATTTGTACTATGAAGGGATCGGATCGCATCTAAAGCTCGTGATTTACTCTAGCCAAGGTGATATTCACACTCCTGCACACTGTGCTCTCCAAGTCCTTTCTTTGCACGGCTGCTCGGCTGCCCGGCTGCTTGGCTGCACGGCTGCACGTATCCCTCCACCCCCACGCCACCTGGCAAACATCAAGACTAAGCTCAAATATCTTAAGGCAAGTCTACCGTACTTCTACACACACACACCACGCACAATGTTTTAGTTTGTCCTTTGTGCTACCACTGCCTCGTGAGAGATCACAGAATGTAAAGGACAAGGGAGACAGACTTGGGTTTGAGTCACGGGCACTCACCACCCCTTGAACCTCAATTGCTTACTTGTAACCTGGGGGGAAAACCTAAATTCGCATGTCTAACCACTTTATAGCGATTAAAAACGTTTGTCAAGTGGCACCTAAGAAGTGCTCAATAAATAGCGACTGTTATCACACCTTTTAGGAACGAGACCTCAGCTTACTGAGTTACAGAGTTCTTGGTCAGTCTCCTGCGCTAGAATGCACGCTGCCTGAGGGCATCCCGTCCGCAGCCCTGCTGCAGAGGAGCAAACACAAGGGGCTGGCGGGCGGGGCTGGCGAGCGCCGAGGGCGGGTGGGAAAGGTGGTGCAGGCGGCCCGGGCCTAGAGGGACGCGACTCCAATTCCCGGAGGGAAGGGCAAGCCGAGTGGACCCCACCTCCGGAAGTGACGCAACGGGGAGAGCGGCTCCGGAGCAGGGAGCTGGCCGGAGCGGGGCGTGCGCAGCGTGGCGGAAGCGGAAGGGATTTCGCCGCTCCTGCTGCCGCCGCCACCACCCCCGCCCGGAATGGCGGAAGTGGAGGCGCCGACGGCGGCCGAGACGGACAAGAAGCAATTTAGCGGCTCTGGCGGTGGCGCCATGGACGTGGAGCGGAGCCGTTTCCCCTACTGCGTGGTGTGGACGCCCATCCCTGTGCTTACGTGAGTTTCCTCTGGTATCTGCCTGGGGACTGGGAGAGTTTGGGCCCGCGCGGCGACCTCGGGCTGCCCCCGGGCCAGCCTCCTGCCCCGATCCACAATTACCCCTTCCTTTGGGTCCGGCCCGCAGATCTTGCCCAGCGCAGTGCCAGTTTCTGCTGGCGAAGAGACACGCTCCCCGCCCTCATTGCACCGGTCTAGTCAGGGAAAAAAAAACAGTGTAGACTGACGGGAAAGGGTCTCTGGCTGGGAAGCTCGTATAGAAGAGGGGCCCCTAACACGGCCTCAGAAGACATCTTCATTCATTCACTATTTTCTTCATTCATTGAGCAAATGCTTGCTGATCACTTCCTATACGCAAGACATATCCTGCTGGGTCTGGAAGAGTTCGGTTGAGACCAAACAGATTCCTGAGATAGTAACATTGTTAGGGCCCCCAGAGATCTGGGAGTCCAGCCCTTCGTGTTACAGATGAGACTGGAGATTACACACCATCTCAGTTTAGGTCCCAGGGTGTTTGCCTCACAAAGGTTCTTTCAATCAGCCTTTGTCAGGAGAGAAAACAGGTATTGCTGCCGCCATTTAGCGAGGAACCCCTGGTTGTGGAGAGCTGGTTTACCCTCGTGCTTCAGTCTTGACAGCTGATAATAACGACTCCTCACAGTGCTGGACAGTTGGCCAAGCTCTTTCACACCCATTTTCTTTAAATTTCACAGCTACTTTCACTTGATATTAGCCAAGAGGCCGGGAAGCGACTCACAGCTACTTTCTAAAGTACAAATTATCTTCTCAGATGAGAAAGCTGAGAGTCTTGAGTCGTTCAATATCTTGATCAGGGACACACGCCACTAAGCAGAGGCATCCCAAACTCAGTTTTCTGATTCCATAACTTTCTCTCTTTGACTACATCCTATCCTCTCTCACGTGGTAGGATAGATTTGTTTCCTCTATCAAGAACAGCCAACTGGTGTGGAGAAGGGATCATTTTTGGCCCTACCTGTTGCAGATCCTAAAATGACCTTACTTTTTGTCTTATATTAAAATACTTTGTTTTTGTGTTTTCAAATGCTTATGTACTTGTTTTAGAACATCCAAATCTGAGTCCTTTAAAAATAAAATATTTAATAAAATGTCGCCTTTGCCAGGTAGTTGGTCGGAGCATCGTCCTGTACACCAAAATGTTGCAGGTTCAATCCCCAATTGAGACATAAAAGAAAGGCAACCCATCCGTGTTTCTCCCCCCCATCTCTCTCTCTCTAAAATAAATAAACATATTCTCAGGTGAGGATTGAAAAAAGTGTGTTCATTAAGTCATTTAATGTTCTTTTTTTTAAGATTGTATTTATTTTCAGAGAGGGGAAGGGCAAGAGAAAGAAAGAGAGAGAAACATCGAAGTGTGAGAGATAGTTCAATTCGTTTCCCCTCACATGCCCCCAACCAAAGACCTGGCCTGCAACCCAGGCCTGTGCCCTGACTGGGAATTGAACCGGCAACCCTTCAGTTCACAGGCCAGCACTCAATCCACTGAGCCACACCAGCCAGGGCTAATTCATTTAATGTTCTTTTAACACGCTTACTAAGTGACCCCTATGTGCCTAGGATAGTTCTAGGTGATAAGAATATGCAGTGGTGAATACAGCAGATGTGGTTCTTGCTGTCAAAGTTTAAATCATGGTGGAAGGTGATAGTAAACAAGTAAACTAATAAGAGAATTTCTGATAGTGATTAGTGCAATGAAGAAAATAAAATGTTAATGGAAGAATGAATAACTGGGAGGATAATCAGGGAATATATTGCTTTTGCTAAAACCTGTCTTGTTCTGAGATCTCTTTGTTGTTGGTTTTTGTTTGTTTGTTTTTTCCTGCTCACAAAAACACACGTGTGGAGTCCTGCTATTTAGAGAGCTAGTAGCAACATGAGGTGGAAGCATCATGATTGGCCGGCATCTGGGCCAGAAGGAGCTCCCACCCCATTTCTGTTCAGGTGTATGTACAGAGTTCATAAAACCAGGGTGAGTAAACCAAAGTGCCCCATCAAAGGGCTCATGTTTCCACAAAAAGAGTCACCCTCCAGCAGTAGGGAGACTGAGAAAGACAGGTGAACTACCATCTTAGTACATTGTGATGACTGCTGACCTAGAGTGCAGAACTAGGAATAGATGTGGCACAGGGATCTGTCGTTTGTCTTAGGATGGGGGATTGGACAGGAGGCAGCTGAATCCAAAGATCTGTCTGCTCCCTCAGAGATGTTGATAATTCTGCATGAAAAGCCAGATAATAGCTATTACTAATAAAAACAGCTTACATTGGATACTTACTTTGTTCTGGGCCAAACATTTTATATTCACTATCTCATTCAGTCCTTACATCAACCTAATGAAAATAGATACTGTCATCTCCATTTTAGATGAGAAAATAAAGACTTAGAAGCCAGCATGAGGCTTTTTGCACTGAGATATTCTACCTTCCCAGATAGAAGCTCCAGGGTTAGTAACTCATTCATTCATTCATTTCAATATATAGTTATTGAGGACCTATATGTACTAGGCCTGCACAGAAAGCTGTGGAGCTTACCTTCATGAAGCTTCCAGACTGGCAAATACTTTGAGAGTTTGTTCTTTGCGGCTTCCCTGGGCCCAGGCCTCTGCTGCTGTCTCCAGCCTTTACTTTTAATCCCATCACCAGAGGCCAGCACAGCTATAGTATATGGAGTACTGGACCAGATCTCCCCAACTAGATGAAAGGAATTGGGGGACGGAGAGGTCCTGAGGTTAGAGTCTGAAAAGCCAGAGAAATGATTAATACGTTCCCGTAATTCTGCATGTCCATCCTGTAGACCCTGTGGTTCTTCAGCAACTTACTCTATGCAAATCAGCCAGTCAGATAGCATGTATTTATTTAATACCACATGATAACAACATTGAGTAACTACCAAGTACAAGGAAGTATGATAAGCACTTTGCAAGCATATCTCATGTAATCCTCACAGAACCCCCCTGCCCACTGAGGTAATTATCATTACTAGTGACCTCTCACTGACAGAGATGGGAATGAGCAACTTGCTCAAAACAAAGTCAGGACTCAACCCATGTGTGACTTCAGATCCTGACTCTACTCTTAAATGTGGCGCACTCATTCATTCATAATTTAGTCAATGAATACTTAGCTCCAGCTGCATGCCAGGCATTGACTTGGGGACTACTCTATTAAAGAGAGCATCCTGCTCTTTTGCAGCTTATGTACTAGTGGAAAGAGAGAGACAGTAACCATGTAAGTAAAGATCATTTCAGAAAGAAGTTGATACTGTAAAGAAATTAATGGGATTTAGGGTGCCCGGGGTTGTGTGTGACTATTCTAGAAGACATGATCAGGGAAGACCTCCAAAATTACAGTCAGCAGTAAGAAACAGCCAGCACTCTGAAGCTTCAGGGCAGGAGAAAGTGTTCCCAGCAGAGACAAATGCAAAATAAGCATTGAGGTGGGAGGACTTGATCTACTTGAGGAATTTGAGGAACCAGAGGCAGGCAGTGTAGCTAGAGAGAGGCATGAGGTGATCAGCAGGACCAAACTGTTGAAAGGAGTTTCAAGTGTAAGTGTAATAGGAAGCCATTAATGGGTGTTAAGCAAAGGAATGATGGAATCCGAATTATGTTCTCAAAAAACCACTCTGGCCCCATCCGCTCAGGTGCTCTGGCTGCAGACCTGGAAGACCTGTATCCTATAGAGAGTCATAAAACTATCCAGTCTTTCTTTAAAGATCTTTGAATTCATCGGATTCTCACTACCAACAACAGTACTCCGGTCAGGATCACCATCATCTCTTGCCAGTCTTCCAGAATAACCTCTGAACTGGCCACTCTCCTTCCCGCCCACTCTCCAGACACATGCTACACTCTGGTGCTTCCGAGTTTTGCTTTCTGCCTGTTGACATTCTAGTCTTTCACAGATAAAATGAAAAGTCATCCCATCTGTGAAGCCTTTACTGACTGCGTCAGCCTCACGTAATCACTTCCTTGAGCTGCATCCCCCTTGGTTTTGCTGCCACTTCCCTCACAGGGTGCAGCCTTGAGACCAGCACTTGGCCACTGGCCCTGTGAGTCCTTCAAATGGATGAGTCTCTCCACCACCTAGACCCTAAGAGCCATGGTTCTCAGACTATAGACAGATCTGGGATTCCTTTGTGTTTTGCAAATGGGGATCCCTCTGAGATTTGGTTTTTTAAAATGCCCATCCCTTTTAAGAATTTGAACTTTTAGTTCGTAATCTCTACCTTTGCACATACAGTTTCTTCATCATTTCCTCGGGGAAGCCTTCCCTAAACTATCCCCACCTCAAGTCCCCACCCACAGTTTGGTTTAAATGCCTCCCCACCTTTTTAAAAAAACTTAAAAAAATATTTTATTTATTTTTATGTTTTTTGTTTGTTTGTTTTGTTTTTTTAGAAGAGGGGGAAGGGAAGGAGAAAGAGAGGGAGAAAAACACCAATGTGTGATTACCTCTTGTATGCCCCCAACTGGGGATGTGGCCCCCCAACCCAGGCATGTGCCGTGACTGGGAATCGAACCAGCGATTCTTTAGTTTGCAGGCCGGCACTCAGACCAGCCAGGGCCGAACATTTGCTTCTGTTGGGCATAGACTCTGAAGTGGAATTGCTGAGGCATACAGTATTGCACTTACCGGTTTTTCAAAATAGAAACAATTTATACTCTCACTATCAGTGATTGAGAGTTCCGATTTTGTTTTTAAGATTTTATTTATTTTTTAGATAGAGGGGAAGGGATGAAGAGAGGAAGAAAAACATCTATCTCATGCACCCCCAACTGGGGACCTAGTCCGCAACCCAGTCATGTGCCCTGACTGGGATTCTAACCGCAACCTTTCCATTTGCGGGGTGATGCTCAGCCCACTGAGCCACACCAGCCAGGGCCTCGCCCACTTGATGTTACTGTCCTTTTAGTTATAGCCATTCCGTGTAGGTGGGTGGTATCCCACTGTGCTGTTCATTTGCATGTGCCCCTCTTCTTGGCTTCCCCAGCCCCTGTAGCCACCCAGTTGACACTCATCACACAGTGTTCCAGTCACATGCTCTCACACTGGATTGGGTGTCTCTAGGCTCAGTTCCTGCCCTGTCTTTTTTTCCCTCACAGGTGGTTTTTCCCCATCATTGGCCACATGGGCATCTGCACATCTACAGGAATCATTCGGGACTTCGCTGGCCCCTACTTTGTCTCGGTGAGTCCCCATTCCTCCCCACTCTGGACGGTTCCAGGGTTTAAGTGGAAGGTTTGTCGGTCTTGCCTGCAGGCAGCCTCCTGTCTCTCCAAGAGCCAAAAGAACGCAGAGAGCATGCAGCCCTGGCCCCGGGCCTCTGCTCCTCACCAGTGTCTGACCCCTTTACCCCTTCTCTTGCCTCCAGGACAGGCCAGGAGGGCAGTGTGGCCAGAAGGTTTCTTAAGTAACTGACCCAGCCCTTTGCCCACCCTTTGGGTACCGAGACATGGGTAGGGGTTAGAGGCAAGAGTGGAGAGTCAGACCATCGGGAACCACATCTCTGGACCTTCCGAAGGTGGGAGTCACAAGGTGGGGGCACAGGGGAGACTGACATGGTCCCCCGGGGGTGGCCATGGAGAAGAGAGGGTGGGCCTACTACAGTGAATCAACTGTTCCCGGGTCTTTTTGGAGGGACTGTGCCCAAGGTGGGTGTGGTGGGCTTGTTCCAGATGTGCAGGCAGCATCCTGCCTACTTTGGGGTTGCAGTTTCATCAGAAGGTGAAATGAAAGGGTGGGGTAGCACCAAGCTGTTTATATTAATAGTAGTTATGATCACCTTCACACAACAAAGGCCTTTCATATCCATTGCTTTCATTGTCGTATTTTTATGATAATTCATCTTTGACCAGCTGTCAGCAGATTCTGAACCCACAATCTGTCTCTGCATAGCTCCACACATCTCATGTGGCACGTCTAGGACTTGGCCGAAGTGCCTCCCTCATGGAAGGCCTCTTGAGCCCCAGCTCCCTTCACTGTCCTGCTCTGAATGCAGTCAGACTGGCACCTGCAGAGAAGGGCTCTCTGTGTGGGCACCACTGTCGGGTCAGGAGGTCAGAGGGTGCCCTCTCACACCACAGAGGAAGTTGCCTGCCTGTGATCAAAGATGGGAGGTTGACCACATCTTTAGGTGAACTTGGGGAAAAGGAGTCCCAGAGAGAGAGAATTAACTGGAAGCCACAGCAAGGGGCAGTTACGGCAGATCTTTGGTCTTGGCGTGCAGTGCTCTGTGCACTCCCCCCGTGCTGCCTTCTCCCCGTGAATGAGTCGCCGCTAGCGCCTAACAGGCCGGGCCAGCCCCAGAGCAGGGCCCCACTTTTGCCCTCCCGGCATGCGAAGTTGCTGCACTTCCACCGCCAACTCAGGTCTGTCTTCCAGTCACTGACCTCTGCTCTTGTCCCTCAACAGGAAGACAACATGGCCTTTGGGAAGCCTGCCAAGTAAGTGATGAACACCCCTGTGATTGAGCCTGGGGACATGTTCCTCCTGGCTGGGTCTTTTATCCACAGACCAGCTAGGCCTTGCCTCAGCTCAGCAAGGTCATGTTTTCAGCTCCATTGGAAGGGTGAGGAAAGGGAAGAGACTTAGTCAAGATCACACAGAAGTGGCAGAGCTGAGACTCACGCCCAGGTCTGTCTCTCTCCAGAACCTGGACTCTTTCTCCTGCCCCTCAAGGAGCGAACACACCATTGAAGGTGTAAGGGGGGAATTGTTTGAAACTCCTCTGGAAAGTTGCAATTGGAGAGCACAAAAGCAGTTCAAGCCCTCTGGGAGCTACTTCTCATTTGCTTGGATTTTTGGACTTAATTTTTTCCCTCCTGGGGGGCCCATCTCCAGTGTGGCTCTGAACACGCCTCCCTCATCTGTATGCTTTCAACAGCCATCAGGGGCTCTGCTGCACAGGCCGCGTTCCAGAGGAGCCAGGGCCTGCGGAGGAGCTGGTGTCCCGCACAGCAGAGGCAGCCGTCTGGCTTCCTCTGTTTCAGGGCCGTCCCCACCCGGGCCATGTTGATTTCTCATTGGCTCCCTGTCTCTAGGCCATTGATTTTGAAACTTTTTCATCTCACGGCACACATAAACTAATTACTAAAGTTCTGTGGCACACCAAAAATATATTTTTTGCCGAGCTGATCAAAAACTAGGTCTATTTTTTATTCATTCACACTGGATGGATATTGTTGTGTTGGCTGTTGTCATTGTTTTATTTCACAGTCTAAGGGGAAAAAAGATCAGTGCCCCTGGCTAAGTAGTCAAGTATTGCATGTTTTAAAAACTCTCGTGGCTGGCCCTGGCCAGTGTGGCTTGACTGGGGTATTGTCCCACAACCTTTTGGTTCCATTCCCGGTCGAGGCACATACCCAGGTTGCAGATTCGATCCCTAGTCCTGGAGCATACGATCCCTGATGCAGATGTATGGGAGGCAGCCAATCAATGTTTCCCTCTCTCCCTTCCTCTGTCTAAAAGCAATGAGAAAATTGCCCTTGAGCAAAGATAAAAAAGGAAATTCTTATGGCTGGTGTACCTGCGGCAGCACACCAGTCCAAAATCCCTTTTCTAGGCCGTGTTGTACCAAGCACTCTCTTTGTCTCACCTAGCTTGAGATTTATGAGCTTTAGCTCCTCCACCAGCCACTCTCCCACTCACCCTAACGTCCCACGTGGGGAAACGGGGGACATTGAAGGCCCCTGCACCATGGTTCCACCTGTATCTCCAGCCTTACCTTCCAACGGCCCATCACCCTGTTCCTCTCGTGATTTCTGTTTCACACGGCACAATTTTGTGCCTCTTCCTCTGTTCAAACTGTCCCCTCTGCCTGGAATGCCCATTCCCCGTTCTGTGCCCGGCTAACCCCTCTTCCCTCAAACTTGACTCCGTGTCACCTCGGAAAGCCTCTCACACCATCAGCTGAGTTAGTTCATATCCTCCCCAGGATCCACACGGCATTGGGCGTCTCACACTGTCACATGGACCTGGACGTGGCTTTTCCTTTCCTGGACCTGGCTCACCCCTGCAGTTTCAGCAACCAGCTCAGGGCCCTGCACAGAGCGGGCATCAGGGAACACTGGTGGAGCTGAGCTAGTGCCCAGAACCCCCCTCTCCCCTCAGGTACTGGAAGTTGGACCCTGCTCGGGTGTACGCCAGCGGGCCCAATGCGTGGGACACGGCTGTGCACGACGCCTCTGAGGAGTACAAGCACCGCATGGTAGGTCAGGCGCTCCTGAAAATGGGAACTGGTGGGGGGGGTTCACCCCACAGCCCAGTCTGACCCCATCCTTCCTGCATCTCCAGCACAATCTCTGCTGTGACAACTGCCATTCGCACGTGGCGTTGGCCCTGAACCTGATGCGCTACAACAACAGCACCAACTGGAACATGGTGACTGTCTGCTTCTTCTGCCTGCTCTATGGGAAGTATGTGAGGTGAGCTGCCTACCCGCCGCGCTCCCCGGGGCTGCTCTCCCAAGGATTCCAGCAGGGCCATTTCTGGAGCCTTTCAGCCCACGGGGACAAAGCAGATGCCGCTTGGAGCTGTGAACATCCTGGGACAACTAGCTTGAGTTTTTGGTGCAAAGAGAGGTAGCTGTGCTAAACTTCAGCTTCGCCTGGGTCCCAGGCCCAGCTTTGTCACTTGCTCATTGTGAGATCTTAGAGAACTGCCTTGGCCTCTCAGCTGCCGCTGTTCTTGGTAAAATAGGGATAATGATTCTGGGTCCTCGAGGACGCTTTAGTGCACAGAGCCCAGTGCTCGAGTCAAGTGAACAGCTAGACCCTCACAGGGGATGGGTGTCTGTCCCACAGGGTCCCTTCCCAGCACCCAGCACCTGACCCAGGCCTCTGGGCAGGTGGGCCCCAGTGGTGGCCCGGGAGGAGCTTGGAAGCCACAGCCTCACGACCTGTTAGGTCAAAGACATTAGTCCAAATTCACAGGTAAAGGCAGCTCAGAGAGGTTGAGTGACTTGCCCACTTGGCAGCCAGCATGCCCTGGGCAGCCAGGCCACCTCTCCAAGCTTTTCTCTAGCTGCCCTCATCATTAAGAGCATCTGAAAAGGAGACTCTTAGGGGTCTTTTTATAGTCAAGGGCTTTTAGAGTCCCCTGAAAAGACCTTAACTGTGGCCACACAGAGACGGAGGCAGAGCTGGTGGTGTACCCTGAGCCCCGCCTCCAGCCACTAACTCTGGCTGACCCTGGCTTCCCTGTCCAGACAAGTTCCTGGAAACCTCTCCCCAAAGACTGCGGGGATTGTGGCTAGAGCAGTAAGGCCTAGAGAAGGTGGGCAGGTCTCCTGTAACCCACTCAGAGAGGTGCCATCTCCACCAGGAGCCTGGACTAGCTCCTGCCCAGGACCATGGTTGGCAGTCCTCGTAGCGGGCGCCAGGCCCAGCCCAGTCCCTTGGTTGACCAAGTCAGCGGTGAGACTTCCAGGAGCTTCCTCAGGGCATCAGCCCCTTCTGGGTTTGGATGGATGGGACTCTGGGTGGCACACCCACTCACCAGGCCCTTCCCACCCACACTCCCCTCTCTCTTCTCCGGCAGCGTCGGAGCCTTCGTGAAGACCTGGCTACCCTTCGTCCTCCTCCTGGGCATCATCTTAACCACCAGTCTGGTCTTTAACCTTCGGTGATGGCTGCCTCATGGCCCTGGACCCACCATTCCTCTTGGTTCCTGATTCTTTCTCCTCACCCCAAAAGGCAGGGATGGGCCTGCTGCTGGTTTTGACCCAGGGGTCTGGGCTTGGTGGGATGGGATAGGGCTGAGGATGAGCAGGGAATGGGGGTGTTTATGTGCATGTTGTGTCTCACTGGTCACACGGAAGTTCCCTGTCCCCTTCTTCCCGGGCTTGTGACCCCCCGTGCTTGAGGACCCTCTTTGTTCATCTGTCGGAAAGGCCTTTGTCTCCCCCCTGTGGGGCTGCTCCTGCACTGCCCGCGGGGCTCCCTCTGCCTCCACTCAGCGCCTGCTGGGGGAGGGGAGGACATGTGTACCCATCAGAGGGGCCAGAACCGCATTTGAAGCAGGTCCTCCTGTCGGGGCTACGGTCCTGGAGTGGATGGGGTACACGGGGAAGTCTCCATAAGCTAAGCTGCCCTGGAGCCCTCACCGCTGGCCTCTAGAATCGTCCAGTAGGGCTGGATAGGCCGCCTTTTGCCAGAAGCTGCACTAGGGATAGTTTGTGCCCCGTCTCCCGGGGCCCTTCAGGCCATGCATCTCCTCCCTCCTCCCAGGGCATTCGAGTGCTTGGGCCCGTCTCCCCCTGCAGTTTGGGGCGTGGGCTCCCCCAGCCAGGCTGGAGAGATGAGTGACAGTGACATGTCCAGTGTGACACCCTGTAGATCAGAGAGCAGTAGAAACTAAGCCTGGCCCCGGCCCCAGGTTTGGGGCTCACACTGGAGATGGCGCCCCTTGGGTCCGACATGTGGGGGCCATTAGAACAGCCAGTGCCGTCAGGGAGCTGAAGGGGAGCTGTTTCCTGCCACCTACCATGGCTCCCTCTTCCCTTCGCGTTGTGGGAAGGGCCTGTGCTGTCCCTCACCCCTGCCCCACAGATTCCTGTGCGTGGGGTCCCTGGACAGGACGATAAAGAGTTTTAACTCCAGACAGTGCCTTGTCCTTGTTTTCTCTCTTCAGTTCTCCCTTCGCCTCTTCACCTCATTCTCCTTGGTGTCCTTGGGTACCTCTGCCCCTGGCCAGGGGTCTGGTTAAGTCCTCATCCAGTGTCCAGCTTACAGGGAGGGAGCGTCCCTCAGGTATGTCCCGCCCTGGGCCCACGCTCTGGAAGTTGCTGCCATTCCGCACTCACCATCCCAAAGCTTTCTTTTCAAGGGATGTGAATATTGAAATCCTGCCCCCCCCCGACCCCCCGCCCCATACTCCTTGCCGGGAAGGACTGGCAGGAGGATTGGGAGTTGGGGCTGAGCGACCACAGCCCGAGGGGCCAGAGTTTGGAATAGCCGAGAGACACCTAGCCCCTGGCTCCTGCCGCGTGTATCAAGTCACATTGCCAAGCTCCTCCTGCAGATCCCAGTGATCCTATCACTTTTCTGCGCCCCACCCCCCCGCCCTCCCATCCCCGCGCCTCCACTTCTCTGTGACCTTCAGGACCCCGCATTCTCCGCGCTCCCGCTCCGCTCCGCATGCTCTGCTCTTCCCCAAGATGGCAGCACCTGTTCTCCAGCACCTCCCACTTCTGGTCCTGTGCTTTCTACCGTTTCAAGTCATAGCTTTTCTTCCCAAAGCCCAGCTTAAAAGGCACTTCCTTGCCCTATACCATGTGTCACTAAATTGAACTAGCAAAGGATTTGGCCTCTGGATCATGAGGGCCTGTTGTGTTCACTGCGAGGCCATCTCTGGCTGCCGGCCCTCCAAGCCCTGGATCACCTCGTCCCTCCCAGTGCTGTGGCTGCCAAGCCTGAAGCTTCTCCAGGGCAGTTTTCCCCTCCCCACTCCATAAAAGTTTCTCTTTTAAAAAAGAAAAGTTTTTTTTTGCCTATTGGGGTCCATCTGAGAGTTGGTTGGGGGCAGGTATGAGTTCCAGTACAAAGGACCACCATGGCAAAATAGAAAAAGGGGTTTTTTGGTTTGGGCTTTATAAAATTTTAAAAATAAAAACCCTTGCCTGAGGATACATTCATTGATTTTTAGAGAGAGAGGAAGTGACAGAGACAAACCGATCAGTTGCCTCCTACACGTGTCCCAACTGGGGACCGAACCCATAACACAAAGTATGTGCCCTGATGGAACCGATCCTGTGACCTTTCAGTGTGTGGGATGGCATTCCAACCAAGCCCCCCTGACCAGGGCTAGAAAAACTTTTAAAGCCTGCTTCTACCTAGCAGGATTTTCAGTTAGCCTTGCAAAAGCAGGACATACACAGGCACCACGAAAATCACCGAGCACTTACTGAGCGCTGACTATGTGCCAGGCCTCGTCATAAAGCATTACCTCGTTTACCCTCACCACAGCCCTATGAGGTAAGTGTATTGTTCCCATTTACCAATGAAATAAGCACAGAGAAGTCAACCGCCTTGCTTAAGGTCACAGAAGTAGGAAAAGTAGAACCAGGTCACAGAGGCAGAAGCAGCTTGACCCTGGAGCCCCCACTCAGAACAATCTACAAGGTGGCCTCGCTGAGCACAGGGAGGGGAAGGGGGGAGGGGCTGTTTCTCCAAAGGACTGGGGGACCGTGACCCAGAGCAGGGATGTTTGAGACCAGAAAAAGGGAGCTGCCCTGATGCCAGCCCTATTAGATGGCTGCTATTGTCATCCCTGTTTAAGGGAGTGAGGCTTCCACAGGTGATCATTGACCCAAGGCCATGATGGACCATGTGGCCCTCCAGGGAATTTTAACCCAGGTCTGGGGCTCCTTGGCCATTTAAAGCTGCCGAGAGCCTAGCCATGGTGCAGAGACTTTGAGCCTCCCCCACCGGCCGAGGGTGGTGGCAGGTGGGGAAGCATCCTGCCGTGGAGGACTAGGGAGCAGAGATGGCCAGGGGTGCTGAGGGGACAGGGAGCAGAGTCTGTATTCTAACTCTGGGCTCTAAGGACGGTCTGAGACAGGTGGGGTCCTGGTTGGGGCTGAGGGGTTGGACAGCCCAAAAAGAGGGGAGACTGTTAGGAGGTGCTGAGACGTCTGGCAGTGGAAGTGTCTAAGGGAGGCTGGGCTGATTTGGAGCAGATTTGCTAAAGGGTCCCAGGGTTACCCTGGTTGTCAACTGGCACCTTCCAAAGCTGAGGTATGACAAAGTGGGGTGTTGACAGGGTCCTCTAATAGCTATGCAATTAAGGGCCAGAGGAGCTGGATGTGGAAGCCAGGAGACAGGGAGGAGGAACTGAGCAGGGACTGAGACCTGGGCAGTGGGAGGGAGAGGGAGATAAGGGACAGGCAGGAAAGTGCCAGCCTGGAGGGAAGAGAGAGAAGTCTGGTGCCTGGCAGGGAGCTGCAGGAGACCTGGGGGCCAGGACATGGGGGCTATTCACAGAGGTGGAAATAAGAGGACATTTCATTTGGGGAGGGGAGCCGAGTCCAGGTTGAGTTGACAGGGGAGCTGGACAGAAATACCAGCGTCAAGGAGAGTCAGAGCTATAGACAGGAGAGCAGAGACAGGAAGGAAATTCCGAAGCTGGAAGAGTAAAGAAAGAAAGTTAAATTCGATGCCTTCCAGGGGTGAGGACTGCTGAGAGGTGGGAAGGTGGAGGCTAGAGAGACATCCTTGGTTGGAGTCAGGAACAGGATGGGAAGGGATGAGGATGTTGTTGGCTACCCTCCTTCCATTTCAGGAGACTTGAGGGAGAAAGCAGGCATCACGGTAACCCCTCCCATGGTGGACACTCCAAGGTTGCTTATACAAATGCTTATATATATTTATGAAAGACCGGCAGGGATCTCATTGAATTGCAGTGAAAACCATCTGAGAAGGGATTATTACCCCCATTTAACAGATGAGTAAAAAGAGACTAAGAGCCCTAGCTGGTGTGGCTCAGTGGATTGAGCACCAGCCTGCAAACCAAATGGTTGCTGGTTCAATTCCCAGTGTAGGGCACATACCCCAGTTGCAGGCCAGATTCCCAGTGGGGGGCACAGAAGGTGCAACCACGCATTGATGTTTCTCTCCCTCTTTCTTCCTCCCTTCTCTTCTCTAAGAATAAAATAAATAAAAAATAAAATCTCAAAAAAAAAAAAACAACCCAAAACAAAACAGAGACTAAGAAAATAAGATTGAGTTGCAAAAAAATTACTGGGGAAGGCTGGAGCTTGGTCTAGGGTAGAGAAGGGACCCTCAGGTGCTCAAAGTGGTGATAACATGACTGAGCCAGTTCTGATGAGGGGAGAAGGAATGGTGTGTCATTTAGAGTCCTCTCCTTGCCCCACCTCCTCTCTTGGGGGTCTGGGAGGTACCCTCTGATCTTTAATCCATGCTGAGAAGGGGGCCAGCCGCAGCAGGACAGGCAGAATGGAATGGAGCAGACTAGTTTCGAAACTGTTGGGCAGCCTTGCTTCTTGGGCCCAAAGCAAATGTAATCTAGGGCCCAAAGCCATTCTCAGGATGGGGCAGAATCTGGAAACAGTGGGGTGCTCAAAGGGGCTTCCCAGAGACAGAGGGCGTGTGGGAGCCTCACTTTGGCCCTGGAGGTGCCCAGGCCCCCTCAAGCCGCGGGGCCCAGGACGGCAGAGAGAGCAGCTATACTGTCCGCGGCCAGCACTTCCCAGGAGGCATATGTGGACAAGGAGGGGCAGTGGCTGTCAAAAGGGACTGTGTTGGAGAGAGGACACCTGGTACCCACTACATACCCGCTTTGTCAGGCACTGTTATTTCCCTTCTAATAGGCTCTTTGCACTCTGCTGCCCAGTTTGCATTAGAGGAAATTGCAGCTCAGGGTGGTTAAGAGTCCCGCTCAAAGTCACACAGTGGCAGAGCAGAAACTCTGCTTAGAATTGTCGGACTGCAGCCTGCAACTCATCTATTAACCTGGTTCTTAGAAAGGTTTCTAACTTTGCTTTCAAAGCAAGTTCCTATCAGCTCCTCAGTGGGCAGGGTGGGGCTGCTACCCATTCTGCAGATGGGGCAGCCAAGGCTGGGAGAGGTGACAGGGGTTACACAGTAAGTCTACAATGGAGCTGGGGTCAAGTCCCAGACACACCCCGCCCAGCAAATCACCTCTGGGTGTTCTGAAAACAGAGGCTGGGACACACCCCTGGGGAACGAAAATCCAGGCCCGGTTTTGCATCAGGCCCTCCTGAGAAGGTGTTTCCTCCTCCGAGTGGGGCAGCTACTCTGCCAAGCAGCCGGTTGAGTCAGCCTTAGTCCCTCACTTGCTCCTCTCCTGGTCCCTGAAACTCGGCTTCCAGGCGAGCCGGGGCCACCCTACGAAGGTGCCCCCTTCATACTGGACCCCTACAGGTAACATGCCGCAGGACAGGTGTCTCCTGCTAGTGTCCTGAGGGGCAGGCACTGCCACCTGGTATCCTGAGCACCTCTGGGACTTTGGGATGGGGGAGGCGGGAGCGTGTCTGGGACTGGAACGGCCAGACAGATGGATAGACCCTTGTACTGACCAATGGGTCTGTCCCATAGTGTTGAAACAGCAGGTACTTGTTTCTGCCTCTGGAAGGAGAGGGGACTGTGGGGAGGCCTGTGCTGCTGGGGATTCGGAGCTTAGCTTCCCACAGCCCAGCCCCAGGCAAACCCGCAGGAGAGCAGGTCAGCTTTACAGACTGTTGCCCCACCCACCCACCCACACACACACATACACCCCTGGTGACCCTTGAGGTACCAGAGACAACATCCCAACACACAACTCAGAGTAGGAAATACACAGCACATACACCACACAACATGGTCACCCAGAAAGTCACTGAGTACATCACACAGACAACAGCCACCCATTCAGCATCACACTGTGACATGACACACAGACACACATGCAGTGATACGATATTCATGCCGGCAAAATATAACAGGCTCATAGATCCTCAGTTTGCAGACATATCTGCTCTCAGACTCTCAGAACAGCACAACTGAACAGAGACATTGCCATGGGCTCGCACACTGGCTTCAGAAGAGCCCCCACCTGCAGGACCCAGTACTTTGAACACAGTAGACATTGCAGGAACTAGTGTTAATGTGGAGCACGCAGACATCCACACAGGTGATACACAATGCCCGGGGGACACATGCAGGGACCCCAGGCTCCCGGGTAAGGGTGAGGCAGTAGGGAGAGGGCTTACTTGGGCTTTGACACTGACTCAGCCGGGAGGACACAGAACGCAGGCAGCGGGCACAAGCCAGGACCTGCCTTTACATGCAGCCCTGCCTGGTGTCCGGGCATGGGAGGGCACAGGAGGGACGGGGAGGAAAGGCTACCCAGTGGGTTCAGACTATGGCTCCGCTCTGCCTGTGGCCCGGTCATGGGCCCCTTGCCACGTCCACACACCCACACGCCCCTCGGGGCTGGGCAAATGTTTTGCTTCCGGAGTCACCACAATACGGGAGCAGCCGGAGCTGCTTTGTCAGCACTTGGCCTCCACCACCGGGACCCCAGCCAGATCCTGGGTCAGGGGGGTGGGGGACTGATGTGGCCAGAGCAAGAGGCATCTGAGCAAGAGGGCAGGCCTGGCAGCCAGGGAATCCCCAGGCTGGAGGCCTGTGGGAGTGGGCGTGACAGTTACCTCAGGGGTGGGGGGTGGGAGGAAGTTAAGGGTGTAGGCTGGGGAGGAGGTTGCCTCAGACAGGAAGGCCGAATGGGCCAGGGCAGGGTGGGGGTGAAGGATGGAAGGAGGGGAGATTCCAGGGTTGGAGGGTGAGCAGATCTGTGTGTGCCTGTGTGTCTGGGTGAGTGTTTGTGTGAGTTCATTCCCCAGGTGTGTGCAGATGTATTTCTTCCTTTAATTAATCAAGCTTTTACCAACCACCTGTTGTGTGCAAAGTACTAGCTTTGGGGGTAAGAGTCTCTACTGTGTCTGCTTTCAAGGAGCTCACAATCCAGTTGGGTGGGGAGTGGCAATTTGTGTGTGCAAAAGTCTGTGTGATTTGTGTGTTATCTAGGGACAAATCTTTGTCCCAGGGTTTGTTGTACAGGTGAACCTGCCCTGTGGGTCCTGCCTCCCATCGTGTGCATGGGCCTGTGTGCAGGTTGAAGAATATGTTAGATCCATCTCTTGGTTTGGGCATGGGTCTGGGCCTATGACTGTGTACGGCCCTACATGGAGGAACAGGTGTGTGTGTGTGTGTGTGTGTGTCAGTTGTGCATGTGTGACTAGGTGTGGGAAGTTGTTTACATGTATCAGTGTGTGTGCACGTGTATCTCTGTGCCTTTAAGTGTGTCCCTGAGTGTGTTTATGGTCCAGTGTATGCCTGTGTCCATGGGTGCACCTCATGCCACCTTGACCTCTGCTTTCCTGGGATTGTACCCTGCTCACCACCTAGCAAATACTTGGGCAGAAAGGGGCAGTCAACTCCAGGATGTGCCCTATGTTTGTCTAGGGCTTGACCTGACCCCCATTCTGCCTCCAGGGAGCCATGTGTGCTCAGCGGGGGCACCGGCCCAGCTGATGCCCCAGAGTGGCCACCCATCTCAAGAGGGGCTCTGGGCCCCACCTTGCCCCCTCATGGCGCATGAGCCAGAGCCCAAGGCCAGCGAGCTGTTGGACCTCAGCTTCCTGACGGAGGAGGAGCAGGAGGCCATCGCTGAAGTCCTGAAGCGAGATGCCCACCTGCGCCAGCTGGAGGAGGGGCGGGTCAGGTGAGGCAGAGCAGGAAGCCCAGGAGGAGGGGGCCTCAGGCACTGTGGGGCTGGGCAGCTTCCACCCTGCCCCCACCAACATGCAGCCTCTTAGATATCTGAGTAGTTCTTGTTTTTTGCCTTTTGGTTCCCTGTACTCCTGGCCAGCTCAGCTTATCACCTCTCCCAGGGAGGCTGCAACAGCTCCCCGCCAGCCTCCCCCACTCCAGGCTTGCCGGCTCCGGCCAACCCAGCATACCGCAGCTGGGGCTCCTCAGATCTGTCCTTAATACACCTTGCTGAACCCCCTCATGGCTCCCCAGCATCCGTGTCAGGGGCAAGCTCCTAAGCTTGGTCCACAAGCCTCCCTGATTGGTCCCTGCCAGCCTCCCACATCTCATCTTCCACCAGTAACCACCACCCCTCACACGCATACACTGAGTGTCCGCTGCAGCCGTTCAGGCACTGCACAGTCCCTGAACACACCCACCTTTCACTTCTAGGCCGTTCCTTCTTCCTGGACGAGCACAGTGGCTGATGGGCATGGGACTTACAAGTAGTGCTTAGGGACAGACACCTACTAGCTACATAACCTTCAGCAACTTACCTGATCCCCAGCACCACTCTTCTCACCTGCAAGGTGTGGCTAAGGAACACTTCCTCATAGAATTAGGAGAGATTATGCAGAGTAGTCACTTTATTTATTTTTTTTATTTTTTAAAAAAGTTTACATATTTTTTAGATTTTATTTTTATTTATCTTTAGAGAGGGGGAAGGGAGAGAGAAAGAGGAGAGAAACATCCATGTGTGGTTGCCTTTTGCATGCCCCCTGCTGGGGACCTTGTCAGCAACCCAGGCATGTGCCCTGACTGGAAATTGAACCAGAGACCTTTTGGTTTTCAGGATGGCACCTAATCCACTGAGCCACACCAGCCAGGGTGCAGAGTAGTCACTTTAACGAATAATAATTCTTCTCCTTCTCTACCTGGAGAACTCCAATTTGTCCTTTAAGAAGCAATTCAAATGCTGCCTCCTCTGGGAAGCCCTTCTGGATTTCCACAGGCAAAGTTGGCCTTTTTTTTTTTTTAATACACAATCCAGAATTATAACAGAATTTACAGTAGAGTAAGCTACTTTCAGGAAGATTGAGTTGGAGTGGAAGGTGACCCCACAGTCTACACAGACAACCTCTGCTTCTAGACACTAGTTTCAGTAAAAATGTTTTATAGTATAGCTGAACTACTAATGATCAACAAGACACTCTGGCAGTCTTATAATGGATAATTGCTTACAACTGACACTAGCACCTAGTTTGATATTTATCTCAAAGTTGGCCCGTCCATCATGGCACCTGCCTCTCTATAGTGTATTTGTGTATTCCAGACTCAGTCTCCCCACCAGCCTGAGCTCCTCCAGAGTAGGGATCAAGTCTGATTTGCTGTTGTGTCCCTGGCCCCAGGTACAGGGCCTGGCACATAGTGGGTGGCAAGAATGTTGGTTGGGTGAGTGGTAACAGCCACGGCCTCCCCTATCCTCCAGGAAGCTCCGGGCCTCATTGGCAGACCCTGGGCAGCTGAAAGTCATGACGGGGGACTGGTTCCAGGAAGCACGCGCCCAACGGCACCACCATGCCCACCTTGGCTCTGACCTTGTCCGAGCCTCTATCCGCAGGAAGAAGAGCTCCAGGGAAGAGAGGAAATCCTTACAGCAGGGTAGGCTTCGTGCAGGCCAGGGTACCCAGGATATGTGGACAGGTAAAGGGCCCCTGGGTTCCAGTCCCAGCTGCCCCTCGTACTGTTCCTTTGGCTGGGTACTACCCCTCAGTGGGCTATGGGAGGTGCATGGCATCTCCCAGGGCCAGATTTCTGTGGAGGGGGTTTCACAGAAATTCTCACCTGCACACAGGAGACCAGGCTCTGGAGAGCAATACGGAGGCTGAGGCTGCTGGACAAGAGACTGAAGAGGAGTTGGAGCCCAGGTGAGTAGGGGTGGCAGGGAGGGGAGGGTGCCCACAAGTCACCTGGGTCCCATCCCTGAGAGCCACCTCTCCCTACTCCTAGGATCCTCATAGACAAGTCGTCCCAGGAGAGACTCAGTGAGGCTGAGGCAAGTAATGAGTGAATGAACTAACAAACGAATGTACAGTGGCATGGAGGTGGGGTGTGTTGGGAAAGAGACCCAGACTGAGAATCAGAAGACCCTGGTCTGGGCCTCTGTTATCCTCTTCTGTCAAGTGGGAGTATGGACCTGTGAGGAAATCTCTGGATCCAGCTATTACAGGTGGAATGGGGTACGAGGGGTGGGGGTGTGTGTGGGGGGGGGAGCTCTAGGACTCAAATACTACTGTCTCCCATTAATGGGACCCTGGGAGCCAGGCAAAGCAGGCACTGAAGTGTGAAGGGGTGGGAACTACAGGCCCAACTGGTCCTGCAGCTAGTTGCCAGCCCTGCCCTGACGGCTGTGCTAACTCTAAAGCTGGGGCAGCCAGCTGGAGCCTCTGACATATGACCCCATCATAACCTCTCATCCCTTCATCACTAGTCCTCACTGTGACTTCTACCCCTTGCTTTCTTCAGGGACCTGATCTCCCCTCACCATATGTCTCCCCAAAGGCTTTAGATCATGAGGAGGAGGAGCCCGAGGCCCCAGAAGGTAAGTGGGAGGGTGTGTGTTGGGGAGCACAGAGAGGTTTCAGGGATCAAAGGCAACTCTTCAGTGACTCCAACCGCCTGTGTAGACCTTCCTCTTCCAGCATTGCGGGTGGGGGGAGGCTTGTGGTCTCTATGGACGACCCCAGGGCAGCACTGGGGCCCCAATCTTCAGGGCATGGGGGTTGTAAACTCCCTCCAAATTTGCTCCGGGCGGGCTGAGCGTGGCTGGCTCTTCAGTTTGCGCCCCATCCCAGCCCCCAGCCCAGCCCCCAGCCCAGGGGGTGCACCGGCCTACGAGGAGGAGGCGGACCCAGAGCCGGAGCCACCCTCCCGCGGCGAGGAGGAGCCGCAGCCCCGCCCAGCCCAGGTAGGCGGGAGCGGCCGGCAGCTGCTTTCAAGACCCGGAGCAGATTGAGGGCGGGGAGCGAACCGTCCGGACTGAGCGCTGTCGGGGACGGGGCTGAGAAATGCGGGGACCCCGTCACTTCCTCTCTCCTCAGACTGAGGAGGTGTCCGAGATCCTGGAGAACGGAGAGGAGGCCCCGGAGCCGGGCCCCTCACTCGACCGCATGCTCAGCAGCAGCTCCTCTGTGTCCAGCCTCAACTCCTCCACGGTGAGGGGCAAAAGGGGACGGGGGCGCCTCCCCTCCTCACATCCCAACGCTTAGTCCCTGCCCCACCGCTCTCTCGTCCCCCGGACTTGACACCCCAGCCCCTAGGCAAGCTACCTCCCAATACCCTTTAACGCATCACCTCGCTTTTGCCCCATGACCCCCATCTGAACCCTCCGCGCTTCCCAGCCCCATCAAGAGCTTGCACCCAGTCCTGACGTCCCGACCCCTTTTACCCGCCCTCAGCTGAGCGGCAGCCTGATGAGCCTGTCGGGGGAGGTGGAGGCGAGTGCAGTGCAGGTGAGCGGGTCTGTGCACTTCGCGCTGCGCTACGAGCCGGCCGCCGCGGAGCTGCGCGTACACGTGATCCAGTGCCAGAACCTTGCCGCCGCGCGGCGCCGCCGCTCGGACCCGTGAGTGCCCTACCCCGGCGGGCGGGGGCGCCAGGGAGCCGCTGTCACCCCCCACCCCCAGTACCACCACCTGCCTTGGCCTGTTTCCTGGTCTTGAAAATGGGGGTCACCGCGTTCTTGGGAGGCGTGGGGTTGAGTGAGGTGACTGCTGTAAAGAGCTACACGAGGCCCGGCACATGAATCTGTGTCCCAGGCTGGGGCTAGGAAAGCCCCCAGGCCGGGGAGGAGGTGCTGGAAGGGCCTCCCCCCTCTTCGTTTATCTGGTCCTCACCTCTCCCACTCCAGCTACGTGAAAAGCTACCTCCTCCCGGACAAGCAGAGCAAGCGCAAGACGTCTGTGAAGAAACGGAATCTGAACCCAGTCTTTAACGAGACTCTCCGGGTAAGGGTGCGACGACGGGGCGGCCCCTCATTCATGAATCGGACGTCCCTTCCTGTGGGCCGGGGTGGCAGGGGCAGCGCTTAACATCGTCATTGCCCGTCGCTCAGCCCTCCATTCTGCCGGAAGAGCGGCAGGGAGTCTAGTGGTGGGCACAGCGTTCAGACTGCCATTAATGCCCTTCGGGGCTTCCCGGGATTCCATCCTGCAAGGAGCGTGGTAGGACACACCCCAGTCAACACTCCCGCATCTCTGAAGCCGGGGCCATCAGCGGTGCTCCATGAAAGCGCATGTCTTGTCCCCCAGTACTCCGTCCGGCAGGCCGAGCTCCCGGGCCGCAGGCTGAACCTCTCTGTGTGGCACCGCGAAAGCCTGGGTCGCAACATCTTTCTGGGCGAAGTTGACGTGCCCCTGCAAACGTGGGACTGGGACTCTGAGGCCATCTGGCTCCCCCTGCAGCCCCGGGTGAGGCAGCTGACCCGTGGGGAGGGAGGCACCGCGGCACACATCTCTGGTTTTCACCCCGCGGAGCTGTCCCCTGCGCCCCTTAGACTCCTTCAGCAGAGCCTCCCCTCTGCCTGGAAACCTGAACCCCCGGGTGCCAAGATCCGGCGGCGCTCCCGCAGATCCCGCCCTCCCTGCTAACCACGCCCCCATTGGTGTCCGGAGACTGCGCCTGTTGTGGCCTCTTTGCCTTGGGCCCTGTCCCCTCTCCCTGACAACCATCTCTCGCAGGTCCTGCCCTCTCCTGACGACCTTCCCAGCCGTGGGTGGCTCTCTCTGTCCCTCAAGTACGTCCCTGCAGGCTCTGAGGGTGAGTGGCCTCCCACAAGAGACCAAGCTGGACAGGCCCCTGGGAGGCTGGGGAATCCAGTCCCACAAGGGGTGGGGGGGGAGGAGACTCTGTCCCTGGGGCGAGGCCTGAGCCAAGGCTTTCCGCAGGTGCAGGACTGCCCCCGAGCGGGGAGCTGCACTTCTGGGTGAAGGAAGCTCAGAACCTCGTGCCTCTTCGTTCAGGATCCTTGGATACTTACATACAATGGTGAGGGATATTGGGACCTCCCCATTTCCCTTCCTTTGCCTGTAGTGGAGCTCCCTACCCCCTTCTAATCAACCACCCTTACCCTTGTTCCCCTCAATGTGCTTTGACCACTGAGCAGGGGTAAAGGGGACAGCTTGAGCCTGGAGAGTTGAGGACATCTTTGAGGAGCTGCATTTCAGTGGCTTTAGGACTTGTTGGAGAGCTGAGGCTGGGACCTGGGAGGTCACAGGGCCCTTCCATGGAGGACCTGCAAGGCCAGGCTGTGAGGCCGTGCAGTTCAGTGGTTTTCAAAGTAAGCTCCAGGGGAACCTCTGGTGGTGTCCCCCAGTTCTGCCCCACCCTGAGAGTGAAATGGAGGTAGGCCTAACAAGTTCTGAGATCCCAGCCCTGATTCAACCAGGCATTGTTTTTCTCTTAGGTTTTATACTTCTGAGCAATATTTTATCTTGCCGAAAAGGCTCCAAGGCTTAAAGTTTGGAAACTACTCTGGGAGACAGCAGGGAGTCAGTGCAGATCATTGAGCTAGGAGAAGCAAAATCCCATTTCAGAGCCATTACTCTGGCAGGAGACCTGAGAGGAGGCTAATGCAAAGGTCCCAGGGTCGTGCAGGTTTGAGGCCAGTCTCGGGCAGGAGCTGGAGGCCATGGTCATTGTGAGGGAGCACAGGTAGAACTCAGTGGCTGGCTGGTTCTGTGGAATGTGAGGGGCAGCCACTCGATGCCAGCACACCTATGCCACAGCTCAGTGCTGCCTGACGACAGCCGGGCCAGCCGCCAACGGACAAGGGTGGTGCGAAGGAGCCTCAGCCCCGTGTTCAACCACACCATGGTTTATGATGGCTTCGGGCCTGCTGACCTGCGCCAGGCCTGTGCTGAGCTCTCCCTCTGGGACCACGGGACCCTGGCCAGCCGACAGCTGGGGGGCACACGCCTCAGCCTGGGCACTGGTGAGTGGGACAGGCTCCGAGGGGCAGCCAATGCTGGGAGGCAGGGGCTTAGTATGTAGCCTTGGGCACTTATCTACCCTTTTGGGAGCTTTGGTGTCCACTGAGAACTGGGGTGTAAGTACATAATCTGGGACCAGGCAGGTATTCCTTGGGACCTGGGGTATCCAACGTGACTATGCCCTCTACCCTTGCCCAGGTAGCAGCTATGGGCTCCAGGTGCCCTGGATGGATTCCACACCTGAGGAGAAGCAGCTGTGGCAGACACTCCTGGAGCGACCATGCGAGTGGGTGGATGGCCTTCTGCCCCTCAGAACCAACCTGATGCCCAGGACATAGCTGCCTGGCAAGACTTACCAAACCCCTGTCTGGACCCCATCTCAGGGCCTGCCCTTGGAGAAAGTCAATAAAGTCTATTCTAAGGGCAATAAGGGGCTGGTGTCTGCTTGGGGTTGGGAGGATGGGGTAAAAGCAAGAAAGAACCAGGAAAGTGTAGGGAGCCAGGTGAAGGCAATTTAGATTCAGGCATAAAGATTTTAGAGAGCTGGTCCCAGGATCCTCGCATACCTCAGAAGTTGCCAAGGCCCAAAGTTACAAAAGAGTCCTGTTTAATAGTCACTAGTGGTGCTTAGTGAGCTTGGGGCATTTCTGTGGTTGGTCTGCCCCCCGCACCCTGTCCTCGTCCTCCTCCAGTTGCCCCTGGGTCCTGGGGTGGGTGTTTCATAAGTTGCTTGTCTTCTGCATTCACCCATCCTTGGTTCTGGCCTCTTGCCTCTGATGCCCTCCTTCAGCCTCCTGGGGGCCAGGGGTAACAGCCGTGGATCCTGCTCGCTGTGCCAAGATGGCTCTCCAGATGCGGCATACCATCCCTCCCCTGGGGGTGGCAGGCTCAATGTGGTTCAGATAGAAGACCCTGGGCATTCTCTGGCACTCACTGTCTGCCTAATGCCCCTCTGTCCCCAAGGGACCCTGATGTCCCTGTAGTTTCCAGAGAGGAAACTAGGCAAGCCTGTATCTGGGGGTCAGGGTCTGGCCAGCATGATCCCATATGCATACCTGATGCGGGTGTAGGTGAGGTCATCTCTGGTGGCACAAGTCAGTAGGGAATGGAGGGCGAAGCTGTGGTTCAGCAGCTGGGTGCGGACAAAGACCCACACACAAGAAACAGGGAGAGATTAAACTTAGAGGATGTGTCCAGAGAATCAGAAGCTAGTTCTCTCTTACTACCAACATGTTAGGGCAGATCCCACCCCTTTCTGGGCCTCAGTTTTTTCATCTGTACAATGGGAGGGGTATACTAAGTGACCCACTCATGTTGAGATGCCCTGCATCAGAGGAAAAAACTGAGAAGAGCTGAAAGATGGGCAGAGATGGAGTCTTTGGTTGGTGGAGGTCAGGGATAGCCAGCATACTCCCCCTTACTGTCTGGATCGTGCCTGAATCCACGTTCAGTTCCTGTAGCCACTGCACCAGGCCCTGGTCCACTGTTCGAGCTGCTGTCCAGGAGAAATCAAGTAAATCCAGGGGTGCCTCCTGCCGGAAGCTGTCTCACACCACCATTAGTGTTCTCCAGCCAGGTCCCGCTCACCTGGGGGTTCTGAGGCCAGGGAACAGGTCCTGGCCTTCTCATTCACCCGCTGTAGAGCTTGTTGCACCAGGGCCTGGCACTCCCGTTCCTTCCCAGCCAGAATATCTCGCAGCCTGTTGGATGGCAGAAGGCCAGTGGAAGGGAGGACAGAATTGGGGTGAAGCTCACACAGAGGCTATGGATGGCCCCCAGGGGCCTTACCTATCAGTCTCTGCTCGCAAGAGGCCCAGCTGCACCATCAGACGTTGGGGGCCCTGCTCAGGTTCCCTTGGGAGCAGGCTCTGTTGAACTGCGGTCTCCTGCTGCTTCTGCGGGGCCTCCTCTTTACTGGATTCTTCTGACCTCAGTGGGACTGCATCTTTCTTCACTTCTGCCAGTCAGAGTGAGGTGAGCTCAGGCAGGGGCAAGAGCGCCCATTTGAGACCCCCAGACACTGGTGGAGGGTGCATAGGGCTCTGCGCAGTGGCCAGGCAGTGGCAGTCTGTGAGTTGCCCATTTGGTCATGCCCCCCACCCACTCCTTCCTGGTCAAGCCTGGTGATCACAGCTCCTTTTGTGTTTGCCACCCTCCCAAGGGCCACACCCTCGCCCGCAGGCAGGCAGGCAGGCAGGCTCCACTCCCGGCCTACCTGGGCTCAGCACTGCCAGGGCTACCTCTACAGCTCGGCTGAGCAGAGAGTCTAGCACGAACATCCAGTGTGGGCGGATCTGGCGCCTGCGGAGAATCTGCTTCACCTGGAGAGGGAGGAGGGCGCTGCTGAGACTGCTAAACCTCAAAAAGAGGTGGGGCTTGAGTTGGAAAGGTCTAGAAAGTTTTCTGCCGGAGGCAAATGGAGTGGTCAGGTTTGGAGTCAAGGGAGGGGCTAAGAAGCTGGAACTAGGCCGATGTCCCTTCCCTAATGGCTCTGTCTTCACAGAGAAGACATGAAATCATTCAACATCAAGGCCTTGCACATTTCCAAGCACAGGGAGCTCATTAGCTGTTCTTGGGTAGCCCTGACTGTGAGAAAGCTCCCTTACCGCACCAGGGAAGGCAAAGAGCCATCCATGCAGACACGCAGGCTCAAGGCCCTGGGCTCGCAGCTTCTCATGCAGTGTCCGCAGCTCCTGGGCCAGCTGCCGGCGGTTGGGAGTGTGGATGTGCGCCCCGAGGCAGCGCAGTAGCTGTTCTACAAGATTCCTGCCCAGGTGGGGACCCTGAGGAGGAAGAAAGGGTTCGTCAAGGGTATTCCCACTTGAGCCAAGAGATGCTGGTTGTGGGCTGGGGTTGGTGGCTCTCAGTAGGAATCCTGTCAGCGCTTGACCACCAGGGGGCGCTGGGGCGGGCCGCCCACCTGTTCTTGCTCCAGGCTCAAATTCTCCACCAGCGCGGGCAGCTCTTGCTTCAGCACTGCGGCCAGCATGGCCCGGCGCTTGCTCTCTTGATGCAGCAGGCTCAACCCCGAACTCTCCTCTGGGGACGCGGGCTCCTCGGCCCCAGGCTCCTCAGGCACCCTGAGGGCGATGGGGAGCGGCCAGTAGCGTGCTAGCGGCAACACCGTCCAGCCACCCCCCCCCCCCCGGGGTTTGAATGCTGGCTCTCTCTAACCTTCAGGCCTATCTTACAAGGATTAAAGGGAGAAACCTGGCACTGAGGGGACACCCTAACTAAATACAAGTGAGAGCATTTGGGAGGTAGGCACCAAATGCCATCCTTGCAAGTGGGGAAGGTGCCCAGGTTCCCAAAGAGGGCTTATTCTGGAGGGAGTGCAAGGGCAAAACCAGATAAAGTGCACCCATCCCAGGATCCTGGGCTCTCACCGGAGGTGGCTGGTGTCCCCATAACTGAGGCAGCGCTTCGTGAGACTGGGAGGGTGTTGAGAAGGTGCCTGAGGGCGTGGGAATGTCTGGGACTGCGTGGTTGAATCGGCGGAAAGAGGAGGGCTGGCTGAAGGGGCATCTAAGGGGGGGACAAGACTGTCAGCCTGGGCCCCTTCAGCCCTCACCCCAGTGTGCTCACTCTCTCTCCACACGCACAGTACCTGAAGGCTGTGGAGCATGGCGGGGGGAGCCTGGGCTTCGGCTCCTCTTCCCAGGCTGCAGGAAGGGGTCCCCAAGCAGTGCTTGCGCACTGGCTCGGAGGCGAGGATCTGGCTCAAAAGTTCGCAGGAGGAAGGCTTGGGCCTCAGCTGACAGAGAACTGGGCATTGGTGGATGTACCTTGTACATGCCCACCTGGCGGGGGGAGGGGGGCAGGGAAGGTAACAAAGATTAAGTTTAGAGGTGTTTAGGGCCCAGTCTGTCCCCATACCACCTCAAGAGGCAGGGCCTGAGTTGGTCTCACCTTAAACATGGCAGCCTGCGGGTTCCCTAGCTCGTGGAAGGGTGGGCGACCTGTGGCCATCTCAATTACAGTGCAGCCCAATGACCAGATGTCAGCCGCCTTTCCATACCCTCGTGGACCCTGGTCAATGATTTCTGGAGCCATGTACTGTAGGGTCCCTAGGACAGGAGCAGTAGCAATAATGCTCATCTAGATTTTATCACTACAGGAGTGGCAGGGGGCTCTATCATCCTTTGGCTGCCTGCACCTGCCCTAAATGCTATCATCCAAAACACTTCTCGTCACCTATCCTGGTCGTCAAACATCTATCTGAGCTTCCTCACTCACCTTAGGCTCCATCTCATTCATGGACTCCATCACCTGCAGTAGGTTCCACGATATATCCTGGATTACATGATCCACCCTGAATTCTACCGCCCACTTTGGTCCACATCAACACTTCTGGATGCCATTTCAGACTCAATGTCCTCAGCTATCCAAGCTCCATCACCTTCACCCTGGCTCAATCACCTGCCCTGGGTTCTATCCCCTATTAAGACTCCAACTCCATGCCCAGGAGAAGCCCTTTTCCTTGGAAGGCTCCAAAAGTTCTGTCCCAGGTCAGCATCCCCACTCCCCACCCGACACCCTGTTACCTGTGAAGGTCTCAGTGCAAGGCGTGATGCCTGCCAGCCGCTTGGAGGTACCAAAGTCAGAAATCTTGAGTAGCCCACTGAAGGTGTTGATCAGCACGTTGTCCCCCTGAGTAGAGTATACACTGTGCTCAGTGGACATCAGGCTGGGCTCCTGATGACAGAACGGACCCTACCCCGGGACCCCATCTCCTGGGAATCCCTGCCTCTGTCAACCTCCTCATGCTGCCATCCCATAAGCCTCTCTGGAAGCCGACATCTGGTTTGGCTTCAGCTCTGAACTTCTCTGCGGAACCTTCTTAATGAATTCCCCACCCTTTGCAAAGGGTCTGCCCAATAAGTCTAAACTGCCAGCCTCTGTCCGGGGCTGTATCTCCTCCTTTCCCCCTAACAGCAAGCCAGAGTGGGCCAGCTACAGGGCTTACCTTGATGTCACGATGCACAATTCGGTTGTCATGTAGGTAGCTGAGTCCCTGCAGGATCTGTCGAGTGTAGAAACTGATGGTGCTCTCGTTGTCCTGCAGGGGTCCCCACACTGACCGCAGCAAGGAGGACAGGCTGCCTGGGCACGTACAGTCCAAGGTTATCATTGCCACCCACTTACTCCCACCCACAGTTCTCTGCCCAGACACACCCATGCTATGGCCCAGACTCTATCACCCGGCTGCACTGTCAGCTAATTCTGGGCTACGCCACCTACACACGCTAGGATTCACTTCCCCCAAGGGTTCTCCATCCCTGCCTGGCTCCATCCCCATGCCCTACACTTCCAGTTCCGTTCTCATCCAGGCAGGGCAGGTACCTCCAGGCACTTCCTCCATGAAGATCTTGAGGTAGCCTCCCTGGCTGGCTGAACCCAGATAACGCACGATATTCTTGTGGCGCAGGCGTTTGTGCAGAGCGATCTCTTCATGAAGGGGCTGAGAGAACCTGGGGGCAGTTAGGGAGTTGGACAGAGATGCTTAGCTAACTCCAGCACCAGCCAGGCCACGCCCCCAGGGTCTGCTCTGCTCACAATCCCCTTTCAGACCTTCTCCACCTTATCACCCAGCCCACAGACTCCTCCAGGTTGTAGCCTCACCTCCTGGTCTCTTCCTTTCTGCTCACAGGCCTGGGCCCACTGGACTTGGACCCTCACGTCCATGATTCCACCCCCTCACCCCGACGGCCCTCTCAACTCCCGGTCCCACCCGCTGGACCCGCTTACGTCACCCCTGAGCTCTTGGCCCCGCCCACACGCCCTGCGGAGCACACCTGCTGTCACGTTCCGGGATCTCCTTGATGGCGATGCGTACCCGCGTGTGCCGGTCCCGGCCTGCGTACACGACCCCGTACGTGCCCTTGCCCAGTACCAATCTCTCTCCGGTCTCCGTGTACTCGTAATCAAACTACGGGGGCGGAAGAAAAGGGGGGTCGGCAGGGCTCTTAGCCCTTTCCCCTCTCCGATCTCCTGTCTCCCAGTCCCCCCTCCTCACCTCCAGCACCTCACCCACGCCCTCTGCCTCCTCCGCTGGTGCCCTGGAATCCGGATTTGTCACCAAGGCCTGGATCAGGCCACAGAACCTGAGGGCAGGGGAGGTCAGACCAACCGGAGGGGTACCTTGGGCATAGTGTCCCCCAACAGCAGCTCTGGGCCACATCCCTTCCTTTCCCTTACTCCCCTGGGCATCCCAGCCCTCAGAGTACCCTGATCCCAAGAGGCTGCACCCACCACTGGCAGTGCCCTACGCTGGGGAAGCACAGCTGGATGTCCTGAGCCGGGGGAAGCCCGTAGAGGAAGCAGCAGCGTTCGTCCTGTTTGGAGGTGCTGGGAAGGGATGAAGAACTGAGCGCCAGGCCAGCTGGCAGCAGGCCCCACCTGGACTGCCCAGGCCTTGCCCCTCACCTGACACGGCAGATGGAGGAGACTGAGAAGGTCCAGCTGGAGGGACCGTCCTGTGAAAAGCAAGTGAGTCACAGAAGGGGGCCAGGGAGCAATAGAGGGGCCTGGGGATGGAAGAAAGGCTAGAGAGATGGGGTGCTTAGCAGTGAGTTGGGGGATTCAGTGGCAACTGCACCTGGGCCTCAGGCTCCAGCAGGCTCAGGGTCACTGCGTTCACTGGGTTTATACCCTGAACCTCCAGCCTTGCGGGCAGCAGCACTTGGTTCATCTCCAGAACCAGGACCTGAAGGTGACAAGGGAGTGTGGGGTCAGAAGGGGGCTGCCCTTCTCCCAGGTCCCCTACCCCCACGGGCCTCACCAAACACTGGTCCCCTTGGGAACTGGCAGTTTTGAGCAGCCCGCAGGACTGTAGTAAGAAGTGGAGCCAGAAGTGGGCACGGCGTGGGGCCCCTCCAAGGGGCTCTGGTGTGGGTCTGAAGTGCTGGTACAGCAGGAAGGTTTCCATCATGGACACCAGGTACCTGCAGGCGCAATGTTGTCTTCAACTCAGCGCAGGCACCAGTTAGCCAGGGAGAGTAACTGAATGTGAGCATTGTGTGTCATAGGCACTGGCAGGGGCCAGGTCATTGGTTCAGGGCTCAGGCCAGTGGTCATAGGTACAGGAGCTGACAGCACAAGCCAGGCTGACTGAAGACGGGGCCACTTACCATATGGGGGCATTGAGCTTGTATAGCTTCTCTGCAGCCAGTGCCACCTGGATGGGGTCATTAGCAAGGATATGAGCTCCCAGGTAGAAACCGACATCCCAGTAATATTGCATCTTTTCCACACAGCCTTTTCGGGCCAGCAGGCAGCCCAGCTTCATACCTGGGAGAGAGGGGCATGGGCCCTAGTCAGTGTGGTTGTCGTTGTGGGCAGAGCCCTGCTATGGGCCACAACATTCATGTAGGCAGAGACACAGATGTGGGTGAAAATGTAGGTATGACATGATCTCAGGTGGGAGTAGGTCTGGGAACAAGTACATGTGGAAGGAACACAGGTGTGAGCTAAGGAACAAAGAGTTCTGGGCTTAAGGGCTCATGAGGGCCTACGACAGGTATGAGGACCCAGGTGTGAGTTCAGACAGAATAGGTCCAAGAGGGGCTGAACCCAGTCCCAGCGCAAGCCCAGTGTTTTCTCTCCCTGACCTGAGCCCCTACTGGGGGGACAAGGGTGCACGACTGAGGCTCACCGATGAGCTGGAGCTCATTGGAGTCCTCAAAGCGCTGCCCAGCAGCAATGAGGAGCACAGCAGCGTTGATGCCTGAGTGGAGGCTGGGCTCGACATCAAAAGCCTTCCGATACCTGGGGGTCGGGCAGAGGGGTGCAAGGCTGGACTGATGCCCACAGCCCCACGCCTCAGCCCGCTGTCCACTTGCTTGTGCCCCTTACCAGTGATAGGCCTGCTCTCGGTGCCCAGCCTCCTGGAAGCCAGAGCTGAAGAACATGTCCTTGTAGACACGGCCACACATGCAGTATAGGTCAGGTGCCACAGAGCCCTTACACTGTACCAGTGGCAGCAGCACAGACAATGCCTTCTCCCGGTCCCCAGGCCTATTCCTCCTAGGGAAGGGGGAAGATGGGCTGGGGACTTGTCTGATGGCCCTGTCCCATGCCTGGAGACCCCCAGATGCTGATCATCAGGGACCCTTCCAGGAGCCTGACAGAAATGAACCCAGGATGGCAATGGCCCTGGTCAGCACCGACCTTCCTAGAGGTAGTGATCCCAGATGGAAGTGATTTCTAGCTGCAGTGACTCTGAAGAGAGGTGACCTTCGACAGCTGTGACCTCTCCAAGGGTACCACCTCACCCCACCCTGGGCAGCAGCAATAGAACAACAGGATCATCAGACATCAGTGTGACCCTAATCAGCAAGTTCCCTAAACAGCATTGATCCCAGACAGCAATGACGTCATACAGTAGGGACCCATGTTCCCATGTGGCTATGACCTGAGTGTGGCTCTGCCACTCACCGGTTAAGGGCAAATGTATAGTGGAAGCAGACATTGTGCTGCTCAGCCACATCACAGGTGGGCAAGGCCTGCAGCGTCTCCACCAGTTCAATGATGGCTGAATAGTCCTGCACAAGGGAACAGCACGCACTGACACAATGGCCTCTGGTGGGTCCCACTGGCACCTAAACCCTGACGAAAACCTTGAGCTGGGGCATCCCCTCCACCCCTGACATCCTACCTTCCCGCCACCATCCTCTGCACACTTCCCTCAGGCCTGGCAGGTGGTGCAGACACTACACCTTACATAGAGAACTCACTGTGTGCCCCAACCTCACAACTGCCCTGGGGGACAGTGGCATGATCATCCCCATTACAAACTGAAGTTCAGAGACATCGGATAATTAGCGTGGCAGAGCCAGGAGCTGAACACGGATTTGTCTGACACTGAATGCTACGCCCCACCTGCCTCTCTGCGCACACCTGCACATCACGGTAGGAAAGCAGCAAGTTCATGATGATGTCAGGGCTCAGCAGCTCCACACTGTCCAGACTCCGCTGCAGGCGAGCCAGCTCCTGCCGCAGCTGCTGCCCGCTGAACCGCTCCCGGGCCTGCCGGATGTCCTGCCGAATGGTCTCCCGGAAATAGCCACTGATGTCCACAGCAGGAGAGGGAAGGAAGGAGAGAAAATGGTGGGGTCTGTCCCTCAGCTCACGCCACTGCACCCTCTCCTGGCACACCTTCTCTGGATCCCCCTTACCAAGAGTCTGTGGGCGTGGCCTCCAGCAGGCGGGCAAGTCGGCCCACCAGGGGTGTGAGCAGGGCCTCAGTGCCCACTCCAGGCTGGACTAGCCCATCTGCCAGGCCTCTCAGGAGGCCTACATCACCACACAGCACTCGACCAGTGGCTGTCACGACATAGGGGATCAGCGTGTAGCTGCCAACACAATCCTGGTCGGAAGGAGGCAGGAATCAGTAGAAGTCAGAGGTTAGCACCAGGTTAGAGAGGGGCAGTGAGGGGGTCAGAGATCAGGACCAGTGGGAACTAGAATAGTAGGGAAGGGGCGCACTGCAGGAAGGGAAGCAATAGGGAACAGAGGGTCACACAGATGTCAGGGGGTATTAGGGAGATCAGAGGTGACCGAGGAGGCCAGGAAAGGTAGTGGGAGGTCAGAGGTCATAATGGAAGTCAAAGGGCATGTTGGAGTGAGGATTTCTGCTCACAGAGTTCTTCTGGAAAATGTCCTCCTGCAGGGAACAGATAGATACTGATGCTCTGGGCGGGCTCTACCCCCACCCGGTGCCTGCCCCCGCCAGCCACCTGGCCACCTACCCGAAGGGCCTGCAGGTCAGGGATGTCAGCCTGGGAGCAGAGCAGCACGTTGTTCGTCATGCTGAAGCTCTCACGCACACCAAGGTGGTAGAACAGGGAAGGCTGTGCCAGGGAGTTGCTCACCTCCAGTACCACCACGTCTGCGAGCACACGGGTGGAGGCTTTGAGCCCCGGAACCCAGCTTGGTAGGGGAGGAGGCTGGAGATCCATCTTGGCTCAGCCTGCCTTCCAGTGTGACTCCAGCAGGATCCAATTTTGTCCCTGGCCTCAGTTTCCCCTTTTTCGGGTCCTTTTGGCTCTTACACAGAACTAGTATCTGTGGTGTTGCAGGAGAGGAGTTTGGCTCAATGAGCCAGGACCCTCATCCCACTGTTCAGAGCCTGTGCACACTGGGCACAGAGAAGAGGAGGCTGTTCACCAGCCCGGAAGCTGTTCTAGGCCATTTAAGAAGCAAGAGTTGGGCCAACACGGCAGTCATCTTCCTTGAGTCCTCAACCCAGTCTCTTGAAAGGTACCAGCATTGTGTGTAGATAACTCTGCACTGGATGTGTGCTTGTGTGTGTATAGCTTATTGTGACTGGAACTCTGAGTGTGACGGGGTCTGTGAAGGGCCTGTGTATTGACATATATGTGATTCGTAAGCCTGTCTATGACTCTATGTTTTTGGGTCCTAGAGGGCAAGTGAGCCTTCATTTTCTAGGCTGCGATTTTATGGACATCCGGCAAGCACTGGGGCCCGGACTTTCGGGTAAACAAATAAGTATTGGGAGGCGCCAGGATAGGCTGAAGAGACTATTCGCCCTGGAAAAAACCCACCTTCTGGCCCCACCCCCAAGCGGCTCTGCCCCGCCTCGAGCCCCGCCCACGGCCTCGGGGGTGTGAGGGCCTCGTAACCTAAGCTCCCTCGCTCAAAATCCAGTCAGTCGAGTACCGTCGCTTCCCTTTCTGCCTCTCTGGTACAGTCTCGGAAGTAATATGCTAGGACACCTGAACTCCAGTCCCCCAAGTGGAGGCCCTTTCCTCGTCCAAGCTCCACCTCCCAGGATCCGCCCTCATAAACTCCCGTGAAATCATTCCGAGGCGGAGTTCTCCAACCCCATTGCTAAAACACACCACACCGCCGGGCTCCCAGCAACGGCCCAACCCTAACCCCGGCTCCTTACGCAAGGTGCCTACTCCAGAGGGCTGAAGTCCCAACCCTAAACCCCGAAGCCGGGCCTGGATCTGCTAATCTCTAGCCCGATCCCGCACCCATCTCGGTCCCTCCCCGGAGTCAGTGAGCCACTCCCCTTTCGGACCAACCCAAGACCCTAAGTCCGCCCCGGATCCTGGTCCCGCAGCCCAGCGCGCGCTCACCGGCGTTGTAGAAGGAATCCAGCGCTGCTGTATCTCCCAGCGCCAGCGTCCCAAAGGGCAGGCTGCGCAGCTGCGGCCGCGGCCGTGACCCGGGGAGCTGCGCGCAAGCCTCGCGCAAGCAGCGAAGCGGCAGCGGCTCCGCCTCGGCTCCTCGCTCGCGCTCCACCCCGGGCTGCGGCTCCCGGGTTAGCACATAGACTACACTGAGAGGCCGGCTTCGCGCGCAGCCCCGGCTGGGGGGCGCTGCGTTCGACCGGCCCCGACTCAGCGCCTCGGCCAGAGGGTCCTGCCAACAGCTGCCGGCGCGCTCAAGGGCCTCGGGCCGCGGGCACTGCCCCGCCATGCGGGGGCGCTCGGGCGTCGGGCGTGCTCTGGGTACCCGGGGCGGGACAGGAGCCAGGGGCGATGTGTCCGGGATCTCGAGACCGGGAATCCGATTGGGACCGGGAATCTCCTATGGGATCTGGAGATCCAAAGTCCCGCCAGAGGTCCCGTTTCCAAAATCTGGAGTCCAGGGCGAAATGCAGTCTCTTACTTGGAAGGTCGTGAGGATCTGAAATCGGGAATTGGGTCCCGGGAATCTGGGGCATCCAGTGATCCGTGGCTCAGAGTCACGTGGGAGATTCCGGGAATCGGTCCGACCCTGTCCGCCACCCAGACTCCGCAGGAGAGCACCACCCAGACTCCGCAGGAGAGCGTCCACCGTCGTTTTCTCTGCCCTCATATATAGGTTGGGCCCAGCCCTTTCCCGCCGACCCGGAAAGCCCCACCCTCGGCCCTGGGGCAGCACTGCTCCCTAGCGGCCCGGGACTCAGCCTCTCTCCTCCCTGCTATCCAGCTAGAACCTCTGAGCCAGGCGCTTCCGGAACAGCCTGTGCCACTGTGCACGCCAACCACTGTGGATTGCTCACAACAGGAGCTCATAATACGGGTGCCCAGGCCTGGGCTAGGGGAACGGTGTGAATTACAGGCCCTGTCCTGCAGGGATCTGTTGAATGAATGGATCTCCAGAGACATCAGGATGTGCAGAGCATGGGGAAGAGGGGTGGGTGTTCTCCAGGGAGGAACTGGAATGGAGAAAGTCTGTCCCTCCACCTGCCTGGAGGCCATCAGCCCTGGTATGGGACTTGGCATCTGAGCACCCCAGTTTGCCCCCTTGCCAGGGAGGCTACTTCCCCCAGAATCCAATCTGATGACCTTTCACGTCCATTCAAAACCTGACCATGGGACTTAAGAGTCTTCACACAAACATTTCTCTACCCACCTGAAAGAGAACCCCAGAACTCCAGCCCTTCTCCAGTAAGTGAGGCAGCACCCTGGTGTAAACTTCAGTGGACTCTGAAATCAGGAACTGGGGACTGAGAGAGGTTGAGTAACTTGTCCAAGATCACTCAGCCACGTGAGCTGAATGCAATCCCCAGGATTCCTTATCAGACTACAGATATCAGACTCTTAACTGACATATTTTGCCATGTATAATGTGCACCTTTTTGCCCAAATTTTTGAGGGAGAAATAAGAATGTGCATTATACATGGGTATAAGGATTACATACCATGGGTATAATAATCCCATGTATAATGTTCACAAAACATGGGTGTGCATTATACATGGCAAAATACGGGTACTTATTGCTCTGCCACTTTCTAGAATGTGGCTCTGGCAGATTAACTGCTTTATAAATGCTAGCTCAATAGCTGCTGTTTCATTACCTGTGGTCCCATTGAAGAAAATGTACCTTCCTTGGTTTTACCCTGAATTTAAACCAGCCCCTACTGGAACCAGAGAGTAGCCAAGGATGAGAATCTGGTTTACAACAGAGGCTGGAGTGGAAAACAGATGACCTATAAAAGACAGTCGTGGGCAACAGAGAAGGTGAGAAAATTGCAATTTGCACCACAAAACCACCCACTTGCAGGACCCAGAGGGCCCAAGGACACTGTCAGTGGACGCTTGAATCCCAAGTCCTTCATTAAATGTTCTCCTGGCCTTGGCTTGTGTACCTCCAGGGACGGAAACCTTATTACCTTAGGAGGCTTATCCGTTCATCTTCCTGACTGAAAGAAGTCTTTCTTCAATGGAGCTAAAAACCTGTGTCCCTACTCCACCCTCCAGCTCCACCCTCTTGAGGTTTCCCCAGTAACTGGAACAGTTCTGCAAGCCAGGAAAGGGTTAAAATGATTTTATTTTTAAAAGTGGACAGCCGAGCAGAGGCAGTTAGCAATGGGGAGGGGTAGCCGAGGGTCCGGAAGCTGTGCAGGAGAGATAAGGGTGCTCGTTGTCAGCGTGCCCTAGCGAAGCATTATGCTAACCCTGCGGTAAGGTTGGCCCGCGCCGAGGCCTGAGGCCCAGTCAATGCCAAACTTGTGGGCAGCGGTGGGGGACATCACATAGTGTCCATTGAGATTGGCTCGATAGCAGGATCCGTACCACCAAGCACCGTGGACAACCACTGCGCGGTCGCCTCTGCTTTTGGCATCATGGTCAGCATCGTAGGTGGGAAAAGACTCCCCATTGTGAGAGCTCAGGGAGTCCCCTGTCAGGGAGGGGACAGGAGGCACATTGGTGCCAGCACCATGCCTGGCGCCCTGGAAGAGATTACCTCACAGGAGCCTCAGAACAAATGAGAGGTGGGTGTTATCAGGCCCCATGAGAAAACAGCAGCACCAAGGAGCCAGGGTGTTCGCCCAAGGTTCGTCACGGGGGCACTGGGACTTTAACTCAAGACTGTGGCTCCAAAGCCAACGGCTCCCCTCCCTGCCTTGTCCCCTCCCAGAATCCCCAGCTTCCCTCTAGCTCCTGTGTCTCTTTGTAGCTCCCGTCTGTCTGCGGCAGCCTGAGCAACTCTGTCAAGAAGAGCTGGGAGGGGCTTCTCAGATGCCGGGGCAGGAGAGGGGGCTCTCCTGAGGCAGCTCCTTATGTCACTTCCCTCTTTCAAGTCTTTCCTCAACAGTCGCTGTTCCTCTGAAAAAAACCTCCCCTCGATCCTCTTCCAAAGCAGATAATGCTAACACTCAACAGGGCCTCAGATAGTTCCCACAGCCTCCCTCCCGGCCTCCTTGTCCCTTTTACAGTGTAGGAAACTGAGGCTCTGACAGGGAAGGAAGTTGCCCAGGGTCACATAGTTAGTAAATGACAGAGCTGGTCTGTTTGCCTCATGAGCCCAAATTCCTTACTCCTGCACCGCGTTGCCTCATAATTGCCATCTCTCAGATGATAACACTGAGGCCCACAGAGGAGAAGGACTTATCCTGGGTCATTATGGAGGCAGTGCCAGTGCTGTGGCAGTATCCCTCACCTTTTTCACCTACTCCAGGGCCCCGCCTGAGGGTTGCTCACCTGCAGTGCCCCCTAAGAACTTGCCCAGCACCAGCTGGTAGTGGTCCGCCTCCCCAAGGAGGCAGAAGGACTCATAGCGGGCAAAGGTGTGGTTGCCATTAAAGTCCTCCAGCTCCACCCGAAGCTCCCAGGTACCGGGTGGGGGCGGAGGGCAGGGCAGGGAGGAGGAACCCTCAGGGCCCGGAATGCCAGCGGAACGCCCCTCAGGCTCCCTGGACCCTGCTGGGAACGTGGAGTGTCAGCTGGTGCAAATTCTCATTACCCAGCCAGAATTCAGACTCCTGATTCCTGAAACCTGCTTTGTAGGAGGACCAAGAGCGGAAGAAATCCACAGAACACCTAGGGAGGCAGGGAAGGCTAGCACACGGGCCACTCCCCCAGGCTTGGCGTGAGACGAGGAGAAGCAGGGGCAGTGGCAGCGGAGAGCAGGCACACTGTGAGGCGCGGCAGGCGTCCCCTGCCTCTTTGGACTGGGGGCTTGTTGATAAAGCGTCAGTTCAAGTGAGTTTTGCCTGTGAATATATCGAGGAACTCTACATTCTCTTATTAACTTTTAGCGTCAGCAAAACTGTAAACTTCACACCAAAGCCTTGCTAGCCCTGGGGGAGACTGAAATAATAGAAATGTCGTTCGTGCCTTCTGGAAGTGGTCAGTTCTGCTGGGAGTCAGGTTCAAAATAACTGGCTTTAATTTACTATGATTAGAGCACAGAGGTCACCTCTGGAGGCCCAAGAGGGACTCCTGGCCTTACCCTGGAGCCCCCCTTCAAGCCAAGCAGTCCCCAGGCTCCATAGAGTTTCCCTCCTAAATACCTTTCAGTCTGAGCGCCTCCACTTCCGTTGTTGCCACTGCCCATTGTCTTCTCCGACCTGAACCTCTGCAGTCCTAACTTGGGCCCTGTTTCTACTCTTGTCCCCCACTGCAATGCATCTTCCATGTTGTCATCTTTCTAGAACATAAGTCTGACCTGGCGATTCCCAGCCTAAAGCTCTCCCTTGGCTCCCCATTTACCCCCATGAGCCCCAGTCAGTCATTCAGTGCTGTCCGTGGACTGGCCTTTGCCGAGGCCTTCATCCGCCTTGGCCCACACCAGTGGGCCTCAGCCAGCCACTCGTACCTGCTCTCAGCTCACCTGCGTGGTCCACCCGCCACCTCGCAACCCTCTTGTACTGTCCTGTCTCGCTGCGTCTGTCTTTCCCTCTGCCTGGAATGACATTCTGCACGTCATGTGCCTTGAGAACTTCTACACAGCCTTCAAGGCCCTGTCAGATGTCACCTTGTCCGTGAAGCCTTCTGAGACTTCAGGTCCCCTGGGAGCTCATAAAGTGTGTCTGCGCCTTACTCTGAGAAATGTCTTGGCTCCAGGGGGCTCTGGCTCCCCCTGGGGGCCAAAGGGCTGGTGTGGGCCTGGCCTGTGAGTCCTCTCTCTGACACTCACCAGCCATCCACCCCCTTGGGTGTCCATGTCACAGAGAACTGGAAGGACTCTGCCTTCAGGCAAGCACACATGGTACCAGCCGCTCGAGGTGGCGCCCCCGCTGAGCAGCTCCTGGCAGCTCCTGGGGCCTGGAGGAGGGGAGATGGACTGAGAGGCCCCCAAGTTGTGACCCCACCCCCACCCCCACCCCATGGGCAATGGAAGAGGCTAAGTGTGGGTCCTCAGGAGCCCTCTCTGCTCCTTCAGGTCCCTGCAAGGAGCTCTAGGGCTGGACCACACCTGGTAGTCCACCAGCACCCCAGCACCGCCTGGTTCCAAGCTCTGGGCTCCTGCAAGGGCTGCCTCACCCTCCTGGCACCGGAGCAGGTTCGCTGGGTCTCCTGCCTCGACGAAAGATGGAATATTAGCGCCGAGGTCTGCGTATCCCTGAGGGGATGCCCACGAACCACCAGAGGGGAGGATGCGCAGGCCCTTCTCCTAACCCTGCCCACCCCTCTCAGCCTTCCGTCCGTCTGCAGGGGGGCAATCGCAGCCAATGGCCAAGCAGCAACCCAGCAGAGCCCTCCCCCTTTCTAGCCCGGGGCAGAGCACGGGAAGAAGAGGGCTGGGTTTCACTCGCTCACCTGCCTCACCCTTGGGGCCCATCTTGCCCGGTGGTCCAGGTCTCCCTGAAGTCCCAGAGACAGAGATGCTGGACGTCCCACCCCATACCCAGGGCCACCAACAACAGGGATTCGGAGACTGGAGTCCAATTCCGGCTGCACCCTTCCCTGGCAGTGATTGTGGACAAACGACTTATCCTCCTGGAGCCTCACTTTCCCCGTCAGTAAAAAGGGGGAAACTCTCCGGCTGCCTCACAGGGTTGATCTGTGGATCCTGGGTGCCCAGCCTGGAACCCCGCACACGGTAGGTTCCTGGCCCTTTTGTCATCACCTCTTAGCACAGTTGTTGCTGCACCGCCAGCCTCCTCAGTTTACCCCAGGTCCCTGTCTGCTCCCTGGTATCTCTCACCTTGAGGACCTGGAGATCCCTTCTCCCCAGGACTTCTTGGGGCCTCAGGACAGCCCGGCAGGAGGACAATTTTGCTGGCTTCCAGGTCCCGGGGTTCTGGGTGGAGACACCGGGCCGGGCGGGCACAGAGCAGTCACAGGGCAGCGGACTTGCTTCTCTCTCCCAGAGCCCCTGCAGTTCTCCTTCCGTCTCCCAGATTCTAGCTGTCAGGCCGCTTGCCTCCAAGAGCCTTCAAGGCTTCATACTGTCTGCATCTAATTGCAGAGTCCAGATCATCAAACGCCCACCCAGCTCCTCGAGGCTGGTAAGCCTGGGCGGGAGAACGACACTCAGCGAGGTCACGAGGGTGGGTTGTGGGGAGGCGCTCTAGGACCCGACCTGGACAGCTGGGGTGGTCCTCAGTCCTCAGACAGGCTGGCTCCCTGAGCAAGAAGAGCAAAAGGCAGGGGGGGTCTGCAGGAGGCCCATCTTGCTGGTCCCCTCGAGAGCAAAAAGCCACTTTAGAAGGGCGCTGGGCTGGTGGAAGAACAAAGAAAGACTTCCATCCATTGTGCCTCCTCAGGGGCACCCTACCCAGGTTGGAGCGAGCAGGAGATGAAGGCATTTCCTCCCTCGGCCCCAGGGAGAATGGGCATTATCGCCGCCCTATTCACCTGGGATGGAGTCTGACCATTGCTCCTGGCTGCCAGGGCCCCTCAGCCCTCTTTCTAGACCTTTGCATTCAGGGGGGATTTCTGCCTTTGAACCTTAGCTCATTCTGAGCCTTCCATCTGGAACGCCCATCTCTGCAGCTCTACTGTGAAGCTTCGCCTGTCCATGAAGGCCCAGCCCTAATGTCGTCTCCACTAGGAATCCTTTCCCGAGCCTGTCAACAGTATTAATGACCTCTATGGCAGGCCCAGAGCTCGTGGTGGCAGGGACGGGGGAGGTACAATGCGGCATCAGGGAAAGTGGGAGCCCAATTTACCAGACAGGATGGATCCATGAGATGGATGCTCTGAGGCCCTGCAATTCCAGTTCCGGGAATCTGTCTTCCTCAAACTCTCCCACAGGTGTGACAAGATCCTTGGACAAGCCTGTTTCTCAGGGTGCTGTTTATAATAATCAATGTGGAAATGACCCAACAGGACAATGATAGGATGAAGGCAATTAAGTTATCACCATGTGGACAAGTCACTGGGCAAATGTGAAGAATAATGAAAGGGGCCAAGTTGCAGAATGATATATACAGTACAGCCCCACTTTGTATTTTAAAAAAGCTAAATGTAAATTCACAGGAAAAGGTCTGAAACATACTGCGAACCAGAGCTACTTCTGGGGAGTGCGACCAGTGGGGCAGCTATTCTCACTCTTTATATAAACTTCTGTACGGCCCTTTTGTTCCTTAGAGGCATTTACTACTTTTGAAAAGAGAAAACATCCAATGAAGGAATTTTCTTAACCGAGTGGAAAGCCAGCGGGGGGTGGGGGGGGCGCATTTCTTCCCTCCGCCCCAGGGAGAATGGGCATGATCCCTGCCAGCTCTTAAGTGCCGGCTGGAGAAGCCAGGGGAGGGTGATCCAGGCAGGGGAAATTGCGTGTGCAAAAGCTTGGAGCGGAGAGAGAGCAAGGCAGGCTGGGTAACAGGAGGTAGATCCAAGTAGCTGGAGGGGTGGCTCAAGGGGAGGATGTCTGAGAGGATGGTGGGCATTGATGAAAGTATGGGCGCGGGGGAGAGGTGGACTGTTTGGCATTTTGTCGACGATGGCGTGACCTGTAGGCAGGTGAGCTCTCTGTGAGGCCAAGGAGTAGCCGGAACTACCCATGGACTTCCAGCGGCAACTGAAGAGCCTGCAGGGCAGCCAGGCCTGGAGACTTCTCCAGAAGGCTCAGCTGTAGGCGCACATCTTGAAGTGGGGGGGGCACCCTGCCATGAAGCAGACGGAGCACATGCACCTGCTCTGGACCTTCCCCACACCCCACTGAGATGGAGACTGCTGTTACCCCACTTTACAGATTAGGAAACTGAGGCCTGGAGCTATTAAATAACTTGCTCTAGTTCACACAGAGTGGTCAGGTTCCACAGGCTGAACTCTCAGCCATTATTCTCTCTGTTGCCTCTCAGCTTCCTACGACAGTCCTGGGATTATTATCAGACCCTTAGCCACATGTCCGGTTTCCGGCACATGCTGCCCTCAGTGGGAGACGTTATTAGTTAGAGAAGACTTCTGGGCCCAGGGATGCGGCAGGCGGGGGGCGGGGGCAGTGAAGGGTGGGAGGAGGGCATGGGCAGGGCTTCCCGGGAGGGCCCGAAGGGTGGAGAATTACAGGGGTGTCTCCACATCGACGCAGGGGCAGAGACATAACTTCAGGAGCTGAGAGAGCCTGAAAGACGCCTCTGCACGGCGGTTCTAAAGTCCTTTTCACTTTGGAGCCAGAAAAACCTAGATTCAGGCCCCAGCCCTGCCCCATCCTGCTACATGACCGTGAGCAAGCACAGTCAGCTTCCTGAGCCTCCGTACAGGGCGCCGCTGTACAGGGGCGGGGGAGGAGGTTAGCCTCGTATAGCAGATGAGGATTTTGTAAAAAATGACATCACCAGTCCAAGGCTGAATTCCCATTAAGGAGGGGACAGTGGCCATATCCCCACCCCATCCAAATCCACACACAGCCCATGACACAGGACACAAGCACAGCGCTGGAGAGAGTTCCTTTATTCGAGGGCGACGCCCAAGCCAGGTCTGTGGGAAGAGGCAGGCACAGACCCAATGCCAAGCAGGGGGCCCACAGGGGGCCCACAGGGATGACAGATAAGACAGGGGGAGTTGGAGGACGCTCTCGGCTGCATGTACCAGGACAGGAGGGGATGGCAGGTATTGGACACTGAGACTACTCGGCGCCAAAGATTTTCCCATCCCCAGCGCCCACAGGGGGTCAAGGGGGCAGGCTCTTCGTTCTCCTCCCCCTCAGTGTGGAGCCCAGGCCCGAGGGGGTCCGATTCTGCAGAGGCAGGCAGAGGGCACTCAGGGCGGTGGCCTTGCCTCAGCCAGGCTGGGGACCCCACCCCCAGAGAACAGGTGGCAGCTGGAAGAGCAAACACTTCAATGGAGGCTGCAGTGACCCGCCCCACAGCACACACGGCACACGGGGACCTCCGAGCAGCTCCCCTTCTCAGAGGAAAACCAAACCGCACACACAGCCAAGGTCCTGCCCAAGGCCACGGAGCCGCAGACCAAAGTCTCGCCTGGGCTACCACCTACTGGTTCTCCTCCCTGCTGGCAGCATGAGGGGACAAAGACAAGTGGGCTCAGCTGGGCTCTTAGACACCAGGCCCAGCTGAGTTCCAGTCCCAGCCAATACCTGGCAGAAAGAATCCCACAACGGGGGGAGGAGGAAGAGGTATGGCTCACGTGAGGGACCCTGAGCGGGGAGGCATCACCCTTAGGGCCACCGCACTGAGAAGACAGCCCACTGTCACTTAAGGGGACTGGAGGGGCAGGATTGGGGTGGGGAAAGTGAGCCAGTCTCTGCTGGCTGGTCAGGTACTCACAGTGTCTGGTAGGTGCTGTCCTTGGCCTTGAGGAAGCGCAAGACGAAGAAGGCCACTGCCTGTAGGCACAGCACCAGCACGATGCCTCCGACGAAGCTGGCCCCATCGAAGCCAGGGTTGTGGGCTTCAGGGGTGTGCGGGCTCCCTGCAGGGCGGAGTCATAACGGGCCACCGAGGGCCTGGATTGCAGACCCACCCCAGCAACCTACACAGGTCACCTGGAGGCCCCAGTCCTCACTATGGGAGCCCAGAACAGCAGGCTCAAAAGTTCAGTGGGGTCCTGTGGGCAGCTGGGAGGTGCCTGGTGGGAGGGACAGTGCCCAGCTGGGCAGGGCAGGGCCTTGGCTCCCACCCTGCCTCTGCTCCTGAATTGCTCTGTGGCTCGATGCTTCTCATGCCCTCTCTGGGCCTCCTGACCACACAGACCGGATGGCGACTGAGCTCCCTTCCAGACTCCCTCTCTCACACTGGCCTGAGAGCACGAGGAGGGACCCAGACCTCAGGCATCCAGGCTCCTTTAGACCTTGGGTCTCAGGGTTCAAAACCCAGATACAGATGATGTGGCTCCCTAGCAGGATTCCTAAGACCCTGGAGCTACCCACGTCAGAGCCCTTACTTACAGAGGAAGGAGCGGAGGCACACACTCTGGTCTGCCTCGGGGAGTGGGTAAGTGGAGACCAGATGATGTGTGTCAGAGGAAGAAATGGGGCCCTAAGGGCCAGACCTGTCCAGAGTCACCTCTCAGCTAGGACAGAGCCAGACTCACGCAGCGTCCCCTAATTCCTTCCCCTGCCCTGCCTTAGGGCCCATGGTTGTCAGACTGTGCCTGGGTGGCTCCCAGCTGTGCCACGTTAGCCATCAACTCTCACCAGGGATTCGATTTCAGGCCTTGGGCCCAGTGCCCAGGGCGGGGCGGGGCTGCTGGTGGGAGATCATTCTGGAGCAGTGGACAGGGCCCCAGCTGGGACCTGGGTCCACCTCCCAGGGACTGGAGCTTGTGTAAGGAGTTCTGAGAACATGAAGGGCAAAGGGTGGTTCCAGCCGCAGCTCAGGCAATGCTTTCTGAGGGGGAGGAGTGGAAGAGGGAAGAAATGAGCTGCCCAAGACCGATCTGGGGCTTGAGCTGGAGGGAGCCGAACTATCAATAATTCAGCCTCTCAGATCACGTTTCTGGCTTTAATTAACCAAGAGCCTCTTTAGCCATCTCTGCCAAGCCTGCTGAACTCCAGGCCCTGAGGGGCAGTGGGGGCCAAGGGGTGGGGTTCTTGCCTGGTCTGCTGGGAATCTGCTTTGTGGCCCTCCCTGGACCAGCAGGTGGTCACAGTGGACACCTCACTGGCAACCTGAGCCACACACCATCGGCACCAAGCACAGGTCCTTGAGTGGGTCACTCCGAGCTCTCAGAAATGGTGTTGGGAAGAGGGGATTAGAACCCATCATTTCTTGATCACCTTCCTTGTATCAGACACTGAACTAGGTGCTATACACCCTTTCACAAAATTCTCACAACAACAATGAGAGTTGGTATCCAATCCATTTTATAGACGTGGAAACAGGCTCAGAGGGAGAAGTCACAGGTCTGAGGTCACAGAGCATGCCAGTGGCTCAGCTCAGCTCTGTCTAGTCCTACCACTGGCCAGTTCCCCCAGGTAGTACCTACCTGTTGTGATTGTCTTTGGTTCATAGGTGGGGTGGTGGTGGGCAGCTAAAAAGACAGGGAACCCATAAGAAGCCAGCTCTCCCACCCCTTGACTCCCATCGAGACCCCAGCCCGGGCCAACAGCTGGATGTCTGACTCAGATCAGATCCTCTGTCCCAGGTTCAGACCCACCCAACATACTTTCAAGCCTTTCTTCAACGCAGTTCCTTTCACCAGATGTGCCCTCTCTCCCTCGCAACCTTTAAAAGTCACCTCTGATGCCACCTCCTCCAGAAAGCCCTCCCCTGTTTCTTTCTGAACTTCCAAAGTCCTCACTACACTTTACATTAGAGGAGCTAACGCCCCCTTTCCCCCCACCCCCCCCACCCCCATCCTGTATCCTCCACCTGTACCAATTTACAGAGGAGGAAACAGGCCAGAGAGGGGAAGAGAGTTCTGGGTGAGCTAAAGGCAGAACTGAAACTGGACCCAGGTACGGCCCTCTCCCCGAAAGAGAGAGAGAGACAGATTCCTCCTGGAGGGGAGGCTTTGGCTGGGGACACCTCAGTCCCCTCCCCACAACTTGGATTAGGCTAGCGGGAGCCCCCTTACCTGGACATGACTCTGAGTGGTTGTAGACAGAGCAACCTTCCTTGACCACCTCAGTTTGGTCCACACAGTGTCCTAGTGGGAGAAGGTGCAAGGGAGAGATTTGGGGAGAGGGGCCAAGGTCCTGGGGTTCAGAACCGAGGCACTCAGCTTGGGGAGGGCCAAACTCCATACCTGGCTCCTCGGGCCGACATTGCTCCCACACGCAGCCAGAGAGGTTGTGTGCTCTGTCCCCCTCCACACAATGCTCACAGAGCTTCAGCTCTTTACAGGTCCCTTGGACAGCTGGCCAGATGTTCATTTGGAGCAGGGCTCCCCGCCCAAAGCCTCGGGCTCCTTTCCCTGGTAGGGGGCGGGGGAGCAACTCCTTGAATACAACTGCAGCTTCCCTTCCCCACTGCTGTGGCTCTCTCCCTCTGCACACACATACACTCACCTGGATCCCCTAATCCCCACTGCACACCTGGAGTTTCCACAAACATGACAACACACATTTAAACCTCCCTGACATTCACCCCAGCGTCCTTTCCCTTAGCATGTACCTGGGGTTCTTCAGTTACATTTGAGGCTGCCGCCCCCGGACACACCTGAGGCTCCTTACTATATACATACACTGGGCTCTACACAGCCAGAGCCGCCTTTACCCACCCCTGGAGCCCCGCACACGTATGGAAAGTCCTCTTCTACTCCCCCATTACCCCTCCCAGCCGCCTGCTCCTGGACAGGCGACTGGGGGAGGGGCACTCTTCACCTGCCCCGCTCCTAACCAGACCCTGGCCAGCATTACCAGCCACAACGAGCTGGGCACACAGGAGGAGGCAGCAACAGCCGCCACAGAGCGCGGCCCGTAAGGCTTGGGGTCCCGGCAAGGCCATGGGCGCGGGGGCGGGGTCTGGGGGTCGGCGGAGAGCTTGTGTCCCGCGTCCCTTCTGGACTCGGCTCCGCCAGGGTATGGGAACGAGACTGACCGACGGGGGCGGGGCAAGGTGGGCGGGGGCAAAGGTGGGCGGGGCTAGTGGCGCAACCCGAAGGGGCCGGGCTTGACGGTCCGGGGTGGGGCCAGGTAGGGCGTGGTTACTGGGTGCGGTCAGGTGGGGCTGGGTCCGGCGGTCTGGGGCGGGGCTCTGACAAAAGGGGGCGGGGTCCAGGACCAGTTGCGCACCTGGTACCTGGGAACCCCCCAGCGGCAGTTCCATAGAAAATGCTGAGCAGCGAGTTATCCCTACTTCACCGGTGAGGAAACTGAGGCTCAGAAAAGATGAATGACTAGTTAGAGGTCACAGAGTTAATGGCAAAATATGGATTTGGAGCAAGGTCACTTTCCTGCCCCCTGGGCTTGGCACAGGCGGGGCCTTGTCGAGTGCACCCTCCAACCAGGCCCCAGGACTGCTGACCAGCTACAGCTGGCCCCTCAGCTCTGGCCCCCCACCTGGCTTCAATCTCTGCACCCTCCTCTCTTTTGTCCCTCAGCCCACCATGTCTGCCTCCAACCCACATCTTCTGATCAAGTCACCAGTCTCATTGTTACTGGGGCAACTGAAACTTTTCACAGCTTTCCCTCCTGCCTTGACAACCGCCCTGGCGCCCACCTCTTCTGGTTCTTCTCCCATTACAATCACTTCTCAGGTTCCTTAGAGGGTGCCTCCTCTTCCTCTTTCCCCCTCCTTCTCTCTTCTTCCCCTCCCTTTCTTCCCCCTCGGTTTCTCCTTTTCCTCCTTCCCCATCTTCGTCGCTAATGGCCCAGTTCAGTCCTGAGACCTATTCCATCTCTCCTGGGGTCAGCTCGGTCATTCCTCTGCCATCGGTTCCCATTTGAAAGCCAATAACTATCTCTCCATCTCCAGTCTAGTGCTCTCTCCCCAGCTGCCACACCTGCAACTAAAAATACATAGTTAACAACTATTGACCCCTTACTGTGAGCAGAATGTACATTCTACTAAGAGCTTTTAACTTGCAGCTTCTCCTCTAATGTCCACACTACCCTCTAGGTATGGGTTTTATCTCCAAATTGCAGATTTCAGAAGTAACATCATCCCCTGAATGGTGTGACTCAGTGGGTTGAGCATCATCGCACAAATCAAAACGTTGCCAGTTTGATTCCCAGTCAGGGCACATGCCTGGATTGCAAGCCAGGTCCCCAGCTGGGGGCATATCAGAGGGAACTGACCGATGTTTCTCTAGCACATTGATATTTCTCTCCCTCTCCTTCTCCTTCTCTTCCCCTCTCTCTAAAAATCATAAATAAAAGCTTTGTGGGCGGCAGGATATAGCCTAGGATCCAATGAGGCCAGAGGCTACTCCCCCCTCTTATTATGCCTTCTTTTGGCCCATCTGCTTCCTGGGCACCTCCACATCCTGCCTGGTCCGTCTCCCCCACCTAGGAAGGCCCCTTCATTCCCTGAGCCTCCCAATTGGAAACCAGGGGCTCATCCTCACCCCTTCCCGTTGCCCCCCAAATTAAAATCCTGCAGATTCTGCCTGTGCGTATCTCCTCGGACCTACTCCCTTGTCTTCTCTTTGCTGGCCTCACTGCCTCTCAGCCTCCAGGCCCTTCCCCAAGTTGGCCCTCATAGTGCAGGGCTCTACTAAAACCATGTTAATAAAGAATGGGTAGGCCTCCACAACCCTCTGTCTCCTGGCTCTATAAGTCTCTCCAGCATGTCCTGGGCTCACCCCAACACCTTCCTACCCTCCAAGAAGATATAACAGCCTCCCCTCTAATACACCTTGCCTTTTCTACCTCCTTGCCTCGATCCTATAGCTGCTCTGTAAACTGGAGGGCCCTCTTTCTGTTACCAGACAGGGGCCTGGCCCTGAGCAGGTCTGCCTAGGGCCAACTATAGTGCGTGGGTTCTTGACTTCATGAAGGAAAGATTTCACAACACGAGTCCAGGTGACTAGGAGGATGTGTTTATTGAAGTTGGGTGCAGTGAAACAAGGAAGGGCTTAGCATAGAGGGAGTAACAGGAAAGACTTGGCTGGCCTGCCTTAGCTCACTGGGAAGTCAGAGAAAAGGGGGTTTTGGGGACACATTCGCAGGATTAGCCTGGGACAAGCTGCCAGCTGCCCATTGCCTTAGAGTTTAGGAGATGTGTGCCTGGGGGGCAAGGAGACGGGGGAAGAAGAAGGGAAAGGAAATGGCGCCAGCTGCTCCTCAGAGGGAGAGCATGCACGCTGGGTCTTTTATCTTGAGGCTTTTATCTCTTTCTTGCAGGCAGAAATCTTAGAAGAGGTCTCAGGGAAGGGTTTCAGTAGAACAGTCGTCAGTCCTCCAGGTGCGCCCTTCTTGGGGTCGTGGTCTCCACTGATTGGTCAGTGACAGGGCAGGGGGTCTTTAGTCATTGCACTTGGTTCTGGCATCACCCCCCTGGTTTTGCTGCTTTTCTGAACCTGGAGCTGAAACACAACTGAGGCCTGGATGTTACCTCCAGGCAGGAAAGGCGAGGGGAGAAGAGGTTACCCTGGGGGTGAGGCCCTTGTTTTCGCAGTTTTGCCCGCTGCCGGGCACTGGGGCCTTCCGCCCTGGGGCCCATCTGCACCTGGCTGTAAGTTGTTTGGCCACTGTGTTCAGCTACCTGTCTCAGTTTCCCTATTCCCCTTGCCAAGGAATTTCCCTAGCTCCTCATTTCTCCCCTGACTCCATCTGTCTGGCAAACTAATCCTTCGTGACACCACACTAGAGGGCCAGCTCCTGCAGGAAGCCCCCGTCACTGTCTCAGCGCAAGGCCGAGCTGCTGCAGCACTTGTCCAGCTGGTAGACCTGAGGCCATCTGCGCCTCCACAGCAGAGCACTCACCTCCTCACCATCTCTTGCCTGGGTGACTGCAGGCCTCCTGGTAGGGCTCCCGCTTCTGCTCCCCCACTTCAGTCTGTTTTCCACTCAGCAGCCTGAGTGATCCTTTGAAAATGGAAGTCAGATTATCTGACTCTCCTGCGTAGGCCCACCGGTGGCTCTCATCTCACCGTTTTCCGACTTACATGATCTTCCCTCCGCCTTCCTCCCAGGGCTCAATCCTTACCCCTTTGGCTCCAATCTCCTCTCTGGTCCTCAAACACATCAACTCTTTGCCTCCTGAGGGACCGTACACTTCCCGTGCCTTTTCCTTGAAACTCTTCTATTAAATGACTCACACCGTGGCCTCCCTGCTTAAAAGAGGTCTCCTGGTTATTCTGCATCATGATACCTTCTTTTTCGTTCAGAACATGTATCCAATTGTTCTTTTGTTTCCTAGGCTGTACATTCCATGAAGGCAGAAACAATGTTGATCTTCTTCCCTGCACACATAGCGCTAAGTAGGTGTTTATTAAATAACCATACTGTACCATGTTGTGACTGTTTGTGTACATGTTTGTCTGTCTTACTGGTCTGTGAGACCCTCAAGGGCTCCCACTCAATAACATATCAAGGGTTTATTTTTGAAGTGTCTATCTCTCTGCATTCGAATGGAAGCTCAATGAAGAAGGCAGGGATTTTTTTGCCCTGGCTGGTGTGGCTCAGTGGATTGAGTGCTGGCTTGCAAATTGAAAGGTCACTGGTTTGATTCCCAGTCAGGGCACATGCCTGGGTTGTGGGCCAGGTCCCCAGTTGGGGTTATGTGAGAGGCAACTAATCAATGTATTTCTCACACATCAGTATTTCCCTTCCTCTTTCTCCCTCCCTTCCCCTCTCTCTAAAAATAAATAAAATCTTTTAAAAAAATAAAGAAAGCAGGGAGTTTTGTTCATTGCTGTATTTTCTGTGCCTAGAACAATGCCTGGAAAATAGCAGCTGCTCAATAAATATTTATGGGATGTTGAAATGCGGGAATGGGGCCAGATTCTCTCTCTGTCCCACTCAGATCCAAGCCTGGGAGAACTCTCGGTGAATATTAGCTGAATGATGAATGGGTCTGTGCTAAGAATGTGTGCACTGATGGTGCCCAGATTTCTGGAGCTTGGACAAGGAGTCTGAGTGGATCTTATCTGTGTCTCACACACATAAACCTCCACTTGAGAGCCTACCAGGGGTGTTCAAACTTTTGGCATCTCTCGGCCACACTGGAAGAAGAAGACCACATTTAATGTGGTCTTGGGCCACACATTAAATATATTGTGACACATAATCACAAAAAAACTCATAATGTTTTAAGTAAATTTGTGATTTTGTGTTGGGCCGCATTCATCCTGAGCTGCGTGTGGCCCTCCCGCAGCCCATTGGACACCCCATTGCACAGCCCGGCAGGAAAGATTTCTTACCTGGAAATGATTGCTCACAGCCATCTGGTGGTCACCTAGAGAAGTGCATGTATTGTCAGTCCTGGGATGATGGGGCGTCTAGGCTCCAACGGGAAGGCACACTGGACTTGATTACAGGTAGCCCTGGAGTCAGGTCCCAGTTCTGTCACTTCCTGTGTTATTTGGGGTAACACTTTCTACTTCTCTGGGCTTCACCTACGAAATTGGAATGCAGGGCTGTTGTAAGCACTGTGCTCTGGTTTGGCTTCTGTAGGTGGGGAGGATTGGAGAGGGTGTTGATGGTGGGGAGAGGCAAGGAGGTAGGGCAGAGGGCATGAGGAGGAGCAGGAAGGAAGGGCTGCCCCTTCCTCTAGAAAGCAAGTCTTTGGGGGAAGAGAGACCTGGTTGGCGGTGATGGCCTCAATTGTCCTGTTGATATGGGGCAGTTTGGGAACATAAGAGTGTGCATGTGAAAATCCACAGGCTCACTTGCATCTCTTGGATCTCAGGGTTTCTCAGGGTCAGAAATATCACTGCACTCCTTTCCTCCCTGGCTGCCTGAGGATTGACCTCCACCATGAACAACAAAGTCACTGTCAGGATCAGGAAATTCTGGCCAACCTGCTACTTCAGTGGAAACATGGTCTTCAGTGTCCTTCCCCCTGGGAAGGCAATAGTACCTAAGACAGAAATTTGGGACAAACTAGCCAAAATGTACAAGACCACACCAGATGTCATCTTTATATTTAGAATCAGAACCCATTCTGGTGGTGGTAAAAAAAAAATGGCTTTGACATAATTTGTGATTTCTTGGTTTATGTAAAGAAAAATGAGCCTGGACACAAGCTTGCAATCCTGGCTTGTATGCAAAGAAAAAGACCTCAAGAAAACAGCGAATGGAATGAAAGAGCAGGGTGAGGGCAGACGGGGCTGCAGGGCAGGCCAAGGGCGGTGCAAGAAGAAGTAAAGACTCTGCAGTGACTTTGTGGTGATTGTGCAGATTTTTAATGAGATAATTAGTAAACTATGAACAAATTTTAAAAACTTTCACTGCCACTGCTATTCTGAGTGGCAGTGGATAGCAGAAGATAATCTATTACACACTTTCCTGCCGACATCCCAGCAGCTTTTACCCCTTTCTGAGACCAGCTGGACAGCTGTTGGGACCCAGCTCTGATGGCGGAGAGAGTGGATACCTAAGTCCTGGGGCACTGATGCCCCTGCATTCCCTCTTTTTGACACCCCCACCTTCCTTGACAACGTTGGTGTTACTACTCCCTTTCCTTCTTTCTCTAGATGTTGCTTTTTTAGTTCAATTATCCAGTCAACCTGTATTTGTTGAACATCTACTGCACACCAGGCACTGGAGGAGAGAGCCGCCTAGGACAGAGCTCTGGGAAGCCTGCTTTGGAAGCTGTAGCTTGGACGCAGAGACCTTAATGAAGTGAAGGGTTCTACTGTAGACGCGGGAACGGCCAGCGCAAAGGTCCCGGCGCAAGAACACTGTCATCCACAGTCTGTACCCTGCATGCTGGGGTTCCCTGAGGCCCTTCACTCCCTGCTCTCTCCCCTAAGTGATGTCGTCTACTCTAGAACCTCCGTTACTACCTGCGTACCTGTGCCTCCTGGGTGTCCTCCTCCTGCCAGATACACTATCGGCAGCCCATGCAGCCAGTGCTGACAACGTGCCAGGTCCCTCCCCACAATCCTATGAGTAGATACTAACATTATTCCTATCTTATTGATGAGGAAACAGGTACAAAGAATCTAAGAAACTCACCCAAAGTCACACTGCTAGGACATGGAGGAATGAGGGTTTGAGTCCCGTCTACACTCCTGAACACCTCCACCTGCTAAGCACCCCAAACTCAGTGTATCCAAACTAAAATATATTATCTTCCCTAGCCCGGCCCTCTCTTCTAACTGTGTACGCTGCCACTAGCTTGTCACCTCCTTCCTCCTTCCCTACAGTAACTGTGGGGACTGCAGTGGTACTGTGTTTTGGGGAGAAGTAGGGTGGGGCCTGGGGATCTGGGCCCCTGCTAGTTTCCTAACCTGATCCCTGCCCCCAGCCCCCATTCCACAGGGCCTGGGTGATTCCAAAGAGGTTCAAAGCTAGAGACAGGGAGGAAGAGCAGCCAGCTTCTCTTCCCCAGGACTGGCCATATCTGACCCATCTGGAGAAATCTGGGACTAAGGACAGACAGGATTGGGGAAGACAGAGCTCCTTCTCCATGCCCTACCTGCCAGGGTGCCTGCGACAGGGAGTTGAGAGGGGCCTGCCCTGGGATTGATGTGCCAGGTTTTCTGCTTCCAAGTTCTCCCTGGCCTTCCCTTTCCTGCTGCTTCGGGGAAGCGACCCCCCTATCCACGCCACGCTGCTGGCTTTCCGGATCCTTGAGTAAATAATTCAGGCTTTGAAATCTGGCCAGGCTCAGCCCTCCCGTGCTGTGAGGGTGCTGTTGGGCTGACATGAGTGAGGTCACCCAGCGGCTGATCCCTGCCTCAGCATCACAAACGCCTGCCCTGGCAGCAGCTACCTGCCTGATCACTGTCAGTCCAGACCCTGTCCCACTCACCCTGGGACCCACTCACCACATTCGCCTGGTATCTTCATTCCAGGACCCCACAACCCTCATCACTTAGGTAGCTTTGTCGCCTCAGTACCTCAGCACTTGCTATGGGTCATGGCAGGGTTATGGTGGCCTGATGTGCCATCACCTGCACACTCCATCTCCCCTTGCCACTACCTCTGACAGCCTGGGATCTCTGAAACCCATCCTGCCACAGAGTCACTCTCACACTGATATGGTTGCCCTGGGGGCTTCCCTTCCTACGTCAGCGTCCCTCAGCTACCATCCCTCAAGATCCTGTCACCATGTTCATATCGTCACTGCCACCCACCTCCCTGCTCCCTTGTGTTCCCGTCACCATCACCTCAGAGCCCTGTCATCTTCACCGGGGACACCCATTCAGCCTCATCACTCGATTTCCATCACCTGAATTTCGTCAGTCTGTCCTTGCCACTCGAGGGTCCCATTGCCCCACAGCTTATCCGGGTCTCCTTTTCGTTGCCCTCCCACATCCCCCACAGCCTCCCTAAGACTTTTCCAAGGCTCACCCTCCTCTGCCCCCAAAACCCCCGGCCCACAGAGGGCGCCGCGTCAAGGACAGCGCGGGCCGAGTCGGAAGGGGCGGGGCCGCGGCCACGGCCGCTTTTTATGAATGGGGGAGCAGGCTGTGCGAAGCCTTATTACTATGCCGCGCGACGCGCTCTGCGCCCCAATGCGACGTGCCCATTGGTTAGCCGAGGCGTTGACGTCACCAAACCGGTGGCCGGGGGCGGGGCGAGGCGGAGTGACTCACGCCGCTTCTCCCGCGGCCGCGGGGGCTTGTCGGGGTCCGCTCACACCCTGCGCTGCCCAGACCTGAGTGGGAGCTTTCCGCGCGGCCCGGCCGCGCCCAGTCCTGAGAGGTGAGTAGCAGTCTCCGCCGCGGTCACCAGGCGTCCCGGAGGGCATGCAGGTTGCTGGGGAGCTGGGCCGGCGGTCAGGCTCCCAGCGGCCGGCCAGGGTTGGAGGTCAAAACCTGGAACCCAGATTCTGGGCTAGCAGGTGGGACCCAGTGTCCCAGTGCTGAGCTCCATCAGCGGTAACCCGGCGCGGGGTGAGCGCTCCTACAGGAACCGAGGCCCTGGAGGGACTGGTGGTCATCAGAGGTCGGGCTGGCGGGAGGTGGCTGGGACAGGGACCTAGGCGTCCGAGAAGGAGGGGGTGTTTTACTTAAGGGATCCAAACATCCGGGCGGGAGGGGTTTAACTCAGGAATCCAGGCTTCCAGTAGGAGTCTGTTCCAAAGACCCAGGGGTGTAGCCAGAGAGAGGGATCTGGCTGGGGCAGGAGTCTGGGCGGGTGTGTGTTGGCGGGAGGGGGTTTGGGGCTGGGCGCAGGGGGGCGGGGGGAGATGAATTACAAGTGTGGTTATCCCAGGAGTGCGGGGTGGGGGCTGGCGGGAGCTTCACGCGCGCTCCCTGGAGGCGGGGTCTGGGGCTAGCAGTTCTGAGAATCGTGAAGTGTCTGACGAGCCTCAGAAACTGGGCATCATCCTTCCTGGTAGGCAGGGAGCAGAGCTGCTCTCAGTCTTAAGATGTGTTTCCCTTCCCCAGTCCTGGCCTTTCCCAGCATCTCCTGGATCTTACTAGCCCCATCCACTTATGGTAGTCCTTCACCTGGTTCTCCTTTGGTGACACACGTGGGAAGGGGAGGCCTGCAGGACCCAGGGAGTTGGAAGGGAGATGAAGAGACCTAGGACAGGGATACTCAGGAAAAGAGACCTGTGCTGGCCTGGGGGCACCGGGGAGATCAAAGGTATCCTGGAAGGAGCCCTGGGGTATAAGTGGAAGACAAGACATTGGGACCTAGCTAGGTATTCTGAGGAGGGACGCCCACCAAGTATCCGGATAGGCACCTCAGCTCCTGCACACCCCTCTACCCAGCACCCAACCCTGCCAACTTCTCACAGGGCCTTTCTCCTACAGGTACCATGCTGTGGGGTGCAGGCAGCCCCCTGGCCTGGCTCTCCACTGGCCCAGACAACATGAATGTGAGCAGCATGGGCTCAGCAGAGGGGGCCACAGGCCCAGCTGCACCGCTGCCCTCACCCAAGGCTTGGGATGTGGTGCTGTGCATCTCAGGCACCCTGGTGTCCTGCGAGAACGCGCTGGTGGTGGCCATCATTGTGGGCACTCCTGCCTTCCGTGCCCCTATGTTCCTGCTAGTGGGCAGCCTGGCCGTTGCAGACTTGCTGGCAGGCCTGGGCCTGGTCCTGCACTTTGCTGCTGTCTTCTGCATTGGCTCGGCAGAGATGAGCCTGGTGCTCGTTGGTGTCCTGGCGATGGCCTTTACAGCCAGCATTGGCAGCCTACTGGCCATCACTGTAGATCGCTACCTTTCTCTGTACAATGCCCTTACCTACTACTCAGAGACAACGGTGATGCGGACCTATGTGATGCTGGCCCTAGTGTGGGGGGGCGCGCTGGGACTGGGGCTGCTGCCTGTGCTGGCTTGGAACTGCTTGGACTCCCGGGCCACGTGTGGCGTGGTATCTCCACTCTCCAAGAACCATCTGGTGGTCCTGGCTGTTGCCTTCTTCATGGTGTTTGGCATCATGCTGCAACTCTACGCCCAGATCTGCCGCATCGTCTGCCGCCATGCCCAGCAGATTGCCCTCCAGCGGCACCTTCTGCCCGCCTCCCACTATGTGGCCACCCGAAAGGGCATTGCCACACTGGCTGTGGTGCTTGGCGCCTTTGCTGCCTGCTGGCTGCCCTTCACCGTCTACTGCCTGCTGGGCGATGCCCAATCCCCACCCCTCTACACCTATCTTACCTTGCTCCCTGCCACCTACAACTCCATGATCAACCCCATCATCTACGCCTTCCGCAACCAGGATGTGCAGAAGGTGCTGTGGGCCATCTGTTGCTGCTGTTCCTCTTCCAAGATCCCCTTCCGATCTCGTTCTCCCAGTGATGTCTAGTCACATACTGGTGACCCTTCAACCCTGATCACGACAGAATTCCAGAATGTTAGGTCCTCCAGGGCTATGTTCCAACCCCCAAGCTCCACACTCCCAAGACCCAGCTGGTTCTGGTTCTAGGACATTGGGTGTTTCACAGGATTCTGTTCAGATCCCTGCAGGGCCCAGCTGGCTCCATGGTTCTAGAATGTTCAGATGGTCAGGGTTCTACTCAGAAACGTCCCACAGCCCAGCTGGCTTGGAGTTCCAGAATGATGCTGGGTGTTTTACAGTGCCACTCAAGTCCCTGGGCTTCTTCCTCCCTTGACCTTGACCATGTCACTTTACTTTTTAGTTTCTGAGCTAGGGTCAGAGATGTTAGCCACTCAGTTGCCTAGATAGGAGAAAAAGATTTATCTATATATATGTGCACATACAGAGAAAGTTTCTATTATTTATGTATTTATTTATGAATTTATTTATGGGTATACGGGGAAAAAAGAGACCAACACCTTGAAATCCAGGCCATACCAGGGTACCCCCACTTCCCACACCCCCATTTCTGACCTCAGTTCCTAGAGGGGGGAAAGGGAGAAAGAGAAACCACGTATTTTGTTATTATTTTTGCTTATTTTTTATTGAGAGATCATAGAAACCAGAGCCTTTTCCCCAGGCCCGCCCCTCTGGGGTTTGTGAGGGGAACACACCAGCCTCTGGTTTTTTATTTTTTTAAGAAGCCATCTCACCTGAGCAACCGAGAATTCCTCTGCGCTAGGGGCTTGCTGCCCTCTGGTGGAGGTTTGGGGGAAACCAACCTGGCCAAGCAGCCGGGGCCCAACGTGGCAACCCCAACTCCTCTCTAGCCTGGCATCCAGTGCCAGAGCCATTGCCCTGGAGCCAGGCCTCACCCTGAGGTGCCCTAGAGGAGGCAGGATGTGAACCAACACCTGACCCCTCTGCCAATCTGGGTATAGCCCCCAGTGCACTCCCTATTCCTGTCCCTGATCCAAACCTAAATAAAAAATGATTTTGTAATAAATGTTCCTTTCCGCGCGCGCGCGCGCGCGCGCGTGTGTGTGTGTGTGTGTGTGTGTGTAGGTTGTGGAGTGGGGCCTGGCATGGGAAAGCATGGAATGGGAGGACTAACCCACACTAGGTGCCTGTCGGGGGACATGGGAAGCTGGAGATCCAGAGTGGAGTGTGGCTGGCAGTGACACAGGTGACACTCCCATCCCAGGATGCCAACCTGATGGGTCCCTCTGCTCAGACTCCAGCACTGCCAGATAAGGACCCCAGCTGCCCTGGGGGGACAGGAACCACGATGCTCGGCCCTTCTTGGGTTGAAGATGCCCACACTCTGCCCACATTAGCTTTAGTTTGGGGCTTTGGCATGAAGTATACACTCAGAGCATGTCAATTTACTTAAAAACAGCCCCTTCTAATCATGGGTGTGTACAGTGTGCTAGGCACTGTGCTAAGTGCACTACATGCATTGCCTCATTTATTCCTAATAAGATCCCAGGACACAGGTTATATCTTCTCCATTTTACAGAAAAGAAAACTGAGGCTGAGGGATTATTGGTGACTTGCCCAAGGGAACATGTCTCCAGAACCTGAGCTCCGTCCACTGGCCCAATGGCCTCTCATCTCCTTTCCTCCCAAGCCTTGGGTCTAAGACATTCTGGACCCTTCTTTCTGTTGGGGTTCTTTCTCAGAGCCAGCAGTCACATTTGGGAGGTGGTTGGACGGGTTCTGGTCATTCTGAAGCTGAAATAGCTTATTTTTCATGCAAAGGTGAGTGTTGATAAGTATGTACATTTGAAGACATAAGTGTGCAGGACCCTGAGTTAGGGATTTTGGAATCAGAAACACTGTGTTCACCGGGCAAGGACCAGAGCAGCTTTGGGGTGTGGCTGAAGAGGAAGCTCTGATTAGCCACACCTCCCAGCCTCCCAGGCCGAAGCTTGGAGGAGGGGCCTCAGCATTCTGGCCCACCTCTACACCATACATCTGGGAAGACCGAGGCCCGAAGAGGAACAGCCATTCCCTCAAACTTACACAGCTGTGCCAGCCTTGGGCTCAGGTCTTTCTCTATTTCCCGATGTAGAGCCCTTTTGCCTGGTGTTCAAGATTCCTCCCCATTAGCAGCTGTAGGAATCCAGGGGTGTAAACATGCCAGCCAGCAGGGGCTGGATCAGAGCCGGTGGAGAGCAGGCCTGGCTAAGCTACACGTGGCTCCAGTCCAGGCACAAAGTGGGGAGGCCCCACCAGGGCAGATTGAGCCTTATCTTCTCTCCCCACCTTCCCGGAAGGTCTCTAGGAAAAGACCCCTACACAGCAGGCTTTGTGCCAAACATTTCACACAATATCACAGGACCCATTGGCTGGTACTATTGCTCTCCCCATTTTACAGAATAGTGAGTTGAGGCTCCAAGAGTAATAGGTATTCATTCATATACTTCTGTCCTTGTGGACAGCTTAAATTCTAGCCAGGGGAGAGAGTAATAAAGAGCTAAATTTAAAAATATGGTTCTGTCAGAGAGTGACAAGTCCTCTGAGAAAAATAAAGTAGGGCTGGGACACAGGGAGCATGCTTAATCTTTAAATGAGGGTGCCCAAGAAAGACCTTACTGAAGCTGACGTTTGATTTGCATGAAGTTACAGTTCATAAGAAGTTGAGCTGGGATTTGAACCCAGGTCCATTTGACTCCAAATCTGATCCTTTCCTGGGTGAGGGAGTGGGTCTCAGGAGCAGCTCAGAAACAGCACATAAGAAAACCAGAGCAGGGAGCTCTGTCTCCAGGCTGGGGAAGAGTTGGGGGGTCTCCAGGATACCCCTAGGCCTTTTAGAAGAGTAGTGGAGGGAAGGACCTCCTTACTGCCTCCCCATGCTCCCCAGAAACCCCCACCAAGACCCAGAAGGAGAGGGACCAGTGCTCAACCTACCCTTGATGGGCTCTGCCCTTGGCTTCCTCATTCCAGCTTCCCTGGCTCCAGCGCTCAGCAGGGCTTACGGCTGGCCCGCCTCCTATCTTGGGGTGCGGGCTGTGGTGGGGCCCAAACTGTGAATCTCCCACTGTCTGTCTGGGTGCAGTTGTGTAGATATTAAGTATTTCTGGGGGCTTGCATCTGGAGTCTCTGCCTTGGATCCTGGGCCCACCCTGAGGGGTATCTGAATCTACCTCCGGGTTGAAGCTTATGTGTGTACGTGATGGCTTCTCCCTCCTCCCAGGTTCTTCAGATACATCTCAGGACCTCACTGCATACCACCACGAAGCCCCCTTGGCTAAGCCCTTGTATAGCTGTGAATATATGGTTTATACAACACACCTGGCTACACTTCCCTTGAGTAAAACTTGCAGAGAAGTCTTGCCTTCTTTGTGAGAATGGGGGCCCCTGAAGGCAAGGCTGCAAATCCTCCCTCCAACTGAGGGTCCCTGAGAGAAGGGACATGTCTGGCCCCTTAAACTGAAGCCTTCTATGTTTCTTTCAGCCTTAGACGCATCTGGGCCCAGCCTGCGGCTGCTCAGGACAACATGGCAGGGGTGGGCGTGTGTGTGTATTTGGGGGGTGAGTAGCCAAGGCCTCCAGCCTCTGCTTCTGCCAGTTTTCCAACTCCATATGCAAGCCCCACCCAGCTACAGAGGGCTGGGAGGACTGGGAGGATGAGCTGGGCTCCCTGGACAGGGGGCAGGGCAGGGAGGGGGAGCATGGGCTGGGGCCCAGAGCCCTGTCTTCCTGATGGAGTAGGCCCTGGGGTGGAGGTGGGGACCGTATCTCCTCCCCTTCTTCCCAGGTACCGAGCGGGGAAGGGGGGCAGCCCCAAGTGCCGCACTCCTGCTGGGGCCATGGCCGCCTCCCCTGCATTAAGTGTGGAGACAGCAGCTATTAATATAAGATGAGTTCACGGGCTCACAGCTTCCACAGCCTGGAGAACAAGCTCCCAGGGCCGGGGGCTGCGGCAAATCTCGTCTGTCAGATTCTCTCCTGGAGCCCGGAGCCCTCCAGCCCCGCATCCCTCAGCTCCCTACATGCTGAGACCTGTGCGTACACAGGCACATGCACACTAGCACGTGCACACTGGCAAATACACAAAGACACACAGAGAAATACATGTGGGGGTCTAGGCCCCTGGCCGCTCAGAGAACACGCACAAGCATACTCACCCAAACATGCATGTATAACCATATGCATCTGCACACTGGGACATTTGTACACACAGATATATCATTGCATACATTTATACAGACCATGCCAACCTCATGTGCACATGGTAACATGCAGAAACACACACCCTTGCACACATGTACATACACAGACCTAGCCTTGTATACATGTGTGCATGAGTTCAGACATGCTTGTATACCCACAGCCATTTGCACACCATTGCACATTCACATATATGAGACATGAAACTACACGTGGATACAGATAGTATCCATAGTCATGTACACACATTTGCATACAGGACCACAGTTAACGACTTGAGGGCCTGTACATGCCCTTTAGCACACAGTGTACAGTCACATAGGCTCCCCACTGCTGTTAATGTTCAGCAATCATGAATTCACAGGCAGACCCCCTTGGTTTCTAGCACCACCAAGCTGGTTCAGCCTCCCCTCCCTGCCTCTCCCCTCCCCCAGCCTCATGACAGGCGGCTCCAGCTCCTGCCAACCCCAGTGCCTGCCTTCTGGCTTGTCGTCCCCCGGGGGTCCCCAGATCCCTGATTAACCCCTTCGCTAATTGGCCACCAGCCCCTTGACTTTGCTGCAGGCCTTCTCAGGAGCTGGGAGCGAGAGGCTGCAAATTGGCCAAGCAGGATGGGATCTGGGGAATAGAGTGCAGGGGCTGGGTGGGGGTGCTGTAAGCCGAGTGCTGGCTGTAGCCAGGCAGGGCACCCCCTATCCACGGCTGGGGGAAACTGACATATTTTCTTGGGAGGTCACGTGTATACAGTCCCAAGAAGCCATCCCTTCATGCACATCTACACACACACACAGACATGCCCAACCCACTTCTTCACACAAATGAGTGTGAACATTTGCACGCACCCAAGTACACTCATGAGCAAACCTAGTAGGCATGCAAGCAAAACCTTACATGTACATAAATGCACCTGCCAGATATGCTGAGACCATTCATATATGTACATCTACACTTCACCTAAATGCACAAATGCAGTCATGTATGTATACAGGCTTGTAAGCACACTTACATGTTACACATGCCTATGAATGTACTAAGTATACTTGCAGGCATGCACGACCATACACATGTGTGAGTGCACATAGTGGGGTCTAGGCATGCATGTACACCCCATTCACATGTGTGTAAATACTTGGATGAACAAGCTACCAGGTGACCGCAGCATAGGGGGAAACCCCTGTAGTCTGCCTCTGGCTTTGCAGAGGAAAAGAAAGCTTAAGTTTGGTGCAGGCTACTCACCGGCATGGGGAGTGGTGGAACCCACCCAGATTCCAAGTTGCCTTTCCTACCTACCTCCATGTTAATGCCTAAGCCTGGGACTTCTTCTGAGCTCCCCTCAGCCTTCATGACTCCCAGACAGACAGGGCAGAGCTTCTAGCTCTAGCCTCTATAGTTCCTATCTCCTTGGCACTGGGCTCAAGCCCATAGGGGGCCCTACTCTCATGTAGGCAGCCTGTGCATTGTTAAGTTTTCTATTGCCATGCCTGATGCCAACGTGCTGTGTGACTTTGGGCAAGTTATTGTGCCTCTCTGTGTCTCATTTCCTCAACTGTAAAATAGGAATAAAAAGCATTGTGTTGGTAATCCTCCAAGGGACTGGTCTGAGGAGTCTGTGGGTCGGGTTCATGTTTATGGATGCTTTGCTCAGGCACATGCATCTGGGGGAGGCGTTAGTTCCCAAGGCAGTGAGATGCCAGAGTGGATGGGCCCGCCTGCATCACCGTGTGCAACTCCTCACTGAATAGGTGAGGAAGCTGAGACCTACAGAGGGGGCAGCAAGGTGGGAGCTTAAAGGCCTGACCTTTGACCTCAGCCAGGTGGTCTGCTCCTCTTTACTAACACAGCGTGTGCACAGTGGCCAAGGTAAGGGAGGAGGTACGGTACTGACAGTCCTATCAGGAGATTTCTTTGGGTGTGAAAGTTGTGTTGTTTTTTTTGTCCTCCAGCTTCAGAACCCCCTGTAGATACCCTCATCCCCTGGGACTGAGGGCCGGCCCATGGTGAGCACCTGAAAATGCTCTCAGCCTTGTGATCTACCGGGGAACTAGCTGACAACCACCCCCAGAACTTAAGAGCCAGATTGCCCTGGCCACTGGGCGGCCAGGAGGGGGCAGTGAGGAACTGGCAGTGCGAAGGGCGGGGTGGCTCTTGAGAACTTTGCCTGCAATTCTGTGTATTCCTGTAACTGTGCACGGATCCGTGTCCTTGTTGGCACAAGAGCAGGGCTCTGTGTGCAGTGTGCAAGTGTTCCTGGGCCTGGGTTCTCAAGTGTGCCTACTGACGTGCGTATTTGTGTATGTGTGCATGAATGCATGCATCTGAACAGGTGTGTGCACATGTACTAAGCTGGGTGTGTCTGTGGGAAGCCCCAGACAGTAACCTAGGGAAAGATCAGGGTACTTTCAACTCTGAAAGTCTACAATAGCTAGGCCTTCACTCCAGACTGCTTGATTTTAAAGCAAAATAAACTGCTACTTGTAAAATTGGGCACCGGGAAGTGAGCAGACAGGAAGGGAAAACCTTTAATATGCTCCTTACAACTAAAGACCATGATTCTGGACGGAGAGGCTCAGAAGGCTGTTTAAACTGCACGGTGAACTGAGTACCAGCTCTGGCTGGACACTCACGTTTGTGACTCTGCTCCTGGCCAGTTACGTGATCTTAGGAGGCAAATTCACTTTACCTCTTTGAACCTGTTTTTTCAAGTGTTAAATGGGGGACCCTTGCCTCATAAAGCTGAAATAAAGTGTATGCAGTTTGGGACAGGTAGTGGTACTCAGTAAACGCTCATTCTTCTCAGGATTAGCCCAAGGGGTGAAGTGACCTGCATAAGGTCATAGTTTCAAGCAGAGAAGCCAGAATTCAAGTTCAGGCTTCCCGCTTCCCAGAATCACATTCCTTCCCTCCAGTTCCCCAGCAAGGGCGGCTCCAGACACCACCATTTTGTCTTCTCCCAGGGCGGGTGTCTGGCTGCCTGTCAGTCACCGGCCTTGGGAAGCCAAGTGCTGACTAAACACAGGCCTGAGCAGGCGGGTGGAGCGAGGGGCTCCACAGGGGCGAGCCGGCTCCCGCGCCCCCTCCCCTGCACCCCCACCTCCAGCAATGAGCTCAGAGTGGCTGGCGCAGCAGTTGCTGACAATTCAAAACTTCTGCTCCCTCTCCTGGGACGCCAGTGGGTGACTCGCTGAAGAGGAGAGACGTGACCAGCAGAGTCACCAACCCTACTCCCGCCCCTCTCCCAGGCCACCTCACTGCTTCTGCTGGCCCTGGAACTGGGTGTCTGTTCATAAGTTACCCCCAGGGACAGTTACCCACAGCAGCTGTGCTCGGAACAACCACAACCGTTGCTTCCTGGGTAGGTCATTTTTGGGGGTCAGAATATAAACCCAGTCCCGTTGCCTGGGAGAGGGGCTTACAGCAGCCTAAACCTTTTATTGGATTTCATTGTAAATCGTTCTATTTAAGGTAAGTTGCTTGGATCTGAGGCAGACAAGATGCCGGCCAGATGTTGGGAGGCAGCATCAGCATTCAGCCTGCACGCCTCTTCTGCCTGACCCAAGAAGTTACCAGCAGCTCATCGCCCCTGGTCCCAACAGGCTCCACTCAGCTGTGGGGGCCTGGGGATCTACGCCTCTAGGTCCCTCAATTTGGGCTTCCTCCTAAATCAAACTGGTTTCCAGCCTTCATTCCCACCTTCAGAACAGGACGCACCATCCACACCCGAGGCCTCCCGCCTTCCAAGGCCTCCCGCCTTCCGAGCCCACCCACACCGGACCTCCTTCCAGAGCTCTGGCCACCACCTGTGACTCTCCATGTTGCTGTTTCTAACCACTTCTCCCATTAAAACACACACACATACACACGCACCCCAGAGGTGGCTGAGTGGCTACAAAGGTTTTATCAAATTATTTAAAATATTGGCTTGTATACAGTTACATGACATCTTTCAGGTCACTGGGGAGCTAATGTGGTACACACAAGCCTGGCAGGGAAGCAAGACCAGGCTGGGAGCCACAGGGCTTTAAAAAACTGGACATCCTTCTGAAGACCTGAGTAGTACGGCAAAGGGAAAGGGGTCACTTTGGGATTTGACCTAAGCCCACTGCTCAGATCTCTAATTGAAGCTCCTTTCCCAACCCTGGGGGAAAGGGACACATTTTCAGACTGTATCCCCACTACGTATGTGCTATGCTCACTCTCTAAAATCTTGATGTGGTGAACACACCTAAGAATCCACTGGAATAGGTCCTTATAAATATGTTTATATCAGAGAAAAGGCACTTTGGGAGCATTATGGCTCACTCTCCTACACGTACATCATTCTAGACAGTAAGTAAAAATTGGTTAGTTTCTCAAGTGAGTTAACTGAGTAAAGTTAATATACATTGTTCCCTAGCACTCACTGAGGCACAGAACAAGGCGTGTCTCTGAGCAACACCTGGTCCCCAGGTCCGCTGGACCCCAGCGGAGCTCAAAGCCTGATGTCCCAAGGAAGGCTGACATGTCTCCTGAGCAAGAGCCCCTGGCCTTGGGCCACTGCCCCATCCCCAGGCCCTCCAGTCAGGTGAGGGGCTGCAGTGGGAGGCACTCTGAGAGCAGAGGGACACGATGGGAATGCTTAAGCAGGGTCACCAAAGCCACAGAGACCTGAATCTGTCCAAGCTGGCACTGCCGAGCCGGAGGATTGGCGCCACGGGAAGAGATTTCACATTAGCCCTGACAACACTGCCTCAGCTCTGCGGCGACATTGGCCAGGGTCGTTTCTGAGGGCACTTGAGCTTCCAAAGGCAAGCGGGAGCTTGGGTTGGCTGCTGAGCTTCCAAGGGATGAAGAGCCTGCCCCCTCCCGGAGGCTGCTCCTTTGGAATGTACTCATCTCATAACCTGGGCAAAGCCCCCAGTCACTTCTGACACTGCCTGTTGGCTGGAAGCTGGGCCCTTGGGCCACAGAAATGGGGGCAGGTCCCCTGGGCTGAGCAAACCAGGAAAGGAGGTGGCTCATTGGCTTCAGTACTTGAGTCCTTACGGGCCCAGTATAAATAATCACTAAACTTTGTATTCTACAAATACAGGATTCCAAAGACACATGATTACCTGCATAGGTCCTTTATCATCTTACAGGGCTCTGGGTTTAAAGAAGCATGGGGGGCGGGGTGCACACATGCATAAGTAGAGCCCAGAGGGCCTCCCAGCTGACTGGGCCCCAGCCCACCCCCCAGCTGAGGAGGCTTCCCAAGGCCGGCTGCTACAAAGCTCCGAGCTTGGCTGCATAGATTTTAATGAGAGCGTCAGGCAGAGCTGTGCTGTTGCTCTCCGGGACTTGCAGATCATTACCAAACCAGCTGTAGGATGAGAACACAGCACATCGAAACCCTAGGAGGTCACTGAGCTAATGATCTAATCCTACCTTCCGCAAGCAGTGCCCCTCCCCACCTCCTCCTGCCCCCAGACCTTTCCATCCTGGACTGTCCATTCCAGAAGCCAGGCCAACACCGCCCCCTTCAAGGTCAGAGTGGCACTGGCTCCCCCCTTTTCCGGAAAAGAGGGGGATGGGGGTAATTCGGTCAAAGCCATTAGGCCCAAACCCTGGCCTGGCCAGGCCCCAGGACTCCTATTTGGGGAACCACTGCCCTCTGCCTGTCTCTCCAGCCACTCCTGGGCTGCAGCCAGGGGCACCTTCCACGGCCATTTTAGGGTTCTGAAAAATGTACCTTCAGCTTCCGAAGTGCAAGGTGGGAAGCAAGGGAGGGGCACACACAGCCTGGTGTGCTCAGCACCAGAGCCAGGTGCTGGCCCTGTGCCAGAGACACCTGACCTGGGGAGAGGGAGGAGGGCACACTCCGGAGCAGTCCCAACAGGAGGGCGTGCTGGCCCTACAAGCTCAGTCTCGGCCCTAGTTCAAGGAAAAAAAGGCAGAGGGGGAGCATTCAGCCAGGGCACAGCGGCAGTACCCATGATTACACACTCTCCTCAAGCCGGAGGGGTTTATGAAGGCTTTGGCAATTACTATAACCATTTGCTGTGCTGGGTAGAGACAGATCCTGTTTCTCTTTGTTTCAGGGCTCTGAAAGCAGGAGAAGCCAGGAGAAGCCGGTTTCTGCATAAGAGGCTGCACAATAGTTAGGGCAGAAGAGAAGAAGCCTCACTGCCGGCCAAAGCTGACCAGTTTTTTTTCTGAATAATAGCACCTGTGTATTAGCTCTGGGAAAAAGGGGGAGGGAGGGAGGGAGGGAACATCACTGTGTGTAGTGAGGAGGGGAGCTGGAAACAAGACCCAGAGTCCCTCTGCTTTTCAGTCCTCCTCACGGCTGCCAGGCCCCCCAGGCAGCTACCTGCAGTGGCTGCCAGCTTGAGGGACTGAAGTTTCTACAGTTGGCAGAACCTATGCTTAAATTGGGGAAATAAAAGGGGGAGGAGTTGCAGAGGAATTGAAAACAGCACCTGTCAAAGCTGCCCACCCCCTCCCTTCTCTCACTACCTCTAGTCCCCCAGAAGGGCAGCTCCCAACGCCATGTGGTTGGCTGGTGATAGCAAAGGGGAAGCACAGAATTACAAGAGGCTACATACAAGGGTCTGAGCAGCACCGACAGGCCTGGCACAGGCCCTGAGTTCTCCCGCTGGGACCTCACCAAGGTGAGGTCTGGGGCAGCAGAGTCAAGGCTGCTCTGCCCAGGCTCCAGTAGGTGCCCACTATTTGGTCCCAGAAAGCACAGGTGACTTGGAATCAGAAACCCGGGGCTCTAGCCTTGTCACGATCCAACTGCGTGACCTTGAGCAAGTCAGTTCCCATCCCTAGACTTCAGCATCATTAAAAAGGTGGGACCCAACTGGCCCACTGTTCTTCCAGTCCTGCAGTTCCAGGTCTAGTTTGGTCATGGGTATTAGAGGTCATAACTGGGCTATGGTGCCCAGAGGCACCTGAGGGAGAGGAAGGGGCATTTAAAGGACACTCAACCCCCACCCTCAGGCAGCCTGGGAGGGAGGCGGCCACCTCAGTCTTCCGAAAGGCATCATTTCTAGGCAGAAAGGTTGAGACTTTTTTTAGGGGCATGATGGCTCCTGGAATAAAGGGATGCAAATACAGAAACAGCCTAGCAAAAGGCAGCCTCACTCTGCTGACCAGGGCCGAAGGGTGTGGCAACCTGGCTGCTGGGGCATGTGGCCTGCTCAGTGCATGGGAAAGGGGCCAGCTGTGTCCATGCAGGCTTTAGGACCAGAGGGGGCTGGCATTATTCAAAGTAGCTGAGGGCAAGGATTTTGAGCGAAGACCACAGTTGAAAATGGCTTTTAGGGAAAGGCACCAACTCCAATTTAAGCCCACTCAAAAGGATCAGCTTTGGGGTTTTCCCTTCTCTTCAATATGCAACAGTCACTTGAAGGGAAGAGGGAATATCTCAGGGGCCCCGTGGGGCCTGACTATGGGAGGTGGAAAATACATGCTGATTTGGAGGGAGCACTTTGATATATCTTTGGTAGCTTCAGGGAAGGCTTTGGCCCCTTGGAATTCTTTTTTTCTCCTCCCTTTCCCCCCCATGGGACTGTTGGGGCAGGCGTCAAAGAAGGCAGGTAGAAAGAAAAGAGGTGGGCAGAAGGCAGAAAGAGTTAATCCGACCAGTCGTCCTCATCAAACTCAGAGGAGTCATCTTCTGAGTCACTGTACTCAACAGCAATGCGACGTGACAAGATGGTGGCCACGTCGTTGCCCACAACATCCCTCTTCTCTTGTTCCTGCTGTTCTTCAACCTTGCGCAGCTGAAAGCCTGGTGGAAGAGAGGGAAGGGTCATTAAGAAGGTGAGTCAATCTCAGACTCTCTCCAGGACTGAGGGAGGGGGAAATGGCCACTGGCCGGTAGCATACAGGAAAGGACAGCAAAAAAGAACCCTCAGAAAAGGAAGTAGCAGGAAAAAATAAAAACCAAGGTTTATGAAATGGTAGCACTGGTGCAACAGGTGAGTCTGAAAGAAAGCCTGCCATCCTTCCCTGTTTCAAACTCTCAGGCTGGTAAGGACGGAACCTCTCATGAGGCTCCAAGTGGGAACAGGCCATCAGAGCCCCCCGAGCGGGCACACGGTTGGCCTGACTCTTCGACTGCCACTGAGCTCAGCTGCCCTAGGTAGTCTCCTCTAGACAACGCTTCTGTTCCTTGAGGATCACAGACAGAGGAAACCACTCTAGCCCCTGAGCACCAGACCTGGCCTCTGACAGAAAGACAGTAAATGCTCCATGAGGGTGAGATAATGATGAGGGAAAGGAGGAAGGAGGGGAGAAAAGGAGACAAAAGAGGGACAGCGACCGGGGACAAAAAGGGGAGAAGGGGAAGGGTGAGAAAGAGGGAAAGAGGGTAAAAAGGAAGGATGTGAAAGGCAAAAAAGTGAAGGACAAGGAGTGACTGAGTTCAGCTGAAGAAGTACCTTTCAGGGCAGTGATTCTTGTTTTTCTCTGGGGCACGAAAAGGATGCAAAGAGACACAAAGCAAAAGTTTTCGAGTTCAAAGATCCCAGGTCACGAATTCTTTACTTAAACCAGGGTGGAAAGAAATCTAAATGCCTGTATTTTTAGGGTAAAGTCTTTCTTCAGGCTGATCTGAGGCCTGAAGTCCCAGTCTCTCTCCATCCAATGAAAGCTATTCCCTGGGAAGGGCACAGGCCCCTCACCCACCCTCCAATCAGCCATCCAGCCGCAGAAAGACAATGCTTCATGGTCCCGGACCACCACTGGGCTTTACCTTGACGGATGGCTGAAAGCAGGTCGCTGCGGGCATCGCTCACAGGAGGCAAGGAGGACTTGGACTTGGGTGTATCAGAGAGCGGCGGCGGCGGTGCAGCAGGCTGCCCGTCTGCACCAGTGTAAATGAGAGGAGGCGGCCCGGGAGGAGGGGGAGGAGGGGGAGGAGGGGGCGCTCCTCCTGTTGGTTGGGATAAGGGAAGTGGTGGCAGAGTTGGGTAGTCAGCTGCCGGCGGTGGGGGAGGAGGTGGAGGGGCAGCAAAATCAGGGTGAGGTGGGAAAGAGGGTGGTGAAGGTGGCGGTGGGGTCACTGGGGATCCAAATCCTCCAGGTGGTGGTGGAGGTGGGACATTTATCATTGGAGGTGGAGGCGGAGGGGCGGAGGGTGGAGCAAAGCCGGGTTTGGGGCCCGGGGGAGTGCCCAGAGGAGGAGCTGGTGGGGGATGGCTTGGGCTGACCAAACTGGATCTTTTGGGTCCAGCCAAGGCAGACCCCCTTTGGTTGTTGTCCGCTGGGTAGCTAAAAGGACAAAGAAAAAAGACCCACCGTTACTTTCAGGATGCAAATATCCACCTATAGGTAAGCCAGTCTATAAGCCTAGATTCATTTTGGTTGGCTGTATCATTTCATTTGGGCTCACATGGAAAGGAAAACCTGGAAATGGTCAGAACAGACCAACAATGAAATGCGCAGCCTTGTAAGGTAATGAGCTTCCCATCAGCAGAGGAGTCTAAACAGAAATTGGGAAAAACTACCTGAAGAAGTAGAAAAGGGCTGGCCAAGATCATCTCCTAGGTACCTCTCAAACCTTTCCCCTCTCCAAGAAAAGGTACTCTCCTGAACCCTCCCTCTAAAAGGAACAGTTAGGTTTTTAAATTTAAAAAAAAATATTTATTTATTTTTAGAGAGAGGGAAAGGGAAGGAAAAAAACATCAATGTGTGAGAGACACATCAATTGGCTGCCTCCTGCAAGCCCCCAACTGGGGACCTGGCCTGCAACCCAGGCATGTGCCCTGACCAGGAATCGAACCAGTGACCTTCTCGTCTGCAGGACAACGCCCAAACCACTGGACCACTCCAGCCAGGGCAGGAACAGTCAGTTTAATCCAGGAGCCAGGAGTAGGAAGGCCTGCAAGAAAGAACTACCACCCACCCACCCTCTGTTCCTCAGGCTACTGACATTCACAAGATCTTATGAGGGCAGGTAACCCAAGCCAAGGTGACCAAACCTGAATGAGATACAGATTTAGGCAAAGGTATTTTCAGTGTTCATGTGTAAAAACTTGAGAAAGAATGGAGGGTCTGAGGGTCAGCAGAGACAGGAAATGAATGTGCCACCAGACTTGAGCTGGGCTGAGAGAGTAAGGTGCACCTCTCCTGGGTCAGGTATGGTCAGCTGCAAGGTCTCAGGCCCTGTGTGAGGCTGAGAGCTTTTTTCTCCACCTTTGTATCTGCCCCACACTAACAGCTACTCCTTAGGAAAGCATCCATCTTAGAATTTTCCACAGACCTTCAAGCCTTAGCTGCAACTGACACGACAACCGGCAGGAAGCGATTTGAGAGGCAGAAGATTTGGGATTAGTGGTTTCAAGAGCCAAGAAAAATGGGTCTGGGGGTAGGAGGGATGCTTAGAGTATTGCTTTAGGTTTCCATCTGAGGGACCCTCAACATATCCAATCTCTGATAGAACAGTGTCCAAGGAGAACGGTGTACCTGGCACCAGAAATTTAAAAGTAACTGTGAGGAAACTGAAATTCGAACACTCCTAACGGCCCTTGTCAGCCATTACTTGCTAACTCTGTCCCTGTATACTTCTGCCAGGGACACTGACAAATATCAAAATAAACAGATTCTAAGTTTCATCTCTCTTTTCCCTTTGTTTCTTTCTTTCTGGAGAGTCTATCCAACAGTGAAATGAACCAGAAGCAACAGGAGAAAAAGGTGACTGTCTGCTAGGTTCCTAGATAATTGGACAAGGTGTCATAAATATTTCATGGATAGTAAATTATACCACTTCAATTCATGCTGAGTTAAAGCTAAGTAAAATACAAGAGATAAGTTTGGTGACGTCTGTTTTTTCAGGTATAGATAGTAGTAAAGAACACAGGCTCTGTAGTCACTGAGCTGCTTTCCAATCAGTTGGACTCTGCCTCTTACAGGCCCTGTGACCTTACGTAAGTTCATTGACCTCTCTGAGTCTTGCCATTTACTCCTCTGTAAAATGGGTACCTATCTCAAGAGGGCTCTTGTGGGAATTTAATACCATATATACTGTTTGGTATAATGCCTGGCACCTTACAAACACTTGATAAATATTAATTACTTCTATCATCTAGAGAGATTTGCCTGAAGTCATTTCAGCGGTCCTGGCCTGGATTTGGAATGCTGGTTTTGTTCTTCAGTTTTTTAACCACCCAGAGTAGATGGAAAAGGTATCGCCATTTACCTGAATTCTGCTGGCGGTGGAGGCAAGCTGTCCTCAGAGAAGGAAGAAGGCGGAGAAGCGGAGTCTGACTGTGGTGGTGGTGGGTAGTTGCTTGCATCCATATTTTCAACAGAGCCGATGCTGCCGTTCTGGTACACCAAGGTGGGCGGATACCTGACAACGAACCCAATGCGAAAACTGTCATTTAAAATGTCAGAGTGATGCTCTTCTTAAAAGACCCCTCAAAAATGTATATGACACAAAAACTATTAGAGAGAAATAAAGTAAGTATATTCCCCATATAGTTTTTGTTATACTAAAATTTTATTCTCGGACTAATATTCCATTGTTACCATCTCCCAGGTATTTCTGCTGGACTGTTTGTAGGAATAGGATTTAACCTAGATTATCAAAACTATGCTGTTCTTTTCTCAATGTTGGCTTTGTCAAAAACCCAGCAGTTCTGCCATGGCCAGTGTGGCTCAGAGGTAGGAATACCATCCTGTATGCCAAAAGGTCACAGGTTCAATCCCGGATAAGGCACATACTTAACCTAGGGTGCAGGTTTGGTCTCCAGTTGGGGCGTGTATCGGAGGCAACTGATCTATGTTTCTTTCTCACATTGATATTTCTCTCTCTCCCCCTCTTCATCTCTCTCTAAAATCAATGAATATACCCTCAGGTGAGGATTAAAAACAAAAACAAACAAAAAACCCCCAGCAGTTCTTTTCAATTCTCTCCCAAATGTTAGGAGCAGCCTATACCCAAATCCCAACGTCTGTCTTGTGGCAAAGGGCAAAGCCAAGCCCCAAGGCTAGTGAGCTATAAACGTGACTGGCACACAGCTTGATTTGGAGGTCGGCAAGCCTCTGGAAAGCTCAAAGGCCAAGGCGGCATTTGACTGCAAAACCAAACCAAACTGAGGACAAATGCAAGGTGCTGCGTGGTAGTTATACATGGTCTCTTTGTCAGGACTCCTACCTATAACAAAACGAGCTGCCAATTAAAGTAGGGTGCTAAGGTGTGGTGCTAGGGTTTGCCTCATGAAAACCTGCTCCTCAGAGCACTGGGCCTTGGGTGAATTTGCTCTGGGTGAACAACAACAAACCTCTAAACAAGCAAAAAAAAAAAAAAAAAAAAAAAAAAAAGCAAAAATCAATCAATCAATCAATCAATCAATCAATCAAAAAAACCCCTCACCAAGCAGCAGCTCCAAAATGTGGCCTGTCCTGCCCCCACCCCCTTCTTTCCACTGTTGGGTTCTGAGGAACACATTTGAAAAAGACCCCAGAGAGAAGAGAGCTGGAGGGAACTAACTGAATCAAATGATGCTCTGATGTGGAAAATCCCTGAGGCCTGGAGCCCTATAGGCCTGGCACATCTCTTTACGGGTCTGCCAACAAGCATGTCCAGGTAGAGAGCCATGCAGCCCAATTCCACATCTCTCTGACAACAGGGAAATGGGAGGCAAAGCCCTTATTTTCACTATTCCCAATCTACAAAAAAATTTTAAAGATTAAAAATAATTTAAAAAAAACAACCCCACAAAATAGTTGGCATATACTAAATATGCAAGCTTCTGGCCTTAGAGTCACTGAACCTATGACAAGGACCTGTCTGAACAGGATGGGACACCACAGAATAAAACGGCCCTTTTACTGGGAGGTGAAGGTAACGGAGGTACCCTCAGGGCTGACTTTCCCATAGAGAGAAAGGTTCGTTTTTCCTTTCACCATCTTCATAACTCTCTAAAACAAATCTCTTAATCCAGGAAGAACGAGTGTCAGAAGTGTCAAGATTTTTAAAAGTCAAGATTTTCATGGTAGAGTTATTTCTAAAAGCAAGAACAACTCAACTCTTTCCTTTTATCATTCCTAGACACCCGGCATCGGCTGGCATGGTTCTCTGACAGCCAGGATGCAATGTATTTAGGGGAAAAACCAGGGCGACATTCACACCAAGCAGTCGTGGTGACTTGACTTTGAATGTCACACAGGTTGGACACTAGGATGAGCATCAAACCGAGCTTTAAACCATTCCCCGCCCCCTGCCTTTAGACCTCTAGTGTGATCTGGAATTGGGAAACGGGGTCAGACTGACGTCTACTATTTCTCTATGGAGATATATAGCCTCAATACCGGCTGAGCGACCTTTCCCACACTGCCTCCGAGGTCTGCTTTCAGTCCCTTGGCCAGCCTCTCTCTGGAGACTGACAAAGGCCGACTGAAAAGTTGCTTTGGTGATGCACACAAATTCTCTGCCTGGCCCTCCCCGCTCTTGTGAAAGACCCAGCTCTTTGGCGCTACCTTCAAATCAATGCTCTGGTGGTGAAGGGCTCCCAAGACCACTTTTCTTTCCTTTCCAGTCTTTCCTTTGAGGCCCTTAGACAACCAGTGTCTGGCAGAGTCCAGGCACTAGAGGCCATGGACTTTCTTTTCCAGACCACTTTGGTCACCTCATTTAAACTGCTGAATCTTGACTTATTTAGCAAATTTTAATCACCAGATGGATGCACTTTAAAGTAGCTGATTAACAATGGTATTGATCTAAGCCATAGAGCCAGACTTCAGGGGTTGTGAAAGGTGTTAATACCAAAGCTGTCAGAGTGACGTTTCCAGCCCCTTCAAAGGATGCTACCAACAGTACAAAAGCATCACCTACCCAGAAGGCCCCAGCTTTTCTTTGGATTCCACAAATTCTTGTCCCATCTTCATTTTCTCCCACTCTTCTTTACGTGTCTTGATTTTACGTGGGTTTACGTTCCCTCTATTTGGATTATCTTTCTTTTCTTTCTATAATGAAAAGAAAGAGATGATCCGTTGTAAAACATTTTCCAAAGTTCTCTACTGTTCCATCCACCTTCATGGACGCACCCCCAAGAAATGATTTGCATATAGAAATGAGAGAATTTATAGAATTACTGGGTTTCAAGTGACATAGAAGTCACCTAATCCAAACCACCTTCTGGGCTTAAACACATTCACTCAATTCCATCCTCAAACACCTCTAGTGATGGGAAACCTACTACCTTTCTGAGTAATTCATTCATGTTTTTGAGCAGCTCTAATTGTTAGGAAGTTAGTAAAGAGCTCCTTGTTTCTGGCTCTGCCACAAAGGTTAGTCAAGAGAAATGAAAAGTAATGACAGCTGTAGATATCTGAGGCAGATATAAGGAAATAGTTAAAACAAAACAAAACAACCAATGAGGGATTCTTCAGTCTGTGTAGCTGCACTGGCCCCTGGCACTCTCTTGGGCCTCCTGTCAGCCATGCTAATGGTATTGTGAGGTTGCAACTGGTAGGTCACATATGCTTATACACATCACTGGGATTCTAAGGTGAGAGGAGCATCCCCTGAAACTAGGCCTATGTCCCTCCCCCGCCCCGCCCACCAGTAGTGAAGGTGTTAAAGTGCTCCTGTTGCAAATCAAACACTGTAGGGCCTTGGGCTGATCTCTGAGAAATGAGCTGCAAAACTGGCAGGGAAGGGACTAGCCTAGCTTGAATGTCCAGCAGAGTCAGGTGCAAATTGCAAGAGAAATAAATGGTGAATAGAAAAGTCAATTTCTAAAACTCAGCCTGAATATACTCAATTGTTAATAGCGCTGGGGGGAACCAATGCATTTTTGGTGTGATTTATACTTTCATCTTGGTTGTGCTTGGAGTGGACACTTTTTTTTTTTAAAGAGTTTCACCTGGCATCTAAGCAAGCAGCTACTTGCAATGATTACTTCACATGAGGCTGGCTTCCTTTTTATCCCCCCTCCACAATCGTGCCTACTGATGTGTAGAACAGAGGCCCCTTTCCCCTCACCCTATGCTTCCTCTTCTCTTTCATGATATCCTTGGTGTCCTGCAGCATCTTCTCCTTCCAAAGATCAAAGAAGTACGAAGGGTCTGTGTAGAATTTGAGTGCCTCTTTCCCATCGTCCCTGGGATAGAAATGAAGATAAGTAGCTGTCAGTAGACAGATGAGCTCCTAACCAAATCCAATATTCCAAATACCTACCAGTTAGCAGTTTTTACACTAAGGAATCAAGAAGTCATTCAAATTGATTGCATACTTCCTCTCCCGTACCAGCATTCCGATGCCCCTTGAATGCCACCCCTTTATTTATCTGGCTTTTAAAGAACCTCAGCCTTACTTTCAATTCCTGGTAGAGGAATTTGCATGGTCAGGACAAAGAATGGGCTACAGCAGCAGGGATCCTGATTATTTCTAATGATCTGCATGGCCACAGCCATCTCTGAGAATATCCAGATAGCCTGGCACATCAGAGGGGGTTTCTGCCACTGGTTCTGTGTCTCCGCACCAATTCCCCTGGCCCCTTTATACATCATGTGCGGCTTCCCACCCACCTGAAACGTGTGCACACATGTGTAGATTCACATGTGTACATATGTATATAGACACACATCAATGTGTACATGTGGGCAGCTATTATTCTTCTGTGAAAAGAGATAACCATAGCACTCCACCTTCTTGCTCTCTTCTAGCATAGCTCAGCCTCTGCCCCCAGCCCCCCAACCACCAGAGGACCCCATTGAGAAAATGGCCAGATGTTTTATGACAAACCGCAAGATTTAATTGCCATTTCTTAGTGGCTGTGACAGAATAGAATGAGTGTTAAGTTAAGGTAGCAGTTATCTGCTAGACTCAATGATAATGGTCAGAATCCTGCACTTTGGCACAAGTCTCTCTCACTTTCCAGAAAGCATGTGCTTAGGGGTGGACATTTATTTAACGCTAGTCTGAACTAAAAAGAATTGGAAAGGCAATTCTATGCCCTGGCTTCCAATCCTATCACAACATACAGAAAGCATTTCTAAATCAAACACTCATGATTTTTATATGAAATCTTGTTGATTTAGCCACACCTCTGCTCATTTCTGTTGGGCCAAATTCAGATAATTGAAAGGAGAAGTTTAAAAAGGAAAATACCATTACCTAAAAAATAAACTTGTTTTATATGTTATCCTATCCTACAACACCCTACCATACTCCCTTCGATATTAATCAATGTCTACTCCCTTCTGCCCCACAAGTCCTCTACCCAAATCCAACTAAATGATAGAGGCTGCAGAGTCAAATCTCTGTCCCACTATGCCAGCTGGCCCCTTTGAAAGCCAAGAGACATAATTTCACACAATAATAATATAGAATAGATGCTATATACTTTCCTGGTATCTGTGTGAGAAGCTACCATGCTCCCATTCCCTGGATCGGGGAGGTGTCCTTGAATCCTGCCCTCCCACCCCGCCACGCTCTACTTTGCTGTATACCCATGTATCACAGAACATATCTGCCTCCAGCTATATGTAATTACTTTTTACCTGTTCCAAAGATATTTATGGATGCAAGTAAGATAAATATTCGCTTTCTGCCCCCCACTCAGTGGTTATCTGCAGGACGATAACACTACCAGACCATTAGAGGGGAAGGGCTTAAAGGTGTCTACATGCCTTTTTTAAATCCAGACAGCAGTGTAGGTCCTTTCAGAGGAGAATGCTGAAAGGATGTTCAAAAAGTGAACAATACTCATTTGGAAGAATGCCAGTCACTCCTCAAGACTTGGAAGGACCCTCAGGGCCCTAAGCAGCCAGTCCACAAGGCTGGCCCCACTAACACGCCCAAACATCTGGTAACCCAGTGGTTTCTGGGTAAGTGGGAGCCTTGCTAGAATGTTGCCCCTGGGATGCATGCTATAGGACTGTCTTATAACAAAGTCCTTTTGGTTCTATAGTAACTAAATTCCTTGGAAGGAATCCAAGATGGACCTGGCTACACCAAATTAAACTCTGCAGCATGCAGTACTATAGCAAACTTTCAATATATATTACGTTTACCAGGAATTTCAGAAACCCGACAATTATAAGTGACAATGTTTATGTGGTAAATGTTAGCTTCTGCTGCCACAAGCAACTCTGGGGTAGGTAGTAAGCTTTTTTATACAATTCTCTGATGTAAACAATATCTTTAAATAAAAAGACAATCTAATATTGTTAACCACAGGCCAAAGAAAGGAGAAGCTGGCCAGATTACCTGTAAGGGGTAAGATTGTTGAGAGGCGGAGGAGCATCACAGGTGTTATACGTTTCCAAGACAGGTACTGGGAGAGAGTTTCTGTCAAAAAGCTTCTGGTCTTGAATGGTAGAGCTTCGGAAGGCCTTTCGGGTGTTGATTCCTTGTAGGGACACTGAGAGGAGATGGGAGGCATTAGAAAATGGACGACAGGCTGTTTGAGCAAACACTGAGTCACACCAGTCGGAGAGGCCTCAGCTGCTACATTTCTTGGCTGCGGCTGTCTGCAGCCAGGTTTTTTTCTCTGCCTCTGGGGAAGCCCCACAAGGCTGTCAGCAGCCCAGCCATTTCACGACTGAACAAAATGAGGCAACACAAAGGTTTACTATGTGGCTAGATCTAGCAGGCCTCTCCTGAGGAGAAATGAATCTTCCAAGTACTTTTATGGTAGCAAAGTAAGACTGGGGGAGGGGGAACTTGAGAAGAGGGAATTGGGGGAATGGGAGAGAGGGAGTGTGGGGGAGTGTGGTTGAGCTAGAAAGGTTTCTCTATACCACCCAGACTTGTGTCATTTCAAAGCAGAACTCCATAGGTCTCTGTGATTTCTCCCTTCACTTTTCTTTATAAATCAGGAAAAAAATTCTAAGCAACTGCTCGACAGAGCCTGCAAATGCTGAGCTCAGCTTCCTTACCTTCTTCTTCCTTGGGATCCAGCTGAGTGACTTTAACTTGTAGGCGGTCAACCCTCTCAGCAAGGGAGCTTACCCGAGAGGCAAAGGTGTTTGCCTGAGTAAAGAGCTCTCCAAAAATGTCCTCTGCATATTTACCTGAAAGAACAGAGAAACCAAGGCATCAGTGGGTAAAAGTGACATAAATGGTCAGAAAAACTGGCTATTAAAGATCGCATTCTTCACCTCCCCATCCTCCACCTCAGGATGGTTTGGGTTATATGCAGGTGCTTGCTCTTGGAGATGGAGACAGATCCTCCATAGCTTGGACACTCTGTTTATGTTCTATAACTAAGGGTCTTGTTGGAAAACTCTGAACAGTCACAAACCTCAAAGCAGGCTGAACAGAACGGTGTAATACAAAAACTGAATCCTAGAAGGGTAGACAATATGTCTACATATTTGTCTATAGCCCTAAGCCCCTTGCTACTTTGTAAAATGGTTCTGGAAAACAGATTGGTAGTTAGAAGGACCTTCTAGGTGTCTACAATTAACATGGAAAATAAGAAATTACACCCTCAGTGGAGCCTAAAAAGTACACTGAACAACCATGACAAGTAATGGTATCTTCGAGGAGCCTTGACCTAACTTATCAGCAACTCACAGCAGAGACATACAACCTCTAAGGGATGAAAAGCTTATTTTATGTTTAATAATCTACAACTCTGAAACTCTTGCTCTAGGTTACAGCCCTTCAAATCTACATCTCAGGGAAAAAGTGAGAAGCCGAACCTCCCTGAAAAACAACATACCAGTGGTCTCTTTCCACAATGTCCTGTTTTTTTGTGTGCTTTTTTTTGTTTTTAGAAAAAGAAGAGTTCCGTAGATTTCTGTATTTTCAACCCTGGAATGCAGGGAGAATTTGCAGCCAAAGAAACATAAGAGCAATTTGATGCTACCTTCACATTGTCATTCCAAGCCACAAAGCACATTCTTGCTAGGAATGAAAAGTGGTTCATACAAACAAATATACCATCTGAGTTTTTTACTTGCACGGTGAAGGCAGGCTTAAGTGATTGTGCTCAACCGAAAGATAATTTCTTTGAGAACTATTTAAAGTGGGCTCTGATTTTTAGCTTCCAAACTTCATTTATGCTTAGTCCACACTTGAAAGGAAAAAAATTAGTCCAAAAGGCCAAAACTGCACCTTCAGGGTGAACTGCAGCTCACCTTCCCAGTGTAACCTGGAGAATGAGGATAAGACCAATCAACTGCGTATTTTGAATCGGTGGTAAATTTAGTCAATAAGGAGTTCCTAATCAGGGAAAGAAGTAAGCCTTTGCATACTGAATGGTTTTGTCATCGAAAGAGCCATCGGAAGCTCCTGGGCTCAAAGGACTCAAATTGGCTAATGAGCTGCATTTCTACTCTGCAGGCTGAGGATCCTATCTGATCCCTGTCTGTAATATGGAGACATTCCTGTAAAAACCGCACTGTATCGTGCTCATCTGGGTAATGGGAAACTATCAGTGTAAAGTTAAAGCAGAGAAACACACGACACTATGTGGGGAAAAGAAACCAAACTCAAAAATATCTGTTGCCCATCCAGCTATTCTGGAGGAAAAGAAAAACCCAAATTAACTTACTTTTAGGACACCAAGAGAGTGCCCAGGACTTCCTGCTCCCTCAGTGAAGGGAGCAGTGATAGTGGGCGTAGAGGCTTACTGTGGCACAGTGGTTTTCAAGATAAAAATCTTACAAAGAAACCCAACATACAAAAACGGTAACACTGAGAGTACTATTTGAAGAGAAAGTGAGGTGGTGTGAAGGTTTCTCCACTGTTACATCACATCAGGCCCTAGGCATACTTAGAACTACATGATGATATATGGAAGAAGAAGTGGATTTCAAACCATAAAATATGGATTTAAGTCTCAGTTCTTTCTATTTACACCTGTGTGCTCTTCAGCGAATCACAACCTCTCAGCTTCAGTTTCCTCATCTGTAAAACAAGGATGACTGTATCTACCTCACCAAGTTGTCACAGGATTAAATGAGCTAAAAATATAAGCTGTTACAATGAGATTCTTCCTTATATTGCTCAACCATATCGAATGACTTTTAAGAGTGGGAATAACTAAATATCCCAAGTTGTATGCTTAGAGAAAATTTTAAATGTAATTCTAGTCAGTAATTTGATAGTCCCTATTCTTCAAGTACTAAAAATTACTCAGACCTTAGGAGAACACCAGAGTGCCTTGTTTAGAGTTAAATTTCACTCATTCAGATTACCAAGGTAAATCCACTATCACAATGGGACATTCATAACAGATATCACATTTTGCAAAATATTTTGGACGCAATAATCAATTTTTTCCCTTTGCAGTAGAACTCTTCAAACAAAATCTTATGTTGAACTAGAAAAGGTAAAACTGATTTTAAAAAATGTGAAGCTACTCTTTCTGAAGTCTGAGTGGGAGCCTTGGAGCTCCCCCGCAATGGCATGGCCCCACTACACTTGGTTAGAAAACCCAATATCATAGCATGATTTCTTAATGAGCCAAGTGGGGGTTCTAGTCTCCTAGGTGGTCAAAAGTGCTGGCTGGCTGGCTGTGCCTTTATTTCCTAAGATATGGCAACCTGATATGTGAAATACCAATCTTACTGCACTAAGAGAAAATAAGAATTCTGGATATGCTATCACAAAGCCACCCGCAGCTGTGGAATTTTTAGTTTTGTGCTTTATCCATCCCATAATCACACCTTCCCTACTAGACTGAGCACTTCTGGTTACAGTACGATGCGCTGAGGCCAAGATCATGAGCTTGAAGCATGTGTGAGCCCATAAGCCTATTCCTGTGTCCCTCTCTGCTAGATGAAACCATAGCATCTTTCAAAACCTGGTTCAAATGTACCCTTTTCTATGCAGCCTTCCATGACCCTCTCTATTCCCACCTGGGCTCCCACTCCCTAGAGACAGCCTTCATTCCTTCCTTTTCTATATTCACTGTGTACCAACAGCATGAAATGGTAAAGAAAATACAGGCATGAATCATTCAACAAACATTTACTGAACTTCAAGAATACATGATTTCTGCCTTCCAAGAACTTTTAATTTAAGAGATATAGATAATTTTCATTAGAACATGGTAGGCAATAATATATGCATGTATATTATTGCATGTAAGTGCTCAGAGGAGCGCTTAGTCCAATTTGGAGGAGGAAATCCCTAAGCTGGGCCTTAATGCTCAGCTACAAGGATGGCAAGGGCTCTCCAGGCAGGGGACCAGCAGAGGCACGGCATGGAGGTGTGAGAGTATGCTCTGAGAGGAGCCATAAGTAGTTGATAATTCATTGTTTCTTCTTCCCTTTTTCCCCCTCTCTCTTTTTTCCTTTTAAAGGAATCTTTTTAAAAGACTATAAAATGGGAGCAGATGGATTGCAGAAAATGAGGCTGGAAAGGAAGGCAGGTCTTGAAGGGTCTTGAATGCCAGGCCAAGGAACTTAGATAATTCCACAGTGAGGAACATGGGAGATGGCTAACATCTGTACTCTTAGTTTAAAAACACTCTGAATTACAAAAGTCAGCATAGCCTTAACTTGTAAACATTCAAATAACTCAGAATTATAAAAATAAAAAGTGAGATTTGCATTGTGGGCAGACCACTGTGACAGGGGTATAGGTTCAAGATTTATAAGATATTTAAGTTTCTAGATTTAAGGGGGTTGATCAGGAAAAGCAAGGCCAGAGGGAGGCTAGGGTAATAGTTTAGGAGAGAGTCAACAAAGGCCTGAACCAGGGCCTGAATGACAGAGACAGAGAGTAGGGGACTGAGAAATCCTTAGGAAGTCTGACTCGTCTCTCACTGGCTATTGTCTCTTCAGGCCAGTTACTTATTTTTCTGAGCTTTCATTTCTTCATCTGAAAAATGGGAATACCACCACCTACCCTAACAGAATTACTGAGAGGATTAAATGAGATAATCTATGCCAAGGTCCTATGTAAACCTGGCATGAAGTAGGAAATCAACAAACGTGAGGCTCCCTTCTCATCCTCTCCCCATTCTCCCCTGAAAAATTATTTATTTCTGTTTCCTCTGGTGGATTATAAGATGCTGGAAAACACAGACCATTTCTTGCTTTCTTTTTCTTTTTTTTTAATTTCTTGATTATAGAGCAAGAGGAAGAGAGAGGGAGGGAGGGAAGGAGGGGGAGAGGGGAAAAGAGAGGGGAGAGGGAGAAAAACATCAATTTGTTGTTCCACTTATTTATGCACTCATTGGTTGATTCTTGTATGTGCCCTGACTGGGGATCGAACCCACAACCTTGATATATCTGGATGATGCTTTAACCAACTAATCAACTGAGCTACCTGGCCAGGGGCAGAAACCATTTCCTATTACCACTGTATCCCCCCCCAGCATCTGGCACATAAAATATGTTCAATCCATGTTTATAGGATGAATAAAGGGTCAGTTAGCTCCATGATGTGAGGAAATCTTGTTTCTGTAGGCACAAGCTGACCCTGCCCTCAGACCAGCTTCCTTAAGATAGAAGTGGTCTGATCACAAGTGGAAGAGTGAGCAATGGCATCCATCACCACTACCCGGAAAAAACACCTGAGAGAGAGCATAACTCCTGCTGAGTGAGAATAAGAAGCATCATTAGCTAGATGTCCTTTGTCTTATGGAGAAGGAACCAGCGTGTGATTGACTTCCACCCATTTGGCCTTCTCAGGGTGACAGAGGCAGAAATGATGCTTTTAAGAAGCAGCGAGGCTCTCTGCGGCCTTCATGTGCTTCCTTGTCAGCCGCGCTGCTGCTGCACCACTGCCAATGTCCCTGTGTGCGCGACAGCCATGCACAGGGCTTCACTTTTTCGTGACGCCCATCCAGGTTTCCTTAAGCCCTGGAGCAACCAACATGGTCTCTGAGCTAGGTGAAGGCTTAGGAATCTTGGACCCCATACATCATCTGGTCACTGAGTTCTGTCTCCTCGGGCCCCTATTTTAAAGGCAGGGTCTATTACCATCTGGGGGGATGCAGGCTTCCTTGATATTCCATTGCCTTCACTAAGGGCAGTGATGCGATAGCAGAGGTGAATGTCTGAAATAATTCACACCAAGACGCCTTTGCTAAGGAAGATCACTAAAACGGCATTTTGACAGAAGTTCTTATGGGGAGCTGGAGTGGCACCAGACAAATGCACAGCCTATCCAAGCATCTGCCCTTCCCATATCTCAACTTCAAGCAAACAAAGTCAGCTTGATTCAGAATGAAATCCAAACCACATGCATGTACCCCACCGAAGGCAGTCTCATTCATTCTTGCCAATTAAAAAAAAAATTACAGTTAAGCTGGCTTTCCCTCAGCTCCAAAACAGACTGGGCTACTCCCCCATCTTCCTCCTAAAGAAGAATGGCTACAGCTACAATTTGTGTCACTGTGTGCTCACGCAGCTTGCAAAACTCCCAATACCTCAGAGACTGCAGAAGTAATTTGTACCCTGAACTTGGACCTGGGGGCTTGCAGCACAATTAAATGTGTACCAGGGTAGACAAGTCAGCCCGAATCTGAGTGCATGTTTGCTTTACTCCTCTTTGGGAGGAAAGGTTGTGGGGGGGGGGGGCGGTGTGTGCAGCAGAACGTCGGGTAGATAAAGACCTACTGGCACATTTGAGGCCTCAACAAAAGTCAGGCTACATCGAACAGCTCGTGTAATTACAGACACATTCCCTACCCCAAGATACTGTTCTGTGAACCTCCCACTTTACACACGGAGAATTCTGCTCTGTCATTCCATCTGCAGTTTCTGCTGCAGCCCTTCCTGCCACCCTTCCCACAGATTTCTTCTGAAGCAGGTGGAGAGGGAGGTGGAGGGAGCCTAGAGGGTGGTGGCAGATGAAGAAAGGGTTGAGGGGAAGAATCTGTACCAAAAAGGAGCCTCTCTTTGGGGAAAGGGGGGTGGGATGCATTTTTGCATTACCTAGGGAAGGCAGATGGGGGAGAAATAGGAACACGGGAGGAGAGGGAAACTAAATAAAGAGCACCAACGACCCCTGAGGGCAAAGCACAGGCTCTCTGCGGCACTCACTCAGGCTGCCCAGCTGTCGGATGACATTTGCCAGGCTGATGTTGGTCACGCATTCCAGCTCCTCGCTTCTAACGCTAGGCAACGTCTGACGGCACAGGTGCCTTGGCTCGATGTTCCTCGTTACTAACGGCATGGTGGACCTGCTTCAGGCAATGTTCTAAATGATGAAAAACAACCTAAAAAAGAAATAACAGGAAAGTATTACTCAACCACAAATTCCAGGCACATAGGGCTGTGTGAGTCTTTTTCTCTTTTGTCTTGCTCTGATCTAAAACAGCTTTAAAAAACCTTCTCTTTCTCTCTTTTTTAAGACCTACCCTCTATTCCTCTGCTCCCCTCCCCCCTTAAAGAAGGCATGCTAGACAAGTTTAGAAATTCTGAACTGGTGACTGCTGGCTGAGGTACCACAGGCAGCATAAAAACCCTAAAAACCTTAAAATAACAACTATGCTCCAACCAACAAGAATCTACAGAGGCAAGGAGGCCTGTTCAGAGAACTTCCCATTCAGCAGATTCTAGATGGTACAGATCCTGTCCTTGGGGTGTCCATATAAGCGGGACAGAGCAGATTCCAGATGATCAACTATAAGGATCAAAAAAGAGCTTCTGTCATCTGATAATTTCCACAATGAAATTAAGTTGCTAATAGTGATTCTATTGATCTACATCAGGACATAACTGCTCCAGTTCTTCCCTAATGGATGACTGTTAATGTACAACTAAATACTAGCTTCCGGCATCTATTAACACTACTAAAGTTTAGTCTGTAAATTGACAGAAAGAGTATCAAGGAAAATTTTACATGTTCAATGTCAGACATGATGCTGAGCAAACTGTGCTTTAAGATTCCTTAGTCCTTTCTCTTCCACCAACAACTCCCTCTCTCTCTCCCATCTGGTCTAACACACCTGGGCCAAAAGGCTCTTGAGACAGCAGGAAGTGTCTGGAGCAGATCCGGAAACCTTCTAGTTACTGTTTCTTCTCCTGTCAGCTGAACCCCTTCCCCTAGGAAATCCCCCAGCACTTCAGGTTCATGCTGAGCTATTGTTTTAGAGTTAATTATCAAATTCCTAGCTTTACAAGGATAGGAGTGGGTTTTAGTCTCAACAAAATGGATATGACTACAGCCAAGGCACACTGGGCTATGGGCCTGTTTCCCTCTCTTGTGAAACTAAAGATATCCAAAACATCTAGTGATTTCCGTCTTAGGGAAAATGGCAGACTCACTTCAAATAAAAAAAAGACGAAACATTAAGGTAACACACCCAAATCCCCAATATTCCAAACTCTTCTTAAGCAACAACAACAACAAAAAAGCAAAACAGAGGTTTACTTACATCAAATCTTATAACACCAGTTCATCACCAAAAGTTGACTATGAATACAAAATGCTTAAACCAAGCTAAATATCAGAGATCTTAAAAGTGAACCAATATAGTATCAGACCAAAAGTTTTTTTAAAAACCCTTCAGCCTCCAAGAAGGAGTAGAACCCTTTTGAACAGACTGCTCCTTGTTATGGACATTCTGATCTGCTAAGAATAAAAATAAAACAGGAAGCCAGCAGCTTGGGGAACAAGATTTCCTGTCACCAAGAGCAACAGCCCAAGAACCAAGAGAATCAGCTGTCTGCTCATAACTTTGAACCTCCCTTTAATAGGCACTGTGTGGCAGCTGTGCCTATCTTTGGGGTGCAGAGGTGTTTCCTGAATATTTGTCTACTGTCTAAGGAAATAATTTTCATTCCGTTCCTCTGCTAAGTTCCCCTTTGACTCAACAGGTTTTCTAACCCAAACTCTGGACTTTCCCTTCCAGTCTAACTCTTCTCCTCTTTTACTTAATGTAAAGGGTATAAGGTACTAAGATGCAATCTTTAGTTACTAATGGTGAAGAGAGAGTTTAGAACAGCAAAGAAGAAAGGAGGTTACAAATAAAAGAAGCTCACAGGGCTCTCTATACACCATCCTGGGGATGCCCTGAGACTCCCATTATTTCAAGCTTTATGAAAGAACCAGACATTCAAAGGTGCAGCCAGAGATGACTGAAAGCAGCCACTGTGGCTCCCCCCATTAGAAATAATTTCAGTCTTGTTCCAGCTTCTCAGAGGAGCTAAAGGGGCCAGATCTCCTTGAAATTCTGTGTTGAATGTGACCACTGACAGGGCATTCCAGAAGTTCTCTCTGAACACCTAATAGAAACTGGATTCCAGATGGCTAGGTAAATGCCAGATTAGGGCGGCAGGGGTGGGGAGCAACTTCTAAGGCCTTGTTACTTTATCATTGCTGCTTTCCCAAATGATGTGGATAAGCAGACACAAATGAAGTCAACTCTATGTCATCTGGGTGGGGTTCAATTTTCAATAGCAAGATGGCTTCCTCTTGCCAAAAAAGCCAGTTCCTATAACCAGCTAAAGAGTATTCAAGAAATGACAGTATGTCAAGGCCCTGGCCTGGTAGCTCAGATGGTCAGAGCATTGTCCCAACATGCCAGGGTTGCAGGTTTGATCTCTAGTCAAGGCACATAAAAGAATCAGCCTGTGGATGCATAAATAAGTGAAAGAACAAATTGATGTTTCTCTCTGTCCTTTCCTTTCTCTCTCTAAAATAAAAAAATTAAAATATGACAATATGCCAATAACCATTAAGATAAACAATTAGAAAAGTGTATCTGCTATTAAAATCTCACTTAATGTTTCAGAGCCACCAAAGAGAGAGAAAAGATTCCCTGCTATGTGGGATTTGCCTGCATCACTGCTCATCTTTGTTTTGGATAATCAAGGTTAGTTACATTTTGCATAGGAAGTATGGAATCAGGCCCTGACCTCCATGGCTCAGTGCTTTGGGTGTATTCCTGCAAAGCAAAGGGTCACCAATTTCAATTCCTGGCTGGGGCACATTCCTGGGTTGCAGGCCTGGTCACTGGTTGGGGCACATGCAAGAGGCAACCAACCAATTGATGTTCCTCTTGCACATCGATGGTTTTCTCTCTTTAAAAATAAATAAATAAAATCTTTAAAAAAAAAAAAAAGAAAGAAAATGAAGTATGGAGTTACCAAAGATCTTAACTACAATAGTATTTGACCAAGAAAAAAAATGTTACCTTCTGGTGAAGATAAACTTAGAAATGAGCAAAGCTTCTAGGCTCTTGACTCTCTCAGCTTCAAGTTGTAGAGCTGAGATATAGTGGGTTAGTACACTAACACCTGAAGCTGTGTGATCTTGGGCAATTTTCCTCGATACTAAATAGTATAATATATATAAAATGTCCATTACAGAGCTAAAGAGAAAAAAGAAAAGAAAAGGTAGTTATTTGTAGTTCATGAACCCTGGGCAAATCTTCATGGAAAACCAATTTTATTCCCTGATAAATATTTTAAAACACTTTTAACCCTGGATTTATTATGTTGTAGAATGCAATAGTCACATACATTTAAAGATGAAATCCCAGACTTCAATGAAATTTGGTGGGTTTTTTCCTGGAGGTTGCTCCAAGTCACGCTTCTGGACATACTAAAGAACATATATTCCTTCTCTCTTCCACCCTTTCCTACTGGGTTCCTCATCTGACCCACAGAACAACAACAACAAAAAAAACACACACACAAACTATTAGAGTGACTATTTTCTCAATTCTCCTCAAGATTGTTCATAACTACCACCATTCTAGACGTAGTGGCAAAAAGTTAATACATTTACATACAATGGATGCCTAATGGCATCAGGGTTTAATTCTCTCATGGAAATCCAGTTGAGCAATGCTCCTCTATCACCAGTAGTCATTTACTGAAAAATTTGTGGAGCACTGGGTGTTGAGGAACCACTGAATTAAGGAAGTTAACATGGTCAAATTTGCATTTTAGGCAAATCATTCTAACAGAAGCAAAGAATTTCTCCTTCGGCAGGAGAATGCTGGAGGTAGGAAGACCAGCTGGGAAACTCACACAGCCTAAGAAGGAGACAATAGAAATGGAGAGACCCACCATAGCTTGCAAATATGAACTGAGAAACCGAAGACAGGTTACAGGGGTGAGTCCTGCTATCAAAACTCCTGATAGTTTTGTACAATTATACTCAAGAAGTGATAAAATGTAGGTTTATTTATTAAAAGTTTCATGGAAAAAGCTAAATGCTAGTGTCAGTTACAGAAATGAAGAGAAAGTGAAGAAAACCAAGAAAGGAGTGATTCTTAACTGATAAAAGTTTTGAATACATAGAATATAGAATTCCCTGTCTTAATAGAATCAATAAAGTTCTTTTTCAGTTATATTTTAACTTTGTTAAGGAAAGTATATGATATAGTGATATTTGCTAATTTGGAGATTTGAGAAGGTCTTGCCTTGGGGGATGTTACACAGGAAAGGAATTAAATTAGAACTACTGAGAAGGTAAGTTATAGGGAAACAGATTTCAATGCAGTTAGTTTCTTTTAGTTGGAGCTGTTCTCTCTTTACAAATTATGATTTCCCCTGTATCATCCTCTGGGTGACCAGTTATCAGGCATGTTGAAGGAGACATTCCTAGACTGTAAGAAGATGCTGATGTTGACAGGTCAGACTGGATGGCTTCTACAGTGCCTTCTAAATCAAAGATGAAACAGTTCTCACTCTGGGCTAGTTTTCTCATCTGCAAAATAAAGGGACTAAACTAGATAATCTTTAAGAAGCCCTAAAATTCCTGGATTTGCTTCTACCTAAGCTGCCATAACCTCCTCACTTGGCCAACATCCACTTGCATTCTGAACACAAAGCCAGAAGCAGGTCTTCTCCAGGTCTAGATTTATCTAGTTACCAGGACTGCAGGGTCCAGAATGGTCCAAAGGATGGTCCAAAGGGTGTCCACACAGAGCCCTAAAGTTATTTATACCCTGAAAGGCTCCCTGACTGATCTGGAAGTTGGCTACCCAAAGAAATTAAAAACAACAACAACAAAAAACTTTGAATCAGTTCCTGACATCCAGACAGACTCAGCAGCAACTCCCATCTTTAGCCCTCGCTATTTTCAGCCTAAGGGACTTGGGATGAGTGAGAACAAATAAAAGACTTTAAGAATCCCTTCCTGGCCATTGCCTGGCAGTCTAGACCAGTGATTTTCAACCTTTTTCATCTTGTAGCACACATAAACTAATTACTAAAATTCTGCGGTTCACCAAAAAATTTATTTTTTTGCTGATCTAACCCCCTCCAAAAAAAACTAGGTCTAACTTTGATTCATTCACACTGCACGGCTATTGTTGTGTTGGTTGGTGTTATTTTTTTTTAATTTGATAATCTAAGGAAAAAGAGATCAGTGCCCCTGACTAAATAGTCAGGTATTGTATGTTTTAAAAATTCTCACGGCACACCAGTTGCAAATCATCAGTGGTCTAGACTATTAGTATCACAATGGGATTCATGCTTTGAATTGGAAACGGGATGCGGTGTTCTTTCAGATCCCTTCAAACACTTAAAATCTAAAAGCCTGTACATTTGAAGTTATATGGAATATTTATATAGCACATTTGGTCAGTGTAAAGTCAAAAGAAGACTTTGACATCCACCTTACACTCCAAACTCTCATAATTCTGATTCCAACAGCCTGGGGCAGGAGTGGGATGAGGTGAGAAGTAGGGGTTGGGAGAATAGAGAAGGCAATAAGGGAAGGCGGAATGTGAGAGGGAGGATGCATTTGTATCCCTTACTCTGAATTCCTGTTATTAACAGGCCAGAATACAGGCTGACTGCTTATTCTGGCAATGATGTTTATTACTAGCTGTTTATTATAAATAAATGAACAACACTTCATTTAGAGTCAAGGTCACTGATAACATCCGCAGATTTCTACAGTCACATCTAAAAGCAAGTCTATCTGAGCTACAGCAATAACCGTAACAACAGAAATACTTCTCAAGGCAGTTCCTCTTTGAAAGCATACCCTCAAAAAGCTGGTCAGCAGTAGCAGGGGATGGCAAACAACACGAGGGGATGTTGTATGTGAGGCAATTAGGACTTCTGCTTTCACTTCAGCATTTCCCACTGTTTGATAGTTAACGGCACTTTGGATGGGGGCGCATAAGAACAGGTTTACTTTGTAGACCAGTTTTTCTCTTTTAAGAGATAAATTTCTTCATGTTACAGAATATGCATTCCACTCTTGTCAGGTGGCTCAGTTCATTAGAGCATCGCCCCATGCACCAAAAAAGTTATGGGTTTAATTCCCAGTCAGGGCACATACCTACGTTATGGGTTCCATCCCTGGTGGGGGTGTGTATGGGAGGCAACCAACGGATGCTTCTCTACCATCAGTCTCTCTCTCTCTCTCTCTCTCTCTCTCTCTCTCTCTCTCTCTCCAAAATCGAAAAACATATACTCAGGTGAGGATTAAAAAAAAAGACTATGCATTCCAAGGGGGTTCAAGAATTTCAACTGAAAAATCAAATAATGATTTAATTTCAAAATGAGAACCCACACACAGGCTTACTGTAATCTAAGTTTGTCTACTACAATGTTTAAAGAACTATGAATTTACTGTTGCATATAGCCATCTTCACTACGATGCAACAACCACAAGGAGGAATGTCTCATTATAGACTTAAGCACCCACACACTTCCTGTTGAAATACAGGGTGGAGCTGAACATACAAATATAACCAGACTATAACCAAACACAAGGTGTTACTGACAAATTAGTTTAGGTCACTAAAGTAATGTCCAAAAGAGCCAGTAAAACAGAAATGGAACTCCTAGGATGGGCAGAAAAAGTATTTGATTTGGAGAACCAAGAAAAAGAGCTTTCAACTTTTGATGTAAAACCAAGAAATTTCTAATTTCATGAAGAAATAATACCAGCTATGTGGATCTACATTCAATAAATGCAAGGCTCCTTCTTGTCCTGATTTGGTTTTGGGAAAGTAGTCCAGGAAACAAGACTTCTAACTCCAATATCTTACTTCTTGAGCACACTGTATATCTACCAAAGACCATTTACACCTAGTAATTCTGTAACTTTCTATTATCTTCTGGGGGCAGTAACACCTTTTGTTCTTACCTTTATTACTCTTCAGGCTCTAATCACAGCTTTGCTCTTAAAACTAAAATTGGGGGATCATCTTTTCCTTCAAAATTGGTTTCTTTTAGTATCAACTATTCCACAGAAAATTGCCTCTTAAACGGCCAATATTAGGCTTTCCTTTCAGTAGGATCCATCTGGTTGTCCAAAAGAAAATACATTTAGATTGTGAGCTGGCAACCTAGGTTCCAGTCCTTAGTCTAATGATGACTGGCGTAGGGGGAAAATTTTCAATTCATCCTCCTAATTCAGCTGTGAGCTGCACTAAAAAAATGCTTGCCCTGATGGGTATGGCTATTCTGTTGGGGCATCATCCCACAAAGTGAAAGGCTGCCAATTTGATCCTGGTCGGGGCACATGCCTGGGCTGTGGGTTTGGTTCCTGGGTGGGGCTCATAAAAGAGGCAACTGATAGATATTTCCCTCCTTTCTCTTTCTCCCTTCCCCGCTCTCTAAAAATAAATAAATAAAATCTTTTTAAAAATGCTTAGGAGATGGTAAACAAACTGAGATTTTGTCTCCAAAGAAAAGATTTATTCACATAAAATATTTCTAGTATCTCTGTCTTGGCCCAAGTTCTCTGTTATGGATCCACTTAAATTACACAGGGTCTACAATGTTATCATTGATGACTTTCAGTCACAGACACAAGGTTCATTTTACTTTCCCAGCTTAATGCCAATTTCTAGCAATACCCAATTCATCAAATTGAAATAGTTTGAAATATTCCAAACCACCCATCTAAATGGACTTACTTTTACTCTGACTAGATAAATATAAATCATGAATGATTTTACTTAGAAATTGAGAAATCTTACTAACATTTGTGGGAACTCAAGTTCCAGATTTCTTTCAGCTATAATCATCAGTTGAGCATTATATTCACACAGGAGTTTAACATGAAAAACAACTATACTGCTCTGAAAAACAAATACCAACACACAAAAGTATCAAACCTCAACAAATCAGTTCAGAAGATTACTAGAAATATGTCAATAACTTGCAACATTGTGATAATAGACCAGAATAAAGTAGTCTTCATTTTTAAGAGATTCCTTTTTTATTTATAGGCAATGACAGTAGAGAGTGATCTCCAGTTGATGGTGCTCAAAAATTTGAGATAAGAGGATACAAAATGCATTCTTCTCCAAGAACCTGGGCTTGAGTACCTGTGAGGAAGCCAAACCTGGGAATGTGCTACCATACAGGAAACACACAGCTGGTTTCTATTGAA